CGAGTTTCCGGTGGAGAGGATACAGGCTGAAGAGAACGACGTTGTATGAGCCAATGGTGGCGGCGAAGATTACCCTGCCGGAGGAGTATCTGGGACGAGTGATGGAGTTGTGTGAGAGTGTGAGGAGGGTGCAGAAGAGCGTCGAGTTCTTTTACGCGACGCAGGTGATTCTCAAGTATGAGTTGCCCACGGCGAGTTTGGTGGATGACCTGTTTGGCAAGTTGAAGGGCGCAACCAAGGGGTATGCGACGCTGGACTATGAGGATGCCGGGTGGAGGGAGAGCAGTTTGGTGAAGCTGAATCTACTGGTGAATAAGATACCGGTGGATGCGGTGGCGAGAGTGGTGCATAGCAGCCAGGTGGAGAGGCTGGGGAGGCAGTGGGTGACCAAGTTTAAGGAGCATGTGGATAGGCAGATGTTTGGTGAGTTTTCTCCCCCTCTTTCTTTCTTGAGGGTATTGCTAACATCGTCGCAGAGGTCATCATCCAAGCTGCGGCTGGCAAGAGAGTCGTTGCAAGAGAAACGTTGAAGCCATTCAGAAAAGAGGTCCTGGCCAAGCTGCATGCCAGTGATATCGGGCGGAGGAGGAAGCTGCTTGACAAGCAAAAGGCCGGACGTAAAAGGTTGAGGGCGGTGGGCAACGTGGTCATTGATCTTTCGGCCTTCCAGAAATTTTTAACAAAGTAGTGTATACCATTGTATTCGATCCCGGACGAGCAATCATCGACTTAATGATATTGCAAATCCAGCAGAACAAGCTATGATCCTCACTGCAGTGGTACGACAACCTCTCTGGGGAAGAACGTTTTTTGAACTCTCGGCCGCACTGAAAATAGCCCTGACATTCTTCTTCTTGAAGCCAATCTCATTGAACTCGACGAGAAGATGCCGCCTCCCCACGTCGTACGTGAAGTGAACCTACGGTGGTGCACCCCATAGTCAAGGTCATCTGAATTCTGCAGCAGCTCAAAGATGAAGCGCGAGCTGTTAGTGGTCAGGTTCTCACTCAGTCTGGCACCTCATGTCAATATCGGATCTCTGTTACCCAAGTGGAGAGGGTTCAAACGCATGTCTTCAGCATCCCCTGGAAGGCCCGGCTCGTAAGGAACCCCGATTCCTCCTGCCACCTCCGGATCCGGAGGATGTGGTCAATGGCCTCCTGCCGTGAGGCGGAAGCCTGTCGTCGTCATTCTGATACTCCGGGGTTGAGCGGCGGCCGATGGAAGACATGATATAATGGTGGTGGTCAAGTGTCGGTGAAACGAGAGTAGGGGCCCATACCGTAGACTAGAGAGGCACCGATCTATAGTGGATAGATTCTTTGGGATAAATAAAAACAGCACGTACTAAGTACCTAAGCGTGGCAGGGCCAATTCGAGATAATATGGGATAATACAGAGTGAGGAGCGCGCAGAGAGACTGTGTGTCTGTGTCGTTCAAAGTCTTGGAATTCGAACCTGTTTCACGAGGTGTGCTCGAACTCCACATGTGAAAATGGAGATGGCATGAGCCACAGCGACACCCAACGCGACTGCTGCATGTTGACGTGCTGCTAGCCAATCCTGAGGCTTGGCGGGTGGTTGGGCGTCGTTGTAAATAGAGCTGGTTGCGCTGGTAGCTACATCGGTGCAAGCGTCGATGGAAATAGAGATCCGAGTGGAAGACGGGCAAGAAAAAGTGAAGGTGGAGATGCATGGAAGCAAGAATGTCATGTTGTTGGAGCATCAAGAACTTTGCTGATGATTGGATCCGGCTGGGCCCCTGAGTTGGGGTACCATAGGGCAAAAGTTGAGCAATAACACAGCTTATGATCAGGTATCAACGCAAATTGTGATACAATCCATCACATACGACCACAGGCAGTTGAAAACACGGGATCCCGTCCGCTCTCCCCTAGTTAAGCAATTGACCGCCGGACCAGTACTCAGGTGGGTGACCACTGGGGAATCCCCGGTGTTGTATGTTTTAGTTTTTTGCTCTTGGGGGCAGAGCCGAGTGGCAACGTGCCATCCGATGTTGATGAATATCGGAAAAAATAATATCGCTTGGTAAAAACTGCAGTGTGCCACCGATTCAAAATTTCAATGTCATGTATTCTTTCGCTCTTCTATGCAAAGCCCATGTACTCACACGACCCAAAGGGATACCCAGGGTCCAAGTTGCTGGCGAAAGCATAGTCGATCATCTGCGCAAACGTGGGATCCCACGAATCGAATATCAAGCTGTCGTTAACCGCCACGAAGTCACCAGCAGGTGCCTCAACTTGATCGGCGCCGGCAATAGCAAACATGCCCGCACTGGGTTGTCCAATGCCTGAGGCTATTGGAGCATGGAAGCTTCCCGTGGCTACGGCACTAGTTTCGAGAGGACCGTAGGACACGTTCATCATCGTCGATGAAGGTGATGCCGCATCTAACGTCAGAGGCGAGATCTGTTGGATTGAGGTATCCGTGGGACCAGACGTGGTTTCAGAACTTGCGCCCTCGTCCGTCTTCTCAATAAGCCACCGAGCACGTGAGTGAAGTTCGATGTTGAATGCTGAACCGTTGTCGTTGGTGGTCTTGGGTTTGGACGGTGCACAAGGTGCTCCAGTTGTTCGTGCACGTTCACGAAACAGAGCCTCTCCTCGTTCAAGGTTGCGCACCACTGCATCGCCTAACTCACTGTTCAAACGGGCATTGACTCAGATGGGCAAAATCGCTTGATGGCAGCGGCCACACTCAAGAAGTCGGCTTTGCCACGAACTCGAAACATGGGAAGTTTGGAGACCTGACGGTATGTTTGCGTTTTCCACCTGTCCTAGGCTCCAACAGAAGCTGACTCAATCTTAGAACGGTCTTGGTCGTCGTTACCGCATGCGTGTTCACGTTGGCTTCGCCCTCATCATCGCAGGATGGCTCGCCTCCGTGTTGGTAGTCTTCATTGGCTGCATTCCCTTCCACAAGTACTGGCAGATTAGCCCCAACCCGGGCAATAGCTGCCAACCCGCCGTGGCTGGCCTTATCGTCTGGTCTTCTTTCGCCGCGAATATCGCATCTGATATCTACCTCATCGTCATTCCCCTCCCGCTTCTCTGGGGTTCCAGGCTTCGCCTTGTCAAAAAAATCGGTTCCACTCTCGTCCTGAGCGCCGGTATCTTCCTCCTTGTCTTCGCCACCCTGAAGAATATCTTCGTCGTAACTGCAAGCAAACCCCCTATTTCCCCTATCCTCCCCAAATCCTGAACCAACGCTCCCATCCACAGGACGACATCAACGGCGCCGAACTCGCCGGCACCCGGGGCACCCGCGAGGCCTTCGTAGCTGTCGTCACCACCAACCTCCCCATGGTCTTCCCCCTCTTCAAGTCCTGGCTCAAGCCCCTCTTCGGCTCCACTTCGCAGCGCACCACCGACAACAAGTACAAGACCCCGGACGGGTTCCGCCCCATCGGCGGCGGCGGTGGCGACTCCAACTCGCACTCGCAGTTCCGCCGCGGCAACGGCAACAGTTCCAACATCCTGACCAGCGTCACCTTCACCGAGAGCGAGCAGCGAATCGTCAACGAAATCAAGATGCAGAACATGAAGACGGAAGTCTCGGGCGGCGGCACAACCCACGTGCACAAGGAGTGCGAAGGGCAGAAGGGCATCGTCGTGCTGACCGAGTTTGATGTCAGTGAGGATGCGAGGAGTGTGCAGCACAGTGAGCCTGGGCCGCCGCCGGCAAAACCGAAGGAGGCCTGGTAAATGATTGAGATAATTGAGCCTTTTGGATTGAGGGAAAAATAATGATGGGATGCCACGTGGTTTAAGTTACAGGCATGCTTTGATGGCCGGGCTGCCAGGAATTCTTCAGTGCAGGATGGGAGCGGTGTTTTTTTTTTTTTTTCTTTTGTCAATTTCCCTTGTGTGTTTTTCTTCTCTTCGTTGACACATATTTTTGTTGTGGTTGCGCTTGAAACACACAGTTTGGTTCATTCTCAGACATGAGCGCGGTTGGTAAGAGTTGGGAGCGGCTTTTCTTTCCACAGTGTTTTATTTTCTGTTTTGGATGGATATACCCCTTATGGTCACGTTGTTGTTGCTGTTGTTGACAGTCGTTGCGGACCGGACAGAGTGTGTCACGATTATCATGTACCCTCGTGGAGAGGATACCACTTTTACCTTGCTTCGATTATCGTCCGATTAGTTAGTCAAATTTGTGTCTTTGTAGTATCTGCCGGTATCCCATCTGCTGTCTTTGAAGTTGGGGCTGAAGGTGATGTTGTCGTTCAGGGGGTTGGTGATTCAGGGGTTGCCAGAGCCTCTTCCAAGGCGCATGGAACTTGTCTAAACAATGCTTCTGCTGTCAGCCACATTTGGGGGGATTTCTGGACGGGTTTTGGGCAGATGAAGTTGTCCCCACACACCAATCTTGGTTGGGCTGACATGCCAAGCTGCTGCGGACCACCATCAAGATTCCTTGGGAGCTCAGGTGATTCGCAGCAATACAGTAGCGCTACCCACTTGTGAGGCGCAGTGACAGGGTACCTGAGTTTTCAGAGCACCGATAATTCGGTTGATAAAAGAGAGCTGCGCCCCTCACGTGTTGGACGCAGTTTCGCGTTTGTCCTACACAGCATCATTGCCTTTGACCTATTGTGCCTTTGGGCACGGTAATTACTACAAAATGTCTGATCGATACCATCCACAGGCTATTTTTCTTTCCTTTCTGGCATTGACCCAAGTCACAACTTGTCAAGACATCAACACACAACCTGTGGCAAAAGTGCTGAAGCTACAATGGACAACCGACCAGACCTCCCCAGGAGATCCGCTTACGCTCGGGACCTTTGGTCCTGATGGGCCGTGGCAAGCCTTGCCTGGAGTAATGAACAGACATGAATCGACTGCTACAATCAATACAACAGCCGTTTCTGCTCTCTGGCCATCGCCATGGACGAACATATCCGAGGTCATGTGGAGAAGCTTTGACGTGGCCCTAGAAGCGCAAACAACCTTCTCAACGGGAAGGTACAATCGACTGACCATATCGTCGTCTTATTTCGAGGAAAGCAGGACGAGCCGTACCGGAGACTGGGTACCGGACTGGGACATGTCCATCCCAGACATTGCGGGCAACTCGGTCAGGTTCTTCCACGTCAAGGCTCCTGTAGCCGCAATTCAGTACGCCAGCATCAGCTTTCCAGCAGTGGAAGGATGGTCCTTTGTGGAGGACGACGTAGAGGGTACACTAGCTCTCGCACCTCCAGACAAACCAGTCTCAGATAGCATCATTGCTCATCTCAAAGACTGTGGCTTTGTGGATGGCAACTGGTGGAGATGGCATGGGCTGAGTGCGAATTGGAACCAAAGCGGCAGCTGGACATGGGGAGGAGGCGAGGCGGCTCGTGTGATGGGCGATGTAGCCACGTTTGACCTTATGGAAGATATTGACGCTTTCGAATTTGCGTCATGGCAACGCTATCTGCCTCGGATCTACTTGATAGACGTCTCGCTTGGGTGGGAAAGAGGTAGCGGACCCTTTCTAAAAGATGAGACATTTCAAGGAAAGACAAAGTCCGTTTTGGCACCGATCCCTACCAGCTTGAACAGCACCGCACGAAGACAAGGAGACCAACGTGACAACCTTAGGGATAATGTCATGGTGGTGCCTGACCCGACATTTCCTTTCCTGTATCTTCCACCTGGCACTTGTGAGAAGGCCGCCAAGCATCTGCCCGTGCACTGGGACGAGGGGCTGAAACTCTGGTTTTGGGATGACGAAACATCCCAGAGTAATGATTACCACTATCGCCGCCTTGTCAACTCATCAGCCTACATGAGCTTCACACTACGATCCAACCGCGGCCGCTACCCCGAACGGGAAGATTTCCCACCCAGTCAAACAATCACCATCAAGGTCCCCTTCCATCTTCTCGATTTCTACATTGAGCCCCCCCTCGTGTGGAGCGGAGTACAACGGCGACGATTTTGGCCGTGCCGGTCAGTCATTCCAACGGAGGGTTACTGGAAACTCGGCCGCGCGTTCCTTCAGGCGGCCTTTCTCGGCGTCAACTACGACAAAAACCTGGTGTACCTGGCTCAAGGAATAGGTCCTGATCCCAATCTCCCAAGCGAGTTGACCGTGATTAGACCAGGTGACGAATATATTTCTGGAAACCCGAATTTCCTCTATAGAAATGCCGAGGATTATTATCAGACCTGGGCAAGTTATGGGAAAGTTCTTGAGGACCGCAGGCCAGATCAGGGGACACCTAGCTCGCCGGGCCCGGAGTCGTCACAGACCTCTTCGCTAGGGCGTGGTGGAACGATTGGGCTTACGGTGGGGGCTACGATCGGTGCCCTCTTGGTGTTTTGGTTAGTGTTTGGCACGACAATTGAGAAACGATGGCGGAAAATAGCGAGGCGAGATGGCGGTGATGCGGGAGCTGGTGTTGAACTTGGGGGATCAGACTCCACAGTGACGACACAGGGGCCTGCTCATGATGTTAGGGATGCTGTATCGCCAGGATTGCCCAGGCCACCGACGTATAAAGAGAGGGATCAGAATGAGTCGCCTCCACCGTATAGGCCTTAAGGTGCTAATGGGAAGGGAATATTTTCATCTTGTATATGTCTTGTGAGTTTATTATGGGATAATTTGACTGTAGATATCTCGTTATCACTCCTTTACCCATCGCACGCGTTCAGGTTGTGATCTAGCCGACTACATCCCCTGAACTTTATGTTGCATGTTTTGTTATCATTTATCGGCTACAACCTAGGTACTTACCTTCCCACCTCAATCCGACGATATTGTTACACTTCATGGAAGATATACAATAGCTGAACATGGTGTGAGGCTTGGAGCACACAGAACAAGGACCGACATACCGCAGTTGACGCATGGTCTTTTTGCTAGTAAGTTATTCCCAGTATTGGGTAGCGATGCCAAGCGGTTGCGGATCAAAACCACTGCTTGCGAGGACAAGTCATTGGCAGCGATACGTGAGCTCGGCGTTGGTGAGGCGCAGTCATGAGATGCGGGTTCTAAGCGTTGAAGCAATCGTCAAGAGAGTTGTGCCGCCCCTCTCACGTGTCAGACGCGTCTGTCCTACACATCACCTTTTCCTCCAAATTGTGTCTTAGGGCAATGCATTACAAGACGTTTTACCACAGCCCAGAGGTAATTCCAGTAGCCCTGCTTGTTTTGGCTCAGTCAGTACATTGTCAACAAACGACCGACAGCAATGGTAAGGCGACAAAACTTCATTGGACGGGCCAACGGAACTTTTCTGACGCCCCAAGATACCTTGAACACACCAAGGGCCCATGGGCAGCGCTCTCGGTTCTTTCAGGAACGCATGATTTGTCCGGCCTCACAAAGGAACAGAGCGTCGTGCCCATTTGGCCGTCTCCATGGACCAACATTTCCGAGATCTGGTGTTCAAATCTGCTTTTCAAAGAGGAGCTCTCAGATGCCTACAGGGTCAATAGGTCTTTGATCTTAAAACCATCTTCCTTCAATTGTCCGTATCAAGGTGGCGCCAAACTGCCGAACTGGACCATGTCCATTCCGAGTGTTGCCATTGGGCCGAACTATGCCGAACTTTTCCACGCCCAGGTCCCGATCATTGCCCTGAATGAGTCAACCCTGTACCTGGAACCTGAGATCACCATCCGCTTCACACTCGGTGATATACTAGCTCTTGGACCGTCCAGCGAGCCAGGTATCCGAAGCATTGTTCAGCAACTGAAGGATGCTGGTCGACTTCTCAGCAGTTCTTTTGGGCTCTACATGGGGAGGCCTGACTGGAAGCTTCCCAGCAAAATGGTTCTCGGGGGCTACGAAAAGTCCTTGATCAACGAGGGGTTTATCATGTTTGATGTGATGGACAAGCCCGAGAGCGTTGGAGAAGACTATCTTTTCCGAATTTCCTTGAAGGACGTCAGGCTGGGTTGTTACGACTGGAAAGGTCATGTCTTTGACTGGGCCACTACGGAGAGTCCGAACACAAGTGCTGAAGCGTATATTTGAAGGGTCGTCCCGAATGGACCCATCCGCGGAACTGAGCGAGGCAGGCAACTTAGTCTTCTTATGGAGCGGTTTGAGTGGTACAATCGTAGGGCTATTAGTTGTATTCAGAACATCTGAATTTGACTGAACGTTTGTGAAGGTTTGTTGGCACCAGTAGAACCTGGATTGGTAGAGGTGAATGCGCCCTGCATCTGGCTTCCAAAGTCCTTCGCTTTGCGCAACAGAAAATAAAGCACTCATCCCACCGATGGGATGAAAATGACGAGACATACCAGAGGAAAGAAAAGTAAGTCCATCTACAGCTTCCTATGTCCTACCATAAGGTAAATCCCACTTGAAATCCACAGGTCGCGGATCTATTCTGGAATTGGCATTCGGAAAGTCTATCCAGCTATAGTCTTATTAGTTAATTAAATTAAAGCGAAAAAATCTACTACACTTACCATATACTATTTCGCTTGTCCTCGCTTATATCGTATAACGGCGTTAAGGTACTAGTTAGGTTTACAAAGGTTATGTAAAGCCCTATAGTTATGACCACCGGCTAGAAGTATCGTGATGCGTTAGGTGGGTAATGGAATATTGGGGGCGAGACCTGCCTAAATATGCTATTAAGGTACGTAACTCTAGACAAGGTATAGTTTAGATTAAAATCTTTAGATATTTTATCCTAAATTTTTCCTTTACTAGACGCCCATAGGTTAGCATCTTAAATTTAGGTAATTAAAAAAAACATCGGTTAACAGAATTACTTACATAAACTTGCCTACTTCGGACGCTCCTCTAAGATATAAGCATTAGCGACCCCTAGTTGGGCAGCCTTACCGCCAGCGCGACGTTTGTTAGGGCCCCGGCTAAGAATATGCTCACTTGTCCTGGATTCTCCCTCACGGCCCTAACCATAAACTTCCGCTACTGAGCCCTCTACGAAACTCACATTAGGGTAGCCATAATAACCTTTAGTAGTAAAAGCTTCCTTCGCTACCCTTCTTGGGTTACGAGAGGTGGGATTATTTCCTAATTTCTTATTTATCGTGTTTTCTTTTGCAAACACCCCTTTCCACAGTAATTTACTATAGAGAAGCTTATAATTCTGGAAGGTATACGCTATTTGTAAAAGGGGGTAGTCAGACCCCTTATAGACGGGAATATAAGAAGATAAGGAGGCAATCTCGAGAGAGGTAAGAGCGTGGAGGCCGGTTTGGAGAGCCTAGGAATTAGCTGTGTCGGAGGCTAGACCGAGGACGGTATAATTATAGTATAGGGGAAGGAGTAAAGCGATAAAGGTAGTGGGATTCTAATCGTTATCGAGGATTATTTTTTTTTAGTTAATAGTTAAGTTAATGGGTAATAATAGTAAGCTTATAACGAGAAATAAAAATTAATAGCGGGGCTATAATATTATAATTAAAAACGAAATAAATATATAGTACTTTCGTTAAGTTAAGATAATTAAAATAAATATATTTTTTAATATAAAAAATATATTAAAGGAAAGAAGTTAAGTAGTAAAATATTTTTTATCGTAAGACGATAAGTATAAGTATAATACTAATCTATATATAAAAGCGTAATAAATATTCTTTCGGGGAATAATAAAGTAATTAAAAGAAGAACGACGAAAGTATAATAATAAGTAAGCTTAAAAAAAGAAATACTTATTTAAACTAAGCTATAAATAGCTAAATTAATTTTCTTACTATTTATAATTCTTTTATATATATATAAGGACCGGGCTTAAGTAATTACCTTCGATAGTATACTATAATAGTTAACGACGCTAAATATAGAATATAATATTATTAGTCTATCTAAATATCTATACTACTATTTCTTAAAAACTAATCCTATATTAAAAGGCCGGTCTTTTCTAAAAATATAAATCTCGCTAATTAGGATAGTATAGCCCACGCTTATTACGATCGTAATAATAGAAAAACTTACCTACGTAAAGTTAAGCCGCTTAACGTAAATATACTTTTTAGCTAGGATATTACGCTAGAGTAACCCGGCGATATAAGCGCTAATAGTTATACGGAAAGCCCCGTAAATTTATACTAAAGACTATATTATAGATCGTAGTGTAATATATTCGTTCGTTAAGGGGAATCCCCGCCCTATTTGCTACCGACTTTCTTTTTTGATTTACCGATATACTTAAAGGAGCTAAATCCTAGATTTTAATTATAAAGCTTTATTATTATTACCTATATAATAACTATATATATTTTCCCGGATAACACTATTACCCCCCTCTTCTTTTTATTTTACTTTTTACTACTATTCTAGCTACTTTAAATCTACTTTAATGCTTTGCTTCTTTTAAACGAGTTTATTTTCGGGTACTGTAAGGATATACCCGCGCTTCCGCCGCTTTTACACATCTATAATCTTATTACCCGCAATACTATTACCGTTATTATACTACTAACATTTATAGTTATAGTAACTATCCCTACTTATAATTAAAGCTTTTAAATATTATAATTTAAATTCGTAAAATCTATAGTCTAAGCTTTAACTATATCTTTTAAACTAAAGTTAAATATTATTAGAAAGGTCGTTTCTCTCGGTAATCTTACTTCGGTATTAAAATAGTAACTAAAGTTTTCCCCACTAAAGTTAACTTCTTTCCAAAATAATAAGGGGTAAACCACTATTATTATAGTTTATATAAATATAAGGGCCCTAATATAGGGTTTAGAGCTGCTAGTGGTTACTAGTGTAATCTATTAAGTAAAGTCACTTAACGTATTTAGGCTACGAGGTAATTAATAAAAGTTTTTCCTTTTCTTACTCTATATAGTTATTAAAATATTTTAATTCCTATAAATAATTAAAGAAATTATATAATAAATCTTCCTAATCTACTTATCTAAGGTATTAAATAATAATAAAAGTCTTTATAAAGTTTATTCTATTTTTTAAATCTAGAGATCTAATTTAATTTTTATTAAGAATAATCTATAATATTTATTTCCGTAAATTAATTTATCCTTAGGACTAAACTTATATTTAAGGGCTAGTTATATAAGTCGCTCTATCTATATTACTCCTTTTATTAGACTCCTCGGATTTAAAATTTTAGGTTTATACTCGTTAAATTATAATTATATTGCTCTAAGAGATTAGGCTAAAAATAATTTAATTAATTAAACTGCTTGTTATATTTAAATTACTTTATAAATATTTTTAATATAGGTTAAATTATTAAGAAAAAAAATTAGTATAGTTATTTATCGAAATCTAAAGTTTAACTTTTTAGATTTCTTTAGTTTATTTCCTTACTTTAATATTTAATAGTTATATCGTTTTAAAGAAATAAAGCTAAGCTTACTAGAAATACTAATATATTTGTTACTAAGTTTAAGTAATCCTAGTAAATAAGTATATATAATCCTAAAATCTATTTTCTAAAAGGAAATACCTATATCTATAAAGTCTTAAAAATATCTTTCTTTTTAAATAATATAAAGCTTTATCCCTATTACTCCCACTATACTTACCTACCCCCTTTACTATATACCTCTCCACCCTCCTCCTCGTTTCCTTAACTAACTTAACTACTATAAACTTCGACCTTTACCTAAGCTACTAAGTTTTTAGCGTCGATAGCGGCGCCCACTTTTTCTACGGCTAGTATATTTTCGATAACGACCTTAGTATTAACGACATTCGTTCTTTCTTCCCTTTTTATATCCCACCTCTTTTTATAACTAACTACCCCCTCCTTTTAAATCTTCGCCTACGGCCCCTACCTCTCCCAAAATAACGTCTTTAGCCGCACGACCGGCGTATAATATATCGGTAGCGGCTATTACGGCGGTACCGCTACTAATATTAATATCTTTAAAATGCATTTTAGTAATAATCCCCTTTATTATTAAAGTAAGTCCCCTTTCCCTTTTTTTTTTTTCTTTTTACTTTATTTAGAAACCCCTAACTAATAATATTCCCCCCCCCCCCAAAGCTATCTATAAAGATAAAGGCTATCCCTATAAAATATACGGCCTCGACGGTAGAACTTACGGAAAGTATATCCTTTTTCCCGGTATTAACTTTTACTATTCGAAGTTCGTCGAGACCCGGAGCGGCGTCCGTAAGTTTCGTTATTTAACGTAATTTACTATTACGTAGATTAGGGCTGTAGATAGGTAGGTAGAGAAATTTCTACCTCTCTACTAAGAGAAGGAGTAATACTCTAATAAATCTAAGCTTAGGAATATTACGGGTAGATAGTTATTGTTCCTAGAAATTAAATTAAAAGTAGAGGTAAACATAAACTCTAACCTTAAAAGCTTTTACTACACTATACCTTAAAGTCCCGCACGCTACACTTTACATTATTTCGATTACTATAGCTCAATCTAATTCGATACCCGTATTTCACTTAATATTTAGGCTATCCAAGCTTTATATATATATTACATAAATATTTATATCTCATAACCAAAAGTCATTACAGCATAACTAAAAACTACCTCCCACATTAATATACAACCTAAAGGAAGCTAGAACAAAGAAATCCGCAACTAATCACATATTCCAAAAAAGATCGCCTTCCAAACAAACGCCCATTATCCATAACTCTTCTTCAACTCGCTTCGCTTCGCTTGCTTGGTTCAAATGGTCGCTCAAGTCATCGTTGTCGTCGTAGCGCCAGGTATCCCGAGGAGGCTCAACAAGCGCCACCTCCCGTGGGCGAGCGTCGACGATTACTGTGGGCGGACCCCTGGATGTGAGAGAGGTATCATATGACGTGGTTGTGCCATATAAAGTGGTGTCGTACGAGGTGGTCGTGTAGGACCGTGCCGGGGACTGCTCGCGAATCGTGGTTGTCTTGACCACCTCGATAGGAGGGGCTGGTGCGGGCGCGGGCTGGGCGTTGATAATAATAGGACCGTTACCGGCTGGGGCCGGTGGGTGTTGATGGTGGTAGTGCACGGCAGGGGGAGGAGCCGTAGTATGGTACTCGACAATCTCTATTCGACGTTCCTCAATAATATCACCAGCGCTGGATCGCGGGGCTATAATCTCTAACTCGCCTGGGAATATTACTTTTTCGTCCGGGTAGGGGAGTAACGGGGCGGGCGTATTCTTCTTGTAATTATCGCTCAGATTCAGCAAATCGTCAATACTTTATATCAAGCAAGGCGGCACCTAGATACTATGGTAAGCAGACGGATTTAGACTCTATGTTTTGGGTATATTAACGTACGGTCCTGTACCCAGACCGCAACCAAGACTTTTTTCTTCCAGTAGTTAAAGCTTTAGTGAGAAATTCTGCCATCTCGCAAAGCCCTGCGAAGCCTGTTGTTGATTTCATTAGCATGATCCTTCAGCACACGCTACTCGTATTTCTTCTTAATCATACGAGATAGCTCCCATAATGATTTAACTGCAGTCACCAAGCCCGCAAGAGTGGCAGCAGATGCCAAGGAACTAGGAAGATATGACGCCATATACGAAAAAGTAAGGTGTTAGCTATGTAAAATGGAACTGTGGGTAAGTTGGGGAGTTAGTTAAGACCAGTAGCTGTTTTATATAAGGATTCGCCTGGACTTTTATTCATAAATTGTTCGAACTGAAATTATTAATTTGGACATTTCTGAAATCCAATATTAAGCTGACAGGGCCAGGGTGGCCTCGCTCGGTACCGAAACCCAGTCCCTCAACACACCCCACCCAAATCGGCAACGGATTTCCCTCGACCAGGAAGAACAGAGGAGAGGCAGAGATCGTCCAACAAAAATTTGAAACACCTTGATGGATGTGGATTGTTTATGTGAGGGCCATCTATCATCCATATTCCCGGTGGTTAGCGGGGTCATTCAGGGATAAGTATCATTCAACAACGCCATGTCAGCTTTGACAAAGCAACGGAGTAAACAACCCCATAGTTTCTCAAATCGCCCGTGCCAAGAAGGGGGTGGATGACACGTCGGGAGTGGGCGCGGGCAGCAAACTCGCACGACAATGGAAACTGCCAATAGGCGAAAAAGCGTGATGAGTGCCTGTGATAATAGGGTTGTAGTTAATGGGGGTAAGGAGAAAAGCCATAAGTGGTTGGTGATGAGTATGCTTGGCCTGCAAGGATGGTTGAGCCTCACTGAAACATATTACAGCAGGCCCTCTCCAACGCTGCCTAGGCCTAGGAACCCGGTATATAGCTGTGATGCGCCATGATCAACAGGATTGCATGCTGTGCATAGAGCGATTACTAGAAAATAATAGCCGCAAGTTTATTGGAATGATCTGCTGTTAAATGCCACTGAACAGTGAAAAGGGGGCCGCCTTAACTCGCCGCAGACCCACCTTATAACTGCCAAGGATCCATTTGCCCCGAAGACGGTGCATCTGGCGGGCGAACTAAATGCCCCGTCCTTGACGGTTGAATCAAGGTCAACCATATCTGAATGGCTTCTGCCCCGCTAAGAAGATTAGATTAGATCCTGTAGAATACAAACATTACAAAAAATATACTAAACATTGTCGCCAATATAACGGCCGAGCAGCAGATTCTTAAGATCAAGCTTATGCGTATCGCGCATGTGTACTATACCCATACCGATCTCGATAAAGCACGCGAGTTTTTAGCTAACTTCGGCTTTACAGTAACGGACGATAGAGGTAACAAAGTATACTACAAAGGTTACGGCACCGAGCCTTTCGTATACAGTACTACCAAAGGCGCGGAAAATGAGTTTAGTGGTGCCGGCTTCGTTGTTAAGTCTATGGCGGACTTAGAGTTAGCCGCTAAGACTCTTCCTAAGGCGACTCCCGTCCACGACTCGGATACGCCTAGTGGCGGCAAGCGTATAACATTTAGAGATCCTGTGGATGACTTCCCCTTTTACCTAGTGTATAGGAAAACCCCCGTCGAGAAGTCAGCGTACCTGCCCGAGCTAAAGTACAACTTTCCCGAGAATAAATACCGGGCCGTCAATAAGACATAGCGGTTCAAGAAGGCACTAGCGGCCGTCCATAAGTTGGGTTATGTCGGGTGCTGCGTGATTAACTTCGTTAAGTCGTTCGAGTTCTATACTACTCGGTTTAACCTTAAGCCCAGCGATATTATCCACGAGCCGAACGGAAAGGACGTGTCTACTTTCTTGTATCTGGATAGAGGGATAGAGTAGGTCGATCATTATACTTGGTTCTTCTTTAAGGGTTAGTATCCTTCCCTAAATCTCGTTAGTGGCAAAATATGTGACTGCCCATTGACTTTAGGACCTAAATATTTCGTCCACTACTTTAGTTTCGAGGTACACGATTTCGATGTCCAGTCGTTGGGCCAGGTTACCGGGAACTTGGGCATCTGAGCTTCTGTTTGAACACATTTAAATTAGCTTCATCTTGTGGCGAAGACTTTTCATTGTTACTGGTGATTCGATTAATTTGAAGGCAGACTAAGTGATAGATATCACAGAGCGACAATCGCCTTGCCAGTGCTGTTTCTATGACGGAAGCGCAAGAAGTCGATCAACAAAAAGATAGGAAGGAGTTAAACACAAATGCAATACATTGAAAACAAAGACTTACCCATCTTTGCAGGCGTTGGTTTAATTCGTGGTGATGTCGACGCGGTAATTGGATGTTGCGACCTCTTGTAGGTAGTCAAGCATGCGGCGTGTTTAGTGAAAATTCCAAAGGCAGATGGGGAATTTTGTAGTCAGAATTTGCTCTGGCCAGGAGGGTACACGTCACTCAATTTGGAAGGCCGGTTGGTGAGTTGGGACCCTCATCGTGGGAAGGGGCAGCCGGGCTCCTTCCTCATTACTGAGCTTTAACAATGATATTGTCCGACTGCCCGAATAACAGGCAGGAGGAGAAGAGGAAAGACATGATATAGTATATTTATGATACCTTTTTCTTGGGATATCTTGATGAAAACCGAAACTAACGAGAGAATCATGAAGGGAATAATACAAGTCAGGGATTATGGTATAGGGTATCACATGGAGGTTTTAAGCTCTTAACCTTGACCCATTCATGACAGTGGGAGTAAGAAGTGAGGTTAACCCTGACTGTGACCTGCATCGCGACCATGAGTAATAACTCCGACTTCTCACTTGTGGTCACCCCAGAAAACGATAACATCCAGTGATCATGTCAGAGGGCCTCCCTCTGTTGCTTGGAGTATAACGAGTAAAGCACTGTACTGTTAAGTTGACTCCACCAACATGGAACGCAAACGTAAGTCAATCAATCATTGGCTACTGCTTCGTTCCGTTGTCATTGCCACCCGTCGCGACAGCGTCCGCCTCTGGCCCCAATCGAAAGAGAACCAGCTGTTGTCAAAGCCTCCTCACTCATCCGATACCCGCAAGTTCATCTGCCTGATTTCCACCACATTTCTCTCACCTGGTCTGCCTTCGGGCACAGACTCCAGTTCTACCCCAGGCTGTGCCTGTGTTCCACGACTTCTTTCCACTCCCAACACCACCTCCTTGTGTTCCTGGCTCAACCTTTGCCCTCGAACCAGCAAAGTGAGAACGGTGGCAAGGCCAGCAAACGCGACATACTGTGCACTCGTCAGCTAAGTATTTCTCAAAGACCAATACCCAAAGATAGACCCACCATAATCCAAACCAACCTCAGCGACTCAAAATACGCGGCCCTCACAACCATCTGTTCTTCCTCGACATGCAGCCCAATCCTCTCAATACTCCCAGCCGCCTCTCCACCCCTAAACCAACCCGCGATGTCCTCTCCCAATTTCTCAACCAACCCACCGTTCCTCCCATCCATCCCATTCTGAAAAATAACACCTCCCACGACAACCGACACCGCAGTCGCCATCGACCTCGCAAACCCCATCGCCGCAATCACCGCCGCCGTATCCAGCTCGCTCGCTGCCGCCTGAGCAGCCAGAATCGGGCCCTTGATGTTCAAACCCACCCCCACCCCAGCCAAAATCTCGTACCCGAACAACTTCCCGAGGTTGTCTCGCTCTTCAAAGTCGAGACTGACGAATAATCCAACCCCAATCATGAGGAACACTTGCGCGGCGTACATGACAGGGAGATACCTCCCCGTCTTCTGGATAGCCACGCCAGTAAAAGCCGCCGACAGCGAGCATGACACGATCAATGGGACAAGGTGGACTCCTGATGTTAGCGCGTTGGCTCCGAGGACAGACTGGGAGTAGAGGGGGAGGTAGTAGGCCAGTCCGATGAAGACGAACGAGTCGAAGGAAAAAACGCCGTACGCAGCGATGGTGGAGAGATTGGGGAATAGCCTTGCGGGGAATATGGGATTGGGTGCCAACTTCCACTCATTGATAAAGAAGAGGAGCAGACTCAGGACGCCAAAGACGATGAGGTTGATGACTGTAAGTGAGGACCAGGCCAGGACTACATTTCCAAAGTCGAGGGCGAGAAGGATCATGAGGGCGCTACCGATAGTTAGAAGGGATCCGGACCAGTCGAGGGCTTTGAGTCCCGTCATGGTGGGGGTCTTGGGCGGTGATGAAAGGGGAAGGAAGAAGAGGATGGTGAGGAACACCAGCAGGCCGATGGGAACTGTGGGCTTATTAGATTCCCGTTTTTTTGATAACGAAGAGAGAAAACTGACTATTGATCCAAAAGCACTACCTCCAGCTCAGCCTCGTGCTTAAAACACCACCGATCACCGGCCCGATCGCACTCCCCAACGCCCACACCCCGCTAGTTACCGCAAGATATAACCCCCTGTCCCTCAAGCTGAACGAGTCATAAATGATGACATTCACTATCATCCCTATCCCGCTCGCGCCGACACCTTGCCACGCTCTCCCGATGATTAACGAGTGTATATTCGGTGCTAGGGCACAGAGCAGGCTGGTAAAGAAGAATATAGCCTGCGACAAGAGTATGATGGGCTTGCGGCTAAATGTGTTAGAGACTGCGCCCGAGGTGGGTGTGCTGGCTGTATGGGCGAGGATGAAGGAGGAACCGATCCAGATGTAGCCTTATGGGGAGGCAAAGTCGGCCACGATCGAAGGAATAGAGGGGGTTAGGATTGTCAAGTCGAGAGATGACAACAGGACGGAAAGGCAGAGCGGTGTTAGCAGGAGAGTGATGTCGCGTTTGGACCTGGAAGACTGAGGTGGGCTGTCATCTTGAGGTGTTCCATCGGGACTGGTGGGAAGCGGGATTGGTTTCATGGTTAGAAGTGATATTGGTGATAGGCTCACGTGCGACCACGGTGATGGTTTGTGTCTGGGTTACCATCCTGGATATACAATATAGTCTGCGAGTCAAGAGAAATGATACATTGAATTCAAAGAGCAGAAAGCGTGGAAGTTGAGTGTGGGATGAAGTCAATATAAAGTTTTTGATTACGGAATGCTCGGAGGTACGTACCTCCGACACCCCTGTCGCCTTTGTCCGAAGAACACAAACCCAGCTGCCTGGTAGAGTATTGGGTAGCAATGGGATCCGAGAGATCGCATATCGATGGCCGAGCACCAAAAAGTCCAAAGCACTTCATTGTTCAGTTTGGTGACTTCAAACTACCTCTGCTGACCAGATCATATCGTCGAATGATTCTGCTCGTAACCAGCTCCAGCGTACTTTGTCTTCACCTTCTCCTCCCCATCTTTCAACCTCCCAAAAACATCAAACACCACACCCCACCTCACCAAGTTCAATAACGCCGACGCCAGTACCCCTCCCCAAACCAGATCGTTCCACTTCCCAAATTCCCAAAACGCCTCAGGTCCCAAACCCTTGTAGACGGACCAAATGTGGCCGTAATCCGCCAACGCGACCACGGTGCAGTACCCCTTTACCACGAATCTGTCCTTGCTGAAGCAGCAGACGACAGCCAAGCCGGCGAGGAGGAGGAAGACGTTGATGAGCTGAAGGGTGACGATCTCGGCCTGCGGAGAGAAATCGGGGGGCTGGGTGGTCTTGCTGGTGTAGAGCAGGTCAGGCGGAAGTTGGCGGTTGAAGTAGCTGTAGGCGCCAAAGCTGATTATGGCGACGCGATAGGCTTCGAGGCTGTGTAATTTGTCAGTGGTTTGGGCTATAGAAGCGGTTGGGGGGGGGGGGGGTTGGGTAACGAACAGCAGCAGAGGCTCAATCACGCCAAGGACGACGAGGGGGAAGGTTGGGAGGATTGAGCGTGTTATTTTTGTGGTGGGCGCTACGACGGTGAAAAATGTGAGATAGGGCAAACAGGGCGGCAGCGACAACGGAGAGAGCTGTTACATAAAACACAATGGCGGAATCTTCAACGGCTGTTTGTTGGTTGGGAAGGAGCAGGCTTGTGTCACATGATTTTCGTGAATGCGGGTTGGCTGTTGGGACGATGCAGTTGTTGCTCGCATGCAGTTAGGGTTGTCTGGGTTGGGGTTCCAACAAATCAGGAGTGACCCCTTAACTGTGGATACGATTCTCCCCACGGGTTTGTTTACTTTTGCCTTCCCTGGCAACAGCGATAAGGTCCAACCCTATCCTTGCCGCCGACGGTTGCACTTCCTGATCCGGCTGATCTCGTATCCTGGCATAAATTGTGCAGAGCTTGCTGAGTAGCGTTCGGTATGGAAAATGACAAATACGGTATTTCAAGGCCTCGGCCGGGACACTCAGCCAAAACTCCTGAAGACACTCAGACTAACCATAACCGGCAACTACCCCCACAAGAGACTTCAAACATCGGTTTTCGTTGAAAACACTGCAAAAAAGCAGGTCCCAAAATGCAAGGCCACTCTTCCACAACTGCGAGCAGTTTTCTAACCGACCTAGCCCTACATTAAATAAGTGATGAAGGCCTTGAACTATAGAAAGCTATATATATCAATACACCAATGCCCTCTCTTTGCAACTCTGGAAAATATAATCTATAAGCCTTAGCCGCGGGGAGGATCTAGTGTAGAGACTGTCAAGGACTTCGCAGTAGACTATATACATAGCAAAGGCGTGTTTTTACCTATGTTTTAAGGTTTTTGGTATGTTCGAACACTCTACCGCAGTCTGAACTGACCGTTGTGGGGCCCTTTACCAGATATAGTTAGCTGAGTGTCTTCAGGGACTTTGCTTGAGTGTCCCTAGCCGGGCTCGCGCGAGATTCAGCGACCGGGGACCTCTAAAGCCCGTAGGCTATGACGGTGGTTAAGTCCACAGTGGTCGAGACAGGGACCACATATCTCCCATTGTTGTTTATCGATTAGTTGAGAATCATTTACCCCTATTAGTCCCTTCTCATCCCATTCTGCTAATTCGTTCATTTGACCCGAGACCGCCACAGGGTGTCCCCGTCCGTGCATCGTAAGGTCGACGGGATCGGGGCCCGGCGATGGCATCCGGTTCTTCCCCGTGGTGGTGATCCTGGTATAATCGACAAAGCGGAGGAGTCGGCTCCAGAACTCATTCTCCACAGTCAGCCCAGCCAAGCACCACTCCCAGAAAGAAGCCCAGGCCCTTTATGGGCGTCGATTCCGTATGTGAACCGCTCTTTCGGGAGCTTGAAACTTACCTGTAGATCAGTTGCAACCTCGAGACCCCCAACTCATCCCCAGAAACACGGCAGCCGCCATGCAGGAACCTTTCTCGATATCCGCTCCATAGAACATGATAACCACCGCTCTCGAGACAGCTCGCAAGGCTAACGAGAATCTGGCACTGTTTCACCACCGCCTTTCCAAACTGAAGCAAGCCTTAGGGCTTGGTACTTCTACCGCTGCTTATTTTAGAACCCTCCATCGAAAAAAAGCTTGACCTAGACCCTCGTTCGCAACCTTCTCGCTAAGCACGTCGCTTACTTGGAGCGATGTGACCAGAAATGGCGCAGGATCGAACCGGGATCGGTGATTGAAGGAATTCACCGCTTAAGCGCCATGGCAAAAAGTAAAACTCAGCAATAGGGTTCGGTATATACATAAAATCTGGGAAAATCCTGTATTTGTATTGGGGGTCCTGAATACCGTCTTTTCCGTCTAGACAGCTAACCCGATTGGGAAAGGATCCTGGGAGTGGGGCAGGTAAAAATGCTGCTTTTTCTAGAAAAGTGCTGACCTGGGCCGTGCTTTTTAATAGACTACCTAGCTTAGCACTGTCTAATACCGTCCGGGCCTGACTGTGTATGTAAAAGACCTAGCCGGGCTTATCTCGCGCCATCAAAAGCGGAGCGGCTCCCAAGAACGACCGGCAACGGGTTCCCGGCTTCTCTCTTGTTTGATTCAACGACGACTGAGCAAACCGCAAGCCGCCCAAATCCAAGTCCCACAACAGACAAAAAATGTCTGAAGCAATAACCAACCAAGCAAGAGAGATCCTCGGCGATCTCACCACGACCTTCACAGCTCCCGAACCCTGCTGGACACCAGCCCACCACCTCGACCTCAACGTCGGCTGGCTAGGCCAGACATGCGGACCGACAGACGTCCAAGAACGCCATCTGCTGGCCCCCGACGACAACAGGCGCCCCAAGAACGAACTCAGCCTTCTTCAGTTGGGGATTCTACTCGCCCGGCCTCGAGTACCCGGTAGGCTATCACTCCGCATGCACCGCCAGCGCCACCTCCCAGGGCTGGCGTCTCCAGTTCAGGATAGAGGCTGACGAGACTTTTGTCGGCTGCTGTCCATCCGGCTTCGCCTGCCACAACCAAAACGGCCAAACCTGCATCTCCAATGCCCGAACAGCCACTATTTCGACGTACCAATGCGAAAGCGGGAGCCAGATCAACCTCGCACCCATGACCCTCCCCAATCCAACAAGGTCTCAGGCGTACATCTACGCGCCCATGATCCAGCTCGCGTGGAAGCCCTCGGACCTCCCGCCGTCCCAGAGACCAATCGTTACGTCAGCCCCTGACGAGCCCTCCGGCGGCGGCGGCGGCGGCTTGTCGACTGGAGCGATAGTCGGTGTGGCGGTTGGCGCTGCGGCGGTGGTCATCGCTATCGTAATTGGCACCTTTTTACTGTGGAGGATGAAGCGTCGCGGGGTTGCCCGCGCTGGGCCCGACTCAAAGATGGAGGACGCCCCCACGGGACCGAGTACGCCTTCGCCTGGATATCCCACCACCGTGACCGAAGAACAGACAAAGTACTATTACTCTGGCCAACCCAATCAGCAGTGGCACCCGGGGATGAAGGAACCCCAGGTCACGCCATACGAACTGGGACAGTCACATGCGCCGGTCGAACTGAGTGGTGCTCGGTGGGATATAGATGGCAGGGTGGAGGCCCCCGGCCCTGAGATCAGACCGACAGAGCTAGAGACCCCGCAAGGGACTCCGCCAGCCGGGAAGCCTGCTGTGCTGCATCGATCGGAATGATTGGGGATAAGCTGGATGAGAGGACAGAGTGGAGGGATCACATTGAGCAGAGGTAATCCTTGGATACCTTCTCGTAAATCCCCCGGTATCAACGTTGCGTACATATTTATTTGGTAATAGCAAAGAGATGACTTTCTTTTCCTCATCCCGAATTTCTTATAGATTTCGAGTTGCACAGATAAACTCCGTAAGCAGGAAAGATTATGGTAGCTCTGCCCGATTCCCGTCTGTTCCCGTCCTCGCTGGGTACAGCGCTTCCGACCCTGCAGCCAGGGTTCCATCGTCTCTCACGACAGGCCTTGGATAGGGATAATATGTGGATGTCGTCCCACTCATCGCACTGACACCTGATGAGGTGTACGTTGACATGATGCTGCTTGGTAGCGGGGGCGAAACCCTCATACTGGAAGGGGGTGATACCAATGCGTCCGACGGCGAGGCAGGGCCGCCATAGTTCGATGGGGTGTATCCGCTGTAGTATTGGGAGTCTGGCGGTGAGATGGGGGCAGGGGTGTATGGGCTCAAATATGATGGCACCAGCCCCTGGGAAGGCGCCGGTGGTCGGTACGGGAGAAATCGATGAAGAATGGGGACTTGTTGCTGTTGGTTGCGCGAATCAGTAAGGGGATTAGGCGACGGTTGAAAATACGGCGCTGGACGTGTCGACTCTCGTTCATCGTAGTATTCTTGGTTCCCCAAGTCGTGTTCTCCGTCTGCGGTTTTGAGGATTTGTGGGATTGCGGGTGGTGGTCTGGAAGGGGAAGGTGGCGGCCTCACTGGTGGCGATGGAGACGGGTTTGGCGCAGTTAACCCTTCTCTTTGGTCTACATACTGCTCGTTTGTCCTGCTGCGCGTGTCGTCGGGCAGTTCGGTCACATTTCCTTGTCCGACATTGAGAGGCATGGCTGAGCTAGCGAGATATGTTACGCGCTGATACTCAGCATTCTCTGTATCGATAGCCATGGTGAGCAGATCCAAGATGCGTTTGCGCTGCTCGGCGGTGGCGGTCGAAGCAAAGGAGAAACTGGAAAGCGTGCCGAGATTGGTGGCTCGCGCTCCATTTCCAAGCAGGCTGGCGACAGCCTGGGAATGGCCTGCAAAAGCTGCTCGCCTTAGGGGGTCCCAACCTTGTGCATCAACCTCACGCACAGCGCCTCCATGTTGAAGCAGCGCCTGTATCACTTGGACGTGGCCACCACTGGCTGCCAGACACATCGGTGCATCCGTAGCCCCCTTGACCATGGCGCCACTGGTGAGTAGGAAGTTGGCAATCTCTGCATGCCCGTCTTGACACGCGATGGCGAGAGGTCTGATCGCCTTGTTGTCTAACGAGTCGACATGAGCACCACGGGCGACCAGGGCCCTGGCTGTCCTGAGGTTTCCCGTGCGGACAGCAATGTGCAATGGTGTTTCGCCGGTCATGTTCTGCACATTACAGCCTGCCCCTGCGTTGAGAAGGAGCGCTACTTCACTGTGTGTTGCATACTGACATGCATAATGTAGGGGTCGATTGCCCTCAAGGCACTCAGCTTCGAGGGATGCCCCTGCCCTGACCAGCTTCTCAATGACCCCGAAGCTCCTGCCCATAGCGGCAACATGAAGCGGGGAGCGGCCGTTAATGCTTCGAGCATCTAGCTCCGTCTTCTTATTAGCGATCAGAAGTCCGACCGCCTCTTCGTGACTGTTGTAGCTAGCCCAGTGCAACGGGGTGAAGTCACCAGCACTTCGTGTCCTCGGGGATGCCTTGTGCTGGAGAAGCAAATCCATCACGGTCTTGAGGCCTGCTCTTGCGGCTGTTGCAAGAGGCGTGAGGCTCTCCTCTTCCTGGGCCTCGAGGTCGGCTTTGGCGTTGAGAAGAGTCCCAACCACAGCGATACGGCCAGAGATGCATGCAGAATGAAGTGGAGTTCTCATATGTGAGTCTTTCGCATCCTTGTTGGCGCCTAGTTGGAGCAGAAGTTTGGCAATCTCATCATCACCCGCCTCGCTGGCTGCATGAAGTGGTGTTTTTTGGGCCTCATCACGAGAGTCGACCATGGCTCGCAGCTTGGCCAGGAAGCGAATGGCATCGAGCTGCCCATGATCGCAGGCAATCCTCAGGGGCGTTTTTCCGTGGGGGCCACGGACATTAATGTCCGCCTCTCGGTCAAGAAGCGTCGCCATGACGTGGCAATGGCCATTAGCAGCTGCCAGATGGAGGGGCGAAAGCTTTCGTTTGTCCTCGGAGTGTATGTTGGCCCCTTCTGCAATCAACAGCTCGACAACATCGTTGTGGCCGCAGTGACAGGCGACGGCGAGAGGGGTTCTTCCGGTTCCCTTGTGAGGGTGGTCCAGATCCGCCCTCCTCCGAATCAGCGAGGCCATTTCCACATGGTCACCCCGTTGAGCCGCAACAATCGGCTTCGGTGGTGGATGGTTACCGTCGGACTGGAGGTACATATCTGTGGCTACGAGCTCGCCGGGGAATCGGATACTTAATTGAGACTTTGGCGACATTGTCGCGGCCTCCTTGTTAGCGCGGGAGCTGCTGCTACTTGATAGTCTTAATCGACCAAATCGCTGGCGAATGGTGGAAGGTGGTGACTTGGACAGAGTCTCGGCCGACAGTGATGTGGTAGAAGAGACGGCTTTCCCAAGGGAGAAGAAGCCGCTCGTGTTGGAGCTCTTGTCGCTAGCAGGGGACACCGGCGAGGAAGCTGGACTGTATGGCAACATCTCGAATGGCATGGGCCGTTGCCACGTGGGGTCTCGGGAATCCGGGTAACTGTTCTCATGGCTGCGACTCGGGGGTCTGACGTGGATGCCGAACAGGGGAACAGTGTCGGGAGTGCTTTCTGGGAAGCTATCAATCCTGCCCAACCTTAAGGATGGCACGGGTGCCGCTTCGGTTCCGGCAATAGTTGAGCGTTCGGTATCCCTGACTGTGGACTGCTCTCGGACCGTGCTGGTGTCTTCGCGGATCTGTTGGAAAATCTGGCGCGCCGCGGTTTGTCGGAGGAGGCTATTTTGTTCTGAGAGGCTCTGGCTGTGGCATCGTCCGTCAGCTTGTGTCAGTATGCGGCGCGCAATTGAAACCGAAAGGCCTACCAGTATGCTGCATTGAGGAGTACCTGAAGCGCCAAGATTTGTGAATCAAGACGCTGTTCGTGTTCCTTGATCGTCGAGTCGATGAAGAGCTGTTTGAGGCGGGACACAACCGAGTCTCCCAGTAACCCCGCCACGTCCTGGTCCAGCGCTTCGATAAACACCTGGCATCCCTCCATGGCCACCCCCAAGCTATCCCGCATCTCGTCACCATTAGGGCTTGTGGATGCATTCAACTCGGCCCAGTCCTTGACCTGCGCCAGCGCGGCCCTCACTGTCGATAACTTTGCGATCAGGAGCTGGAGCGACCGTGCGCCCTCGGACCATCGCTGCTTCAGGGAATGGAGGTTGGTGGTGACGCGGGTGATGACAGACACAATCTCAGTACATGCCGCAACGGCGCCAAGAATCGAAAGGGGCTCCATGGTCGAGCTTTAAAGAACATCGGCAGAAAAGGAGGACCGCACTTAGCAACAAACGAGTGGGAGCGGAGGGGGAAAAGACAAGAATCAGGTGGACGAGGCTCGGTGATCATCCATTGGACTCTCCATGGAATTAACCGCCCTCAGCCGCAGCAGCAGAAGGTGGGGTGATAGCGCTGGGCACGGGATTTGGCAACCACGACATCTGCACTGTGACATTGGGGGTCAGGGGTGCTCAGCCTTGTCTCGGTTCCGTCGGGTTGGCTCACTCTGCAAGGGGCTCTTGGATCCACTACTTCATACTCTCTGGTTGCCGCCTCGATAGATTGAAAGGACGAGTGTGACCTTTTTCTGAGAGAACAAGAACTGGCATTTGAGATACTAGCCAATGGAATCGCAAGCACAGGATGATGGCTTGAGGTAGGGTGTAGGCAAGGCAGATTTAACATCGGATCAGGAAACTCGGTAAGAGCTGAATGCACCAGTTGGGATATGCCGATTACATAGGTACTATCTGTCATACCACACAATTCTTCTTGTTTCCGTTTCCACAGTAATCCTTCTTCGAAAGACAACAATGCTTATTCTTTATCCCGAACCCCTCTTAATTCTCCTCATAATCATAAAGGCTTCTTCTCATCCTTCACCAACTGTCTTGGACGCTTATAAAGGCCATTGCCCACTCAGGCTGTCGCCTACCTGCTACCCATCGCCACTAAAACCTGGTCTCTTCAGACGCAGCCCAGGTATTATAAGAAGATTTCCCGTACTTTCTCTTGTACAACACCGACAGCTTTAATATGAACTGCAATTAGCCGCACTATCAGTGGAGGAATAATTACTATTTACCTCGTTATCTTCTCTTTCCCTTCAACTCTTCAACTGCAATTTGAAATCTGCATCCTCTCTCATACAACCCCCCTCTCAACCGGCAAACAGTCCCCAATCCCTTCCCCCCTTTCACAACCTGCCGGACACTCACCCCCAGCACACTGCCACCCAAACTGCCTCTTACTTTCCTCCCTCCCCACTCCCCCAAGTACCACCTCCGGATCCTTATCCCTCATCCCAACTCCACTCCCAATAACCTCTTCGCTGCCAATGCCCAACTGTCCCCATCCCAGCTCTATCAGCTCTTTGATGGAAACCCCATAGATATACTCCCTAAGCCCCGCCCACCTCACCGCAGCAGCACACATAGGGCAGCTTTCCGCGTTGGTGTATAGCGTTAGTTGCTTGAACGCCGCGAGTGACTCGGCGGGTGTCATGTTGTACGCAGACGACACAAAAAGTGAGGAGCAATTGCTTATAGCTGCCATCTCGCCGTGAAGAGTTGGATTACCCGTGCGAGAGTTTTGGTTGGCGCCTGTGCAGATCAGAGTTCCTTGGGGGTTGCCGGTGGTGTGGTTGACGATAACACTGCCAAAGGCGGCGAAGGGGCAGGGATGGGAGAGGGCGAGGGTGTTGGCTTGGTGGATCCAGTATTCACGGACTGATAGGGGGATGGTATTGTTGTGGCATTTTGGGGGATTGGGTGTTGATATGAACACGGCGTCCATGAGTGCCGTAGCTGTTGAGAGAAGCAGCACCAGTGAGGCCGACCAGGTTGGTGGTCCCTTGCTCAAACGTCTGGGTAGCCACGAACCCGCCAAACACCAGCGGCACAATAATGAGCACTTCTGGCTGTGCAATGCTCCCGCGCAGGGTAATGACGACAAGAGCCCCCAAGACGGCGCACTGAAAGCAGATGGTGGTGGTTTGGATCGAGACCGCTTCTTCCGGGAGCGCGATGCCGGCAACCAAAGTTACAATCCACTGGCAATACGTCCCAGTCCGAGTGCCGATGCCGTACAAGTCCTGTGTGGCTAGGATCTGACAGGAAATAGAAGTGGAATTATCTCCCATAATTATTTTTCGGCGAGTATGAAGTTAGGTAAGGTAGACAGCCCCCTGGTCTTACTACCAAGAAAATAGATCATTCGAGGGTCATTCGAGGTTCCGTCGCTCTATTATTGACAGGTATTAAGAGACAACTATATTTTAATATTGAAATTGATAAGCACTTTCCGGGAAAAAGCAACAGGAGGGGTTAACAACTGTGGTTTAAGGGATTTGGGCATGAGTAAAATACGCCTTTTGGCATATTAGCGGGGTTCACTCGACTTTCGGCCCAGTCGGGGTTGTCTGCAGCGACCTGGCTGAGCCTGTCTTCCCGCCACAACGGGGGCGCTTGCCATCGGCGGGAGGAACCACGTTGCTCAAAGTCGACCAGCACAATGTTGTCGTTCTCGTCTATGACTATGTTATCGGGCCGTAGAGCCGAATGAAAGGATTTTGCGGGGCCATAGAGATGTCCAAGGGCCAAGATGATTTGCCGGATCCATTTTATCTTGGTTTGCAGGAGGAGAGGATGGTAAACGGCCGGCTCGGACTGGTTTGTTGTGAGCCACTCAAGAAGGGATCCGCCAGGCAAATACCTGAGTATGAAACCGCACACAATTGGTTGCTCAGCACCTGAGACCCGGCGAGTGACAATGTACTGCGGTCGGCTCATGATGTTGGGATGCGGGGGCATCCGCAGGAGCTCACGCATCTCATGATACATGCTAGCGACGACCCTAATGACACTCTTGAAGATAACCACTTCACCGCTGGGTAGCAAGACTTCTGAGATAGAGTTGTGGAGGCGACGTCTAGACCGTAGGACGTCGAAATCGATCAGTGGGGGTAGCTCCGAGCTCGCAATGTAGGGCTTCCAGAGCTCCGTTAGCCGTGACATAGGAAGGTATCGCTTATGGAGTTCGTAGTTGGGCGCAAGCCATATTCCGGCGGCGTCGCCCGTCATACCGTTGGTGTCATCAAGCCGGAATCTCGACCCGATAGTCACGCCCTGGAGAACATGCCTAAGGTCCAACCTCATGCTCCATTTATTGAGACGAGACAAAATGTCTTTGGCAATCTCTCGTATCTCTCTTTCCTCGATGCCCGAGTTTTTGCTATCCGATGCCGTGGTCAGAGTCCGGGCGTAGTGGCTGTTTGGCTCTAGATAGCATGTTAGGTGGTAGGCCGGGTACTGGAGCCTGCTTTGCACTGGCGAAACATAAATATTGGGGACGACGTCAGTGTCGAACTTTTCGAGCCACCAACTACTCAATGGAGACTTAGAGACGTCACGAAGGATTGCATCCACTGTCATGGCGACGGTCTTCGTGCGCGAGGAAGAGGCAGTGAAGAGGATATTTTTTTGTCCGATAGTAGGTGATAGTGGTTGGGTGGTGGAAGCAGTGGAGATGATTTATTCGTTGGAGAAGCGGAGTCGAAGGGAAGTTTTATAGAGGCCACGGCAGCTCTCATGTCAACCCACTGGCAAGCCATAACCTCACCATTGTTTGACAATAGATATACCTTGACGTATCCATAGTTTGCTGCTACTGGAAACGATAGGCTAATTTCCAACGCCACAGTCACATTTTCTTTCGGATAATACTGAAAATAACATGAACAGTAAGGAGGGTAGGGTGCGACTTGTTATTGCGACACCCCATAAGCGAGTCCGGAAACAGCAAAATATTTCCCTCGATTGGAGAGAACACACCTCGGGCAGCTGTATTAGAAACGCCACACGGGAGGGAGCGGCTGCATCCCGCAGGGTAAATCCTGATGACCAAATCTCCAAACAAGGACACCAGGAATATCAGGTAATTCAAAAGTCTGGCTTTCAGTGTTCCAGTCTTGCGCAAAAGATAGGCTCATCAGGCATCTTTTGCCTTCGATGCAGTGAGGCCCGCCGCCAACACAGCCCGAGACGCAGCACAACAAGCAATGTGATTCGTTGTGTTCAAATGGCGGTCGTCCTCGTTGGCCAAAGTGAGGCTTTGCGGGGCCGTTGACCGGGTCGCACAAAGCGGGATACAGCAAGTGGCATCATGGACCTATGAAAACAGGCATGCTATCCGTGTGCAAACAGAAGGGTATGCCTCCGGGTTTGAGGAGGAAGGAGGACGACGGGGCTTTTGATATCTTAGGGTAACCCCTTGAACATGACTGTGATCTTTTCTCCCAAAGTTCTGCACACAACTCTATCCATCCTCTTCATCCCACCTTTGTTGAATCAACCATGGCGTCAACCGACAACTCAGTAAGAGCCAATCGCCTGCGCACGCTCTTTCGAGAGACCGTTGCTGGGACTCGACCTATCAGGACTCCCCAGAGTGCCCAGCTATTCCTCGAGGCCGTTCGAGGTCAAGAGAACCCCAGTGCTTGCGTCGAAACTATCGTTGGGAGCACTGCCGGTGTTGACTCTGTCAGGGACTCGGTCCGAGCCGATTTGTCGTTGCGCTTCATGATTGCCAGTACGCTTCCATTCCTGCAGTACCTGTCCCATCCTGGCATCAAAGTTCTAGCCGACGGGCAGCTGTTGCGGCACGTCCTTTTGGCCATTGCGCAGCCTCCGACCGTATGGAATGCTCTGGTCAAGTTCTTCAAAAACCACGAGATCCCTGATGCCAGTCTCTGCGGCTTCGCTTGGCTGGCTCTTGAGCTTGCGCTTCTCCCACCCACCACCAACGTGAATGTGATTGATGATGTGAGGGCCATCTCTGAATCCAAGGGACTCCTCAAGTCAGAGGGCCATGTGACGCGCGAGTATGGCTACCTGATTCAAAAGGTGTTGCGCATTCGGGGCTCGCCTGAGGAAGGTCTTGTCGGGAATGCGGGACCCGGAGGGCGACACGACAATGACCTGGCCGACTTTCGAAGAATTAGCATCTATCCCACGACTGACGAGTTCCTGTCGACTCAGCTCCCGTTCTACCAGACGGCGGTTGATGTGCGCGAGACTGACCTGGAGAAGCGACCGAGTGTACATCTCGACAACCAGTTTCGCCTGCTGCGAGAGGACATGCTGGCCGAGCTGAGGGAAGACCTGCAGGTGGCCATGGGCAGCAAAAAGGGCGGCAACAATCGGAGGTCGTTCATGCTCGGCCGACTGGATCCAGTGGGAATTGACGTGGGCAACTTGCAGCCGAAGGGAAAAGCCAAACCATGCACCCTTTTGATCAGGTGCTTTGAAGGGTTGCACTTTCTCGAAAAGATGAAGCCCGAGGAGCGGAAGAAGTACCTCAAGGACGAAACAAATCTCCTCCGCCACCAAGCATTTGGTGTCCTCTGTCGCGACAAGGAGATCTTTGGCTTTGCTTTTGTCGACCGCGACGTCGACAACCTCGCCAAGTCACCTCCCATCGTTTCACTGCAGTTTACCGACGAAAATGGTCTTCGCAATGCCATCCTCGCTCTCACCCTGCCCAGACGCGAGTTTGTGCAGTTCATCTTGGTCGGCACCCCAGTCTTTGCCTACGAACCCGTTCTGTTGGGCCTCCAACGATCCGCCGACATGCCTCTCATGGACCTGCTGGTCAACCCCGCGCTCATAGCAGCATCTGACTTCAGCATCCCCCCCAAGCTACGGCCTTTGGTGGCCCAGCTTGTTGAGGACAGTAGACATCTCGCCGGCGAGGGCACTGTGGACCTTGACACCCCAACCGGCACCATCTCGATTGACAAGTCCCAGCTGGTGGCCCTCATGACCTCTTTGACCAAGCCTGTGAGTCTCGTGCAAGGCCCTCCAGGTACAGGAAAATCCTTCATCGGCGCTCAGATTGCCCGTTGTTTGCACAAGGCGGGCTTGAGGATTCTCGTTCTCAGCTACACAAATCATGCCCTGGACCAGTTCATGGAGGATCTTCTCGATGTTGGAATTCCTGACACCGCCATGGTCCGTATCGGCTCCAAGGCGAAGTGCACAGACAGGACCAGCGCCCTTCTTCTTTCTGCGCAACAGGGCAGTTATAGACGCAGCCGGGATGGTTGGGCTATTGTCGACGATCTCAGGCAAAAAGCAGCCAAGCTGGCCACAGAACTCCAGCAAATGCTACAGAGTTATTTACATTCACCATTTCGTTGGCAGGAGATTTCAGAATACCTAGAGTTTTCGGATCCGGATGCCCACTTCTTGCAGGCTCTTCAAGTTCCCGAGGGCGAAGATGGGTGGCGGCGGACCGGCCAAAAAGGCAAGGAAATCGAGGAAGACTATCTGTTCAAGCTGTGGATGGCTGGCCAAGGCCCTGGCATCTTCAAGAATAACATCCCCAACATTTCCCGTGGAGTCTGGAAGATGCCTCACCCGATCCGACTGAGCCATATTGAGAGATGGACCAAGGCCATGGCTGAAGAACGACTACACACGTTGCAGGAGGTAGCACGCCAGTATGGAGATCTTCAGAGAGACTTGGAGATCCAGTTCAGTCAGTCTGATAACCAGATCGTGCGTCAAAAAAGCATCATCGGTTGCACCACTACCGGCGCTGCCAAACATATTCGTTTGATCCGTGCTGCTAAACCAGATGTCATTCTGGTGGAAGAGGCCGGAGAGATCCTTGAGAGCCACATTCTGACGGCACTCTCACCCACCGTCAAGCAGCTTGTTCTCATCGGTGATCACAAGCAGCTGCGGCCCAAGATCAACAACTATGCATTATCAGTTGAGAGAGGTGACGGATTCGACCTGAATCGATCTCTTTTTGAGAGGCTGATCCTTCAGGGAGCCAAGCACGCCACTCTTCAGAAACAGCACCGCATGATTCCAGAGATTTCCTGCTTCGCCCGCGAGCTCACATACCCCGAGCTTCTCGACGGCCCCAAGACAAGCGGCCGCGAACGCATTCGTGGGTTGCAGAATAGAGTTGTGTTTCTGAGCCACACGAAGCCGGAAGACATCGACAGAGCGGTCAAGGACCGCCGCGACCCGGGTGCGAAAGAGAGCAAAAAGAACCAGTTTGAAGCCGAGATGGTCTTGCGTTGTGTCAAGTATTTCGGACAGCAGGGCTACAGCTCCAACCAGATCGTCGTCTTGACTCCCTATCTGGGTCAGCTGCGTGTTTTGCGAGACGTCTTCTCCAAGAACAAGCATGATCTTGAAATTAGCGAGATGGATAAAGCTGAGTTGATCAGAGCCGGATTGATCTCAGAGGCCGCCGCCAAGGTTGACAAGAAGCCTGTCCGGATATCGACCATTGGTGAGAGCATCTTGACATACACCCACAGAAATATTGCAAAAGAGACTAACACTTGACGACCACAGACAACTACCAAGGAGAGGAAAGTGATATCGTTATTGCTTCCCTCACGCGTAGCAACAGCTCTGGTGATGTCGGTTTCATGTCTGCCCCGGAGAGACTCAACGTTCTGATCACACGAGCCCGCAACTGCCTTGTTCTTATCGGAAACATGGACACCTTCAAGCAGAGCAAAAAGGGTAGAGCGGCCTGGGCTCCTTTTTTTGAGCTTCTGAACAAGAACGGCAATCTTTACGACGGACTTCCAGTCCAGTGCGAAAAGCACCCATCGACTCTGGCATTGTTGAAGGAGCCTGTTGATTTTGACAAGTATTGCCCCGACGGGGGGTGCACTGAGCTTTGGTATGTTGTGGCCCCGAACGTTTCTTTTTTTTCAAAACAGTGGCAGGGCCACTGTTCAGCATATCCTCTTTCCAGCATTGGGGCTTGGCACTCGGCGTAACATTGTTTTCTTTTCTCTTCTTTTTCTTTTTTCTTTTCCTTTTATTTTTCTTTTTTCTTTTCCTTTCGTGTTTTCTCTTTTCTCCTTTTCCCCCCCTCTTCTTGGTCTCGTTTTTTGGTCTTTTCCCTTTCTTTTTTTTTCTTGCGTATTATCATTACCACCCATGTTGTGGCCCCTTGGCTTCTAGTCTCTATTGCAGCTCTATTATTCTGTTCACAAGGTGCAGGGCTAACTGGATTCTACACAGTGATACACTCCTCAAATGTGGCGTTCACAAATGTCGATCTCGCTGCCACCGCGTTGACGACCACTCCAGGACGGAGTGCAATCAACTTATCAGCCGAGTTTGCGCCAGACAGCACAAGGTGAAAGTGCGATGTGGGAGGCAGAATGAGGGATGTGTCAACTGGTATGTTTTCTTCCTCCACGCGTCCATTGGTGATTACGTTACGCGTTGGAAACTCCAACTAACACAGTAGCAGCATCAAAGAGGATAAGGAAATGGAGCGCAAGGCCAAGAGAGATTTGAAGCTGGAGGAAGAACGCAGAGCACGCGAGGAGGAGTACGCACGCACCTTGAAAGAGATCCAAGACGAAATTGAACATCAGAGGCGCGTCAACAAGTACCATGCCGAGGAAAGGAACCGGAGCGAGACCATTGAACAGCAAAAGGCAGACCTCGAAGCGTTGAAAGAGGCCGAAATCAAGCTCCGTCAACAGAACAGGCAACGTGCAGAGGCGCAAGCCCGATCAAAGGATACAGCCACTTCCAAGAGCACCAAGAAAACGTCAGCCAAGTCTTCCGAGGAGTGGACAAGTGAGTCAAAGGCAGAATGGGAATTTCTGAAGCAGTCGGAGCCAGGGACTTACAGCAAGGCACTTGATGAGCTGATGGCCATGATCGGGCTGGAGGATGTCAAGCAAGAATTTTTGAACATCAAGTCAAAGGTTGATACGGCCTTGCGGCAAGATGTATCACTGGCCAAGGAGAGATTCAGCTGCTCCATGCTGGGGAACCCCGGAACTGGTAAGTCACCCATGCTATCTCACTCTTCGGGTCTAATCTCTCTCTCTCTCTAGGAAAAACCACTGTGGCCCGTCTGTACGCAGAGTTTCTCACGGAGCTTTGCGTCATTCCGGGCAACTGTTTCGAGGAGAAGACCGGTGCAGGCCTGGCGAACATTGGTGTTTCTGGTTGTACCAAGCTGATTGATGGAATCCTCAACACCGGCGGCGGTGTTCTTTTCATTGATGAGGCATACCAACTCACGTCCGGCAATAATCCTGGTGGCGCCGCTGTTCTCGACTACCTTCTGGCTGAAGTCGAGAACCAGAGAGGCAAGATTGTCTTTGTCCTGGCTGGTTACAGCAAGCAGATGGAGAGCTTCTTTGCACACAACCCTGGACTGCCAAGCCGATTCCCAGTCGATATGACTTTTGCCGATTACACCGATGATGAACTTTTGAGAATACTCGAGCTCAAGATCAACCACAAGTACAACGGTGCGATGGACTGCGCCGATGGCCTACGTGGGCTCTACTGTCGGATTGTGAGCCGGCGTATCGGGCGAGGACGGGGTAAGGAAGGATTCGGCAACGCGCGCGCTGTTGAAAACATGCTGGATATCATCTCGAGGCGCCAAGCCAATCGTTTACGACGTGAGAGGAAAAAAGGTGCCAAACCAAACGACCTTTTCTTCACTAAAGAAGACCTTATCGGTCCGGAGCCTGCGGAGGCTTTGACCAATTGCGCCGCCTGGAAAGAGCTTCAACGGTTGATTGGCCTTCAGTCTGTCAAGGATGCTGTTCGTTCGCTTGTCGACAGTATTCAACAGAACTATGTGCGAGAACTGGAGGAGAAGCCACCTATCGAATACTCTCTCAACAAGGTTTTTATGGGAAATCCTGGCACGGGCAAGACGACTGTGGCGAAGTTGTATGGGGCTATTTTGGTGAAACTCGGTTTGCTCTCCAAAGGCGAAGGTATGTATTCTGTCTTTTGGTCTCTGCGGGCTTGGAATCTTTGAGTAACCACTTCAACTGTTCTGGGCGAGAAGCTAACTGTCAACAGTTGTGGTAAAGAACCCGTCAGACTTTGTTGGAGGTGCTCTGGGCCAATCAGAACAGCAGACCAAGGGAATTTTGGCGGCAACTGTTGGAAAGGTCTTGGTCATTGACGAAGCCTATGGTCTTTACGGAGGAGGAGGCAGCCACGGCTCAGTCTCGGACCCCTACAAAACCGCTGTCATCGATACCATTGTGGCTGAGGTGCAGAGCGTCCCCGGAGACGACCGCTGCGTCCTGCTTCTGGGCTACAAGGATCAGATGGAGACAATGTTCCAGAACGTTAACCCTGGACTGAGCCGGCGGTTCCCCATTGCTTCTGGGTTCAACTTTGAGGACTTCTCGGACGAGGACGTTCGCAAAATCTTTGACCTCAAGCTCAAGAAGGCGGCATACCAAGCCACTCCCCAAGCCGTTGCTGTTGCCATGGAGATGATCAAGAGGGCTCGCAATCGACCCAACTTTGGAAATGCTGGCGAAATCGACATCCTGCTCGATGCAGCCAAGGCTCGCCACCAAAGACGTCTCAGCAGAGGCCAGGCGAAATCGGATAGTCTCTTCGAGGCCGTGGACTTTGATGAGAATTTCGACCGTGCAGACAAGTCGACTGCCAGCGTAAAGCAGTTATTTGAGGGCACGGTTGGGTGTGAGGAGACTGTGAGGCTTCTCGAGGGATACCAGGAAACAGTCCGCACGCTCAAGTCGCTTGATATGGACCCCAAGGAGAACATCCCATTCAACTTTCTCTTCCGAGGTCCACCTGGCACTGGCAAAACGACGACCGCGAAGAAGATGGGCAAGGTATTTTACGACATGGGATTCCTGTCAACTGCAGAAGTGGTGGAGTGCTCTGCTACTGACCTCATCGGACAATATGTCGGCCAGACGGGACCCAAGGTGCAACAGCTCTTGGACAAGGCTCTTGGGAAGGTGCTGTTTGTGGATGAGGCGTATCGTCTCGCCGAGGGACATTTTGCCAAGGAAGCCATGGACGAACTGGTGGATTCCGTCACCAAGGACCGCTACGTCAAGAAGCTGATCATCATTCTGGCGGGCTACGAAAAGGACATCAACCGCTTGATGTCCGTCAACTCGGGCCTCACCTCGCGCTTCCCAGCTGTGATTAATTTCCGATCGCTGACCGCCGATGAGTGTCTGAAACTTCTCTGCGAATTGCTCGGAAAGCAAAGGATGGGGCTCAAGAGCAGAGACAAGGATTTTGATCTCACATGCCTTGTTGCAGCAACGGCTACCTTCAGGCGGGAGGTCATCGCCTACTTTACCCACCTCGCCGCCCAAGACAACTGGGCCAGCGCGCGCGATGTTCAGAGTGTGTCCAGGGCCATTTTCAACAGGATGTTGACAGACAAGACCGGGCTTGCCAGTGGCCGTCTGGTGCTGACCGAGGTCGTCGTGACTACCGAGCTGCGGACCATGCTGAATGAGCGGTCTTCTCGAAGCAACTTTGATGCGCCAAAGATCGACATCCAGGAGATACTCCGTCGATCGCAAGCCCCGCCGCCGCAGGGACTTTCTCATCGACCGGCTACCCGTACCACCACTGCCAATGAGATTCAGCAGACAAAGGTTGCAGCAGAACCGGTTGTTGAGGACAAAGAAGAAGAGCCACCCACTGTTCCCGAGATCAGCACAACGGACCCAAACAACAAAGACTCTTGGATCAAGCGAGACGCAGGTGTCAGTGATGCGGTCTGGGAACAGCTTCAGCGGGATCGTCGGGCGGAGGAGGAGCGTGAGGACGAATACAGGCAGCTGTTGGAGGCCAAGGAGAAAGCGACTGAGGAGGCGAGGGAGAGGATTGTGGCCAGGTTGTTGGCGGAGGAAGCTAGAAGAAGGAAGGAGGAGACAATCAAGGAAAATTTGAAGGCCATGGGCGTTTGCCCTGTTGGGTACCCGTGGATTAAGCAAGATACGGGGTACAGGTGTGCCGGAGGGTCGCACTTTATTGGGAATGTTGATTTGGGAAATGTGTGAGGTTCCGGTGTTCACGCTGTACTCTGTATGATGCTGGCAATTTGTGACACAAATAGGAACACCACTTACACCGCTCAATGGCAACAGCCACTGCTTGATCAGGGTCGTGGATTAAGTACATCGTTAGGTATTTCTATCTACCTACCTAATTACGTACTCTACACAAGAGAAATAATAGATAAGCTGAGATAGGAACTTTTCTAGTTCAGATAGAGTTAGGATAGGAACTTTTATAGCTCGGATAAATTAAAAATAGGAGGCTTTATAGCTTAGCTAAAGCTAGGATAGGAGTTTTATCGCTTGGATAGAGTCCTATTGAAGTTTGGATTTATAATTAAAAAAACGGTAGGAAGAAAGTTATTGCGTAATCTTGTTAAACCAGATCGTCCTTTACTCTACTTCAAGTTTCCTGCCATTACCTCCTCGGAAACCTTGACCAAGGCTTCGTTGTCAGAGGTGCCGTGGTTACTAGTTTTGGACAACGTGGACGATCCGAAGCTTATTGGTTCCTACCTCCCTTCAACAGACTCGGGCTCTATCCTCATGGCCGTCAGAAATACGTCGACACATTTCACGCCAGCAAAATAGACTTGGGTTGTTCAGCCGCTCGGTAGGGAGGAGAGCCCTACGCTTTTAATGAGTCAGCTTGCCCTCGACGAGGCGATCACCAGCCGAGCGGAGGAAGATACCAAGGCAGCAGGCGAAATTTTCAAAGAGCTTTGCGGCTTTCGTTTGGCTATAACTCAAGTCGCCGGATTCGTCACCAACGCAAATTGTAGCCTGGTTGAGATGGTGACGATGTTCAAGAGTTTGTTTGATGTGAAGGCCATCCTTCAGAACCAGCAGGGACCCGTCGATGCCTTGTAGCACGAGCACACCCTATCCAACGTCTGGGATGTCACGTTTTCGAGGCTCAAACAGCCAGTCAGAGATCTGCTTGGAGACGTGGTGGAATGTAACCACCGGCGCATGCCGTGGTATTCGGTCGAGAACCCTTCAATCACCTACGCATATGGCGGCACGGAGAAAATTGTAACTAAGCTTGTAGTTAAGTTGTATTGCAGAAATCCAAAAGGGCCGGTTGGTGTAGTGAAGCTATGGTGTTGGACCCGTGATAATGGTGAAGATATGGGAAGAAGCGATGAAACAGAGGGATCAGAACGTCTCCCCATCTGACCTTTCTATCATCAATCACTCCTCATCCCAATAGATTGTGCCTACCTTGTAACCACGCTCAAACACGCCCGTTTCGAATTCTCATCACGCTGGTCATATCTCAAACTCCATCGCTCCACAAAGGTTCTCATGTACTACATCATTTCCATAGAGGTTCTCAACCATCTGCATCAAGGTTCTCATACACCCATGCTTAAAGCAAGGCACTATGCATCCCCCTTGCGGACTCGACTTCTTCACCATCCATCATCAACAACAACAACCTCAACCACTAATCCTCACAAGGTTCAACACAGTACTCAACCCTCCCAACCCATTAACATGAGCGAGAACAACCCCCTCTCCCAAGACCCTCAGTCCCCCTCCTAGCCCTACAAAGGCGAAGATCACCATTTCTGCCTCCAGCACCGATGTCCTGTCAAGCACTACCACAGCTCGTGACGAGGACGCCTCCGAGTCCGACTCCAGTTACGGGAGCTTCCCGGATTTCAAATGCAACGACGGAAACAAACCTAAAACCCCAGCTGTCGCGGCTTGGGAGGATAGTTCCGGCAACACACGACGTTAATGACCCAGCCGCGGCGTGGCACTGGAGCCATTGCCCACTGTGATATTGGTCCCAGCTGTAGGGTCTAGAATGGCGGGATGTCGACAGCGTTGGAAGAGAAACTCCAGAAAAAAAAGAAAGAAAAAACCGTGGTGATTTACATTGCATGATGTTATGGAGCCGAGCTTGGGGGTTCACCGAGTTGAGCTGGCTGTCTGGAATATGTAGTAGATATTAGTGCAGCTATGCGAAGGACGTTTTCCCAAGGTAGCAATCCAAGATTTTGTTCTTTTAACATTGTGAGACCAGCCATAGTGACACCCCGACACGCTGACAAATTTTCCTCCCCGAAAGGTTGCAAAGACGCCCTAAACATTATTATCAGACCCCCGAACTGTAAGCCCTGCAGGGCTTCCACTTCCATCGTCCCCGTTCAGCTGGCTTCCGTTCATGTCTTGCGCAGATCTGTTATCTCTCTCTTCATGATGTGACACTCTTGGATGGGCGCTAGTCGATCCACCAGCGTTGGGTGGCGTGTCGCGAGGCCATGTGCTCACTCGAAGACGCGGGGACTTATCCCGTCGCCGTTTATCCCAGGACCGTCGACCCGCGGTATTGCGTCGCTGCTCCTGTCCCATTTCTGTGAAGAAGTGAACAGTTTGTATTCCATTCCCATTGGCATGCCTGGTAGGTTTCCCCTGATCTTTGTCCTCATCTTGGGAGTCCTTTCCGTCCCTGCCTTTCTTTCCCTTCCCATCCTCTTTCTGCTTCTTCTTTTGACTTCGTTGGTTCCGACGCAGCTTCTTCGCCCTCCTCACCTCTTCCTTCATGTCCTGCACCATTTTCTCCGTTTTCTGCATCATCGAAGTCGAGCACCACTCGTCACTAAAGGTGAGCCAGAATCGATAGAGACCGGAGTATATAAGCACCGAGGTGGTGAACAGTTTGAACAGAGACCATATGAAGGCGCGAAGGAGGTTGGAAAAGGCAATGACTACGGAAAGGAAAATGACGCCAAAGGAAATGGGCACTGCCGTAGGTTAGGCCGGGAAACTACAGAATAATCCGGGGAGGACTTTGAGGGGATCTTACAAATGAACTTTAGTTGCTCCCATACACTCCATGGATTATCGCTGCCGCCAAATTCGTAATTGTTCATGCCAAATATCGAGGCAATAAATGACAAGGGGAGCTATTGCCGCAGTTAGCCAGAGCGTTTCCTTAGTTGCCATAGCTCAAGTGTCACGAGTTGCAGTTACTTACAAAGATAATAGTGATGACAGTAAACATCATGATAGCCCGCCCCTGGCGAACTGCCTCTTCGGCTTGCTTGACCGATTCCCATGCCTGAACGACACTTGCCTGTTGTTGCTTGAGAGACAGAAGATCGGTGACCTGACCTCGGAATTAGTGACTTGTATGGCGGTGTAGTAGCTGGTCAAACTCACACTTTGGGCCGTACTCTCAGCCCCCTTCTTCAGCCCCTCAAGCTCATCAAGTCGATCGTCCACTTCGGCAAGAAGTTCTTGAGACTGCATTCGAAACCACAGAAGCTGGTCGCGCTTCTCCTCCATTTTGATATACTTTTCCATGTTCTCAGTGGTACTGTGTGCCCTTCTTGACGTCCCTCGGTCATGTTGGACAGCGCCTTCCTTCCACCGGCCGTCGGGATCGAGAATGTGCTCTACATGCTTGCAAAATCGTTTGATCACCTCTCTCTGCTTCTTGTGAACATGAATCATGATGTCGAGCTCATCAATGATGTCCTTGACCTCTCTTTGCAGCTTCCCTTCTGGGTGAATGTCCAAGAGGGGCACGTGCAGGTCAGATGAGTCGATGTACTTGGATCTCGAGCGGTAGATTTTGGATGCCTTTTGTGTCCAATGCCAGACATGTTGGAAGGATATCGTGTGTTGATTCGTCTTGCAACACGTCTAAGTAAAAGAAGCCCGCCAAGAGTCTCAAGAGGACGAACTTACCACATTACCAATAGCTTCTGAAAAGATGTCCATCACCTGTGGTTGGCTGTCCTGCGACAGTATTAGCTGAAATCACTCAAAGATTGCTGAAGGAAAACAAACCTCAGTCTTGGTTCGATCAAAGAAGGTGTTGCAACATTCGTCGAGGATGATCAGAGCCAAGTCATACACCGACCTGACCTGATTCTTGCGGGCAAACTTCAGCCTTTGACGAATAGACTTGTGCACCCCCGAAAGATCCTGCTTGTTGAACCCGTAGCGCTTGGGAAATGAGGTGATAATTGTCTTCTCGTCCAAAACCCACATCCAGAGCTGATCGACCATCACGAGCTGAGAAATTTTGCGAATGTCACTCCGGCAGTGCTCGCAGCCATGTTTATCCGTCTTGTCCCAGTGGTCAGTCCACTTCAGTGTGACGTCGACATTGTCGTTATCCGAGCTTTGATGGAATACTCCCTTGAGCCGGCTCCATGGACCGGACTCTGTTGTAGTTGGCTGTGGCTCGAGTCGGTGACAAAAATCCAGATTCATATTTGTTCCCCGATAGACAACCTGGTCCCTGTCTCGGACCTTGGTGGTCTTCAAGGTCCAGTAGTAGGACTGATCAAGCGTTCGGCGGGGGTGAAGAGGTGGATCATGGTACAGATACTTCTCCAGCATTCGTTGGTCTCGATAAGTAGATATGGCTTCGTAGAGTCTTGCCGCGTCAATCAGGTACTGTCCGAGAGGATTGTTGATCTTGAGCCTGCCATTGTCATCTATTTCAATCCGCTGTTTGCTTCTACCGACAGAAACAAGTCTGTTCATCAAATCAGCCAGATCGTTCACACCTTGTGACGGGGCCGTCGAGCGCTTCTGGTCGCCGCTCTGAGTCGTCTTTTCATCGTTTTGATCTCTGTTATCTGTGTGTAATATGCGCTTCGCACCCGGCTCCAAGTCCTTCCTCTGTTCTATGCGTGTCTTGCGTTTCTCGTAGGCGATGTTTTCGTTTCTTCTGCGCTGCTGCTCCGACTCGATATCAATCATCTTCGCCATCTTGTTTCTCATTCTGTCGGTATCCCAGTGTAGATAGGGCATCTGTGTCGAGACATAGGGTCAGTGATACTCGAGCAGAGGTGTGGAGAGTTTGGTTGACGGACGAAGAGGACTATATTCTTTGGATTATCTTCAATTTCGGTAACCTCTGCAGCAATGTCAGGTTGACTTTTCTTGGGTTTCGGATGATTGTCATCACATACCAGACGATATTCTCTCACAGAGAGGTCTCATATGTCTCGCATGCACAACACCACTTCGAGCTCCATGTTGCTGACCACGCCAAAACTGAGGCCTCAGAAGCATCTGAGTGTGTGTCTTGACAGATCGATCCCTTGATGCGTTGCTGAGGTCAATGTTGAGATGGCTTTCACCATAGTATCTAGCTATCGCTTTCTAGGATTGGCATAAGTCAATGTTCATTCATCAATAAAAGGGAAAGCAGACTGTACCTCGACCCACTATGTACCGGGTTAGCATCTCAGAACAACGCACTTTAGCAGCGGTTAATTAGGACAACTCACGTGCATGTTGTTGGACGGCAGATGGAAATATCGTATTCTTGTAGGGTCGTCGACCTTGATAACATCCCTAGCAAGAATACTAGGCCCCGGTGCGGGAGATGACTCCGAATCTCCGTCTGCACCAAGAACAATGTTCATAGCTAGACGCTGGTCCGGAAATCTACCCTTGAATCTTGGATCTTGAAGTTCCTCCTCGTAAGGTTCGAGATACTGAACATGCGAGCTCTGTGTTGGTGAAAAAGTCGGTGCTCGGCTAGTTGTGCCGTTGTGAAAGGTCTCCCGTGTTGGTGACGACGTTAGTGTCCTTGAGCGAGAATCCGTGGTGGGTACTGCGTTTAGTGCTGTAGATGTCCAGTCCTCGGCTTTCTTGCGTGTGTACTGAATGAGGTATGCGTTTACATCTCGCTCGAGATCGTACTCTGCTGATTTGGAATCGGTTGCCGGTGTGCTTTTGCGAATGCGTTCCACTATCTTTCCGACCTCTTCCCGTCCGGGCTCTGGTCTTGATTCGGGGTCAACATTAGGGAGCCGTGCTGCTGTACTAGGTGGATTCTCGGCGATTGGTCTATTGCGCTTCCATGCTTGAACCTTCTCCAAGCCGGCCAGATATGACGTTGATCCCCTCCAGTTCTTCCCACTTTCTTCAACACAAGTCACAAAGTGATCAGTTCTCGTGATGTTCGTTGATTCCTGCAAGCAGGGCCCGCTTGGTACTGTTCCCTTGACAGCCTGTCGAAGGATGTCGGTTCTTCTGTACTGAGCTTCAATTGCGACAGCGGTGCTCTCGATCGTCTTATCTCTACGCTGTTTTGCGGCTCGTGTAATCTCATCGTCTGGACGCTTTCCATTTTCGGGGAGCGATTTCAGATACTCCTTCTCAAGGAGGAACTCATGCTGCCAGATAGGGCTGTTGTCGGGGTCAAGAAAGTAACTGGCACGGTCTGCGATGTTGATGCATCCAAAATAATGCTTGGTGTGATCTCTGATAGCCTCTGGAGGGTGGTCCTCGGAAGAAAAGCATGTCGGGGGTGCGGATTCGGAGTCAAAAGCGCGTGTGACCGAGTGATGCCCCGGCTTTAGGACACCGGGATTCTGGCTCCTTGCTTTGGGGGCCCGACGCTGGTAATGCTGGTGTAAATGTCGAGATGCCATCGTGGTCTGCCAGTTGTCTCGAGTCATAGGGCTGAGTAGATCTCTCTCCAGGGGAGCGACCGGTTCTATATAAGGAGGTCCGCTGTACCGAGGCCGACATATTTGCCCGCTGGCTCCGACAGGTTATATGGACGAGGCTCTGGATAAGCCGCTTGACGATCGGTGAAGTGATGGTGAATCACGGGATTGCGCAAGAAGTTCATGTTCGTAAATGGAACCCTGCATGTCCCAACATCCCGGGCTGAGTGTAGCGGCCAATCGTGCGGGCACCTTCATGACACAGCTGGGCATATTGGGTGATGGCGGCGGCGTAGCTTCTGCAGTTCGTCCAAACTAGCAATTGGCCAATAATCTCACTGATGCTCCCAGCCGTGTCACAAAAGGAGAGGCGATGGTGTGGTTGCACTCAGGGGAAGAGGGTGTTGTCGACGAGGCTCCGGAGAGACTCCAAAACCGGATAACAATTCAAACATGGAAACACGGTGACGAGAGTGTTACCAGAAACAGAAATGCGAATTGGGGGCTGAAGTCAACGGATCTTGATGGATGGCATGGCGAGGCTCGCAGTTGCCGTCTGCTGTCAGGCAGCCCCTCCATCCCCCGCCCGTTGTAAATTCTTATCTGCCCCTCACTTCACACATTAATTCACGAATCAATCGATCTTGATTTTTCCCCAAGATCTATCACAGCTTTTACTGTCCCACCCCGGCTATAGTAGCTCTTTGCTTGGGCCAATGTGCGATTTCTTCACCATAGCATTTATGATAGTCAATCTCGGCCTGCATGACTCCTACCTTAGCTTTCTGTTTTTACGATCCTGCCCGTCTTCTTATTTTGAATAACTCTCAGATCATACCGGGTATCTTACCTAGGAAATTACCGTTTTCTGGGCTATTTATTGTACAGGAGCCTTGCTGGTTCTGACGTTGAAGAAGCCCTGACGGGAATCAGGCTCATCTCATGCATAACTATATCCATGGCTCCAACAGGCATTAGATGAGTGTGCACAATACTCCCCACAGGTATTAATTGTTCCTGATAACTGTGGGAAACGAAGAGTGAACAAACGTTCGGTGATTGAGTCGCAATCCACCAAAGCTTAGAAGTTGCCCCTGAGCTAACGATATGCAGTTCCTGACACGATCCCAACCGGGGCGGGGAAGCTCTTCGGATCAAGATACGTCATGCATTCAGCTTTGACGGCCTCGGAGGGCGAAGACATGATCACATAAGAGCTGATTCCCTCTTTTCTTTCTCCAAGGGGATTTTGACTCGTTCTCGGAGGATTTGACATAATTGAGAGGAAATGGTACAACGATTGGTGGCTCGACGTGCCAACGCGACCCTTTTGCCTGCTCCCCGTTGCACCGCAAGAGTCAACCCATTTACTGGCCCTGCTGTTGTGTTTGCGTGTCACCAACCGCAAGCCCGAACCATCAAATCCACGGCTGTGTCCAAAGGCGTGGTGTCGAACACGATGCAGAAATTGGGGGTAGGTCTTCGCATGCCTACCTACACTGAAGAAGGGAGACTGACAGAGCTAAACGTACAGGATACGCTCGCCGAAAACTTCGGCGGAGCATTCACGAAGCTCGGCTCCCGACAATTCAAGCTCGATGATTGCCCTGATCTGACCGAAAAGGTGGGTGTTGTGACGGGAGGCAGCCAAGGGATTGGGTTCGGCGTGGCATATACCCTCCTCAAGCACAACATCAGTAAGCTCTACATAATTTCCGTCAACAAGGAGGTCTTTGAGGGTGCCAAAGCCGTCATCTCCGATGAACTGGGACAAGACAAGGCTGCCCGGATGGTCTGGATGAAGTGTGACCTTGTAAGTTGTCCCTTTGCTCCGGTGTTGACACTCACTGAGAAGAAACAACATAGAGCGACTGGCGGCGGGTCAAAGAAGTAGCCGAGATGATCAAGCGCGACAATAACCGGCTCGACATCCTCGTCAACAACTCGGGTCGAGGCATCATGTCAGCCGAGCTCACCTCATATGGAGTCGACAGGCACATGGCAGTCAACCACATGGGCCACGTCGTCCTCACATCCCATCTGCTACCCTTGATGCAAAAGACGGCCGAGGAAGGAAACATTGTGAGAATCAGCAACCAGAGCTCCAATCTGCATACCGGTGCTCCCAAGGACACCAAGTTCGCTTCGCTGGACGAGATCAACCAGGACGTCGGACCCAATGCGCAGTACGGAAGGAGCAAGCTGGCGGGGATACTCTACTCGCGATACTTCAACCGCAAGGTAACGCAAAATGGGCACCCAAATGTGCTCATGAACGCTACACACCCAGGCTTCGTGAGCACCAAGCAGAGTAGGGAGGATATTCTCGAGCCGTATCCCTTGGGTGGGTACGTGATGAAGTACGGCATAGAACCGATTAAGAAGGACCAGTTTGAGGGAGCCGTGCCTACCGTGTTCTGCGCAACCAAGATCAAGGATTCAGGCCAGTATATCTGCCCGCCTTGCATCCCTGAAGAGGGCAGCCCAATGTCGCAAGATGATGAGCTGGCGGATAGATTGATGGAGTTGACGAGGAATATCATCACTGAGAAGACGAGAGTGGACTCGGTGGAGAGAGGATGTCCAATGGATGATGTTGTTGTACATTAATGGTCGGTTTTCGGGCGTTGAGCAGCCCCTTTTACCCCTGAGTTCAAGTCAGACCAAGATCTTCAATCAGCAACGACAGCCAAGCAGCGAAGGCGGGGGCACAAAACTGCACCATGCAGGCCATAAGGGGATATCAACCACCAACGAAAGCGGCGTAGACAAGAGGTCTCAAACGGAAGAATTTATTTGATGCTAGTTATTGGTGAAAGACGTTGCTGCATATGCATTCGAGGAAACTCAATGGTAACACACTGCTCGACATCCCAGAACGAAACAATGTTCATTTGTCGATGATGATGATGTGCCGAGCTCTGACCGCCTCCAGCAGCCTGAGTGGGGTTGTATTCGGAACCAGCTTCCAGCACACTGGAACCGAGTGATGGTTGTTCTGATTGGCCGGTATTTGAAACGGTCCCTGCCGAGAAAGTTTGCGAAGGAGGGGTCACAGCCCGAAGCCTGTCCTGCTCAGCCCTATGATGGAATTGAGATGATGGGAGAGGTGGGATCAGAAGAAGGGCCATTGGTGTCGAATCCTATCCTCAGGAGCCGGTACTCCGTGTGGGTGGTGAACCGCAATTGGAGATGTGAGGTGAGCAGTGGGGGGTGGAATGGGCTCAACGTCAAAGCTGCGGTTCAAGGTGTCACCCTGCAGTGACCCACTGGTGCCTGCACGCCACATCCAACGCTAAGCCAGAACAAGCACAATCCCTAAAGTCCCTGGAATTCATTGGCTCTGCCCCACGCCAATGGAACAGCAATTGACTTTGACTTTCATCCTTCCTGCCCGCCATTGCTTCTTCTTGCAACAAATCCTTTATTTTTTTGTTGTTGTTTTTTGCTACTTCTCTGTAAATCCCCGTTGCCCTCGGACAATCTCTTCTCCTTTTTCCTCTGACTCATTGTTGCATCACGGCTGGTCCTGTCTCTCGCTGATCTCGAATACCTCATCGATTGGCCGCTCCGTCGTTCCTCGTTCCTCGTTCCCCGTCTTGCGTCCTTCGTGCCACCGCCATTGTTTCCTAGCCATCGCGACTTGCTCATTCCTCAAAGTTCCGAGACACAGTCGCACCAATCTCACTTTTCCTCATGACTTGAAGGCTTCTTGGGGGTCCAACGGCCGCGATTGCCACCCCTTTGCAAAGAGGTCAGGGGATTCGATAAAGCCTGGTTCTGGTTGTGACGTTGGAAACAGAACACATACCGGCATCATCCTGGGGACTACTTACCCCTTCCTTTATATCGAACTGACTGGTCACCTTTGTGAGGTACGAAACGCGAGGGCTTCGGCCGTTTGTCGCCCCTCGCACCCAGCTGACATCGGCAATCGACCCACCCCAGCCCTGGTACCCAAAACAGCTTCGTTTGTGTCTGCCCAACATGAATGGCCATGGCACACAAGGCCACTTGGATGATCCAGCTCGGGTCCCTTCTTCTCCTCGTCCCAAGGCAGGCTCCCGAACCAGCTCCAGTTCCTCTTCAACAGCGCAAACAACTTCCACACACTCTCACCGATACCACCATAGCCGTTGCGGCGAACGAGCAAAATCGCACTTGTCGCGAGAGCTTTCCGACGGCACGAGTCTTGCCGTAACTCCAATGTCTGCCTTGTTGCAAGAGAGATTGGAGCGCGAGCGGAGGGTTGAGAGCGAGCGCGCGTCAAGTAGGACAAGCAATGATCTCTTTCGTTCTACCGTCGACAACCGAGCGATCCGCAGCCCGTCCCCCGCAGACAGTCGTCCAATCTCGAGCCAAAGCTCAGATTCGGCTAGGAAGAAGGGCCTGGGAGTCAAGGAGATGGAACAGACTCTTTCGAATCTCCACAAGCAGAACTTTGACCTGAAGCTTGAGCTTTACCATCGGCGGGAAAGGCAGACGGTGTTGGAGGAGAGCTTGGAAAGGTTGGAGCTCCAAAAGGCCGAGACGGACAAGATGAATGACAGGCTTGTTCACGAGCTGGAGAAAAGGGACAAGGCAGTTGAAGAAGCTGTCAGCATGATTGTGGTTTTGGAAGCCCGGGTTGAGCAGTTGCTCAGGGAGCGAGAGATGGTCCGCCAAGTCGAGGTCCAAGGATTGCCAGGCGCGGAGGCAACATCAAAACACAAGGTCCTTCTGCCATCTGGGTCCGACGAGGTTAAGACCCTCAATCGAATGCCCAGTTTTGTCTCTGAGCACAGTGAGAGCACCGAAAACCTTCGAAATGTGTATCTGGGGGCCCGTGGCAACGTGTCCAGTCTCCCAACCATGCCCGAAGCCACCCCTGAGACAATCCGTGGGAGTTTCAGACTTGACAGTCCAACGTTGAGCATTTTGAGTGAAAGTTCTTTTGTGAGCGTATATGGTCGGACCAAGTCTCCAGACGCACCATCGCCTAAGGAAGAGAGTCCCTCACTCATGGACACGTCTTGCATGCAGCGCATGCTTGCTCTGGAATCACCAACCAGAGTCAGAAGTGCCACCCCCAAGAACCGTCCCAGCACAGCCCGCGCCATCTCGAATGAATATACGCATTTCCACACCATTACCGACGTGATCGGGGCCGGAAGTTCGCCTCTTCGTCAGCTGGAGAAGGTGGAAGTCAAACGTCGAGCCCTCCAGGATGCCGCCAGAGCACAAACCACAGCCAACGACTTCTCCCCCTTTCTTCGCCCACCATCCTCCATGACTAAGCGTAAAACGAAACAGGAAAAGAGGGAGGCTCTGGAAAAGGTTCTCACGCACGGAAGTTTGACAAGCGAACGCGGGCTTCCTCCAACGCCTGATACCATTTCCACCACAACACTGCGGCTGTACAAAAACTCCAATGACACCCTATCCCACGAGCCAAACCTGACAAATGAGCAGAGCTATCTGGCACTGTCGGAAACAACGGCCTCGCACCATTCAGTGCCTGACGAGCACGGCACCAGTCTGGAACCTCGCACACAGACGACGCATACGCAGCCAGCATCAACGACGGCATTTGACAGCCGCAAACTAGCCGGCAAAAATGAAGATATGGACCAGCTCCAACGACCCCAATCAACGAGAGATGCTTTGCGTCAATACAAGGGTGCAGATGACGCTGAATCGACCACGTCGAGTGTTGACACTTGGCTCCGAGAGGGCATGAAGCCACCACGAAAGGCCCCGCTTGATCCCATGAGTTCTGTTTCGCAGGCCCATCCAAACTACAGGGCAGATCGCGCTTCACCAGATCTGTTCTCCTTCCCATCTTCTACCAAGGGCTGGGCGACCAACGTCATGTTTGGTTCGCTGCAAGGTGCAGGATATATGGGGGCTGGCGGGAACGGTTTGCCGCACCCGCCAATGGCTGACACTCTCGATGCAATTAGCAAGTCATTGACCAAACCTGTCTTTAGTTCGGGGGTATTGACACCGACGCTGGACTCGCTCAACTCTGCGCCTCCGCCGCCGAATCGCAGGTCAAGTCTACAGGCCAAGACGGGGGCCGACCTCTCGGGAGCCGCATCAGCCTCCCCTGCGCGACCATCCCCATCGTCAAAGATAAAGATGAGTGTTGGAAAGGGAAGTAGAGCAAGAAGCAACAGTATAGATATCAGGCCCCCGTCTCGCCAGCTCGCAGATATGGCTCAAAGTCGAGCAATGACAGTGCCACCGAAACAGGCTCATCAACCTCCGCCTCCACCCCGAAAGGTTTCGCAGAGTCATCCGGACACACAGGGCACACCATCACAGTCCGTATCAAAGCAACACCATTACCCTCCAACCGCAAGCCAGGCCCCCGCTGCTGCCACCCCTGCTCGGCCTAGATCGCGCGGACTGAATCACTTCTTCCGTCGCTCCACCGGCTCGGCCGACCCACCCGTTGCGACACCATTCGCCGCACCGGCTGCAGACACGACCTCAAAAGACGAACGGCCACTGATCGGAATACCTTCTTGGGGACGACGCGCCTCGCTCGTTGATGACGATCGGGCTAATTCCAGTGCCACGCCACCGCCTATCTTGAGGAGTAAGGCTCCAGAAAGAAAGGTTGAATTTGACGATGATGGGGGAGGGGTTGAACTAGAATTACAGGGCAATGAAGGCGCGCCGGTGGGACATGTGCACGACAGCGGGGGGGCAGCCGTAGAACGGGGTGGAGGAGCGCCGATTGCCAGTGGGGGAGCGCCTGTCGTAGGTGGTGGGAAGCGGAAATGGCTTAACCTAGCGAGAGTTGGGAGCCTGAGGAACCGTTGAAGCTGGTGACAGTTGCGAGGAGGGCGGGTGTTGACGAGTGAATAACAAAGGGGAAAAGGCATTGCGTTGTGCGCATCCTGAGCAGGCGTATCTTCGCTTTGAAGTCAAACATAGGTTTTTTTGGTATGGTTTATCTGATATCGATGGACGGATGAATATGTTTATTGGTGGGGGAGTGTTACTGTTTCGAGGCTCGGATTCAAGGCCGTGTGGGTTCAAGTTATTAGCATGATGAATGATGGAAAGACTGAATGAAGAAAAAGATGAAGGTGGCATACCGGCGAGATGGTAGATAGAAGCGGATCGACATGTATGATACCTACCTAACATTGAATTTTGGGATGAGATACCAACGTACACTGTAGGAGAACTCGAAGGATTGGACCCAGCGTGCATCGTCGTGTTCGAGGCCTTGAATGACCCGGGCATTGACGAGGCAATGGGTGGAGAAGGACTGGTGTTCGGTATCTCTCTTCGGGACAGTGTGTGTAAAAACGGTGTCTGCTGCTGCCCAGACAATTATGTTATATTGGTGCTTGTTGAGCAACGGGAACACGAGAGTTGCTATTTAGGTAGGGTACCAACCTTTAGTTTAAAACTGGGTTTTTAATTATAGATCCGAGCTTCTATAGGCCTTTATCCGAACCGTAAGACTTCCTATCCTAGCTTTAGCCGAGCTTTAAAGCGTTCCATCCTAACTTTAGCTAAACTAGAAAGTTTCTCAACTTAATTTTATTCGAAACTATAAGTGTTTTTTATTTCGACGTATTTATAATTTCTCTGGGATAGAGCATATAATTAGGTAAATATAGAATACCTAACGATATATTATATACAGAAAAGGCCGGTTTAACGGGCGAAACTTTATATGTTTAAGTTTCAAAGTCCAAAAATATAAGATCACCGTTATGGTTTTATACATCGTCGAGGCAGTGCCACCCGAAGCGGCTTTGGGAGGCTCATCACCAGTCATGCAGGTCTGCGAGATCTGGCCACCAGCTTCGTTAAAAGTATAGGAGGGTCCCTCTGATGAGATGGCCGTAACTTCTTTAGGGAGATGCATAGGGCTGCATCGAAAAATAGTCAAAACACCCTTGAACCAACCCTTCTTTCGTGCAAAGCTAGGCTGGCTACCTTGTGATAAACAGGCTGCTGGTCTTGCTCAGGCAGTGTTTTTGGGGTTGCTCAACGCCCCTCGGCCTTCCATTTTCGGTACGCCTGAGCTTCTCATCACTGTGCCATAAGTATGAGGGGATGCAAATGAAACAAATGATATGACACCAAAAAGCAACAGTTATGGTGGTGACTGCTCCTTCGGGCGATTGCCCATAACGCCTGCCAATGCATATATTAATCCTACAGCGTCCGCGCTGGTGTCATCAACCCATCAACTCTACTCCATTCCTTACTGCCCCAACGACAGCACCAGTCTGTATGACCTCCGAGGCGCCGCCTGCTACCCGATGCTCCACCTGGGCAAGTAGGTCAAGCCAGGTGATCATAACTTCTGGCTTTACCTCCAACTTGACCAGCTCCTCCGACAACGCAGTGATGATATCCGCCAACGCCAACCCTTGTGTGACCTTGACGCTGTTGACGGCCGCCAAGCAGGCCGTCACATCGCTCGTGCTGAGCAGCGTGTTCATGATCTTCTTGATGACATCCGGTGGTGGCGCGGCGACGCACATGTAGATTGTGTCGACCGTGATGCTTTCGCGGACGATCTGGTCTTCGGGGATTTTGGGGGTGTCTTTTGGTTGGAGGGGTGTACCTTAGCAGCATCTGTTAGTAACAAGGAAAGACTGAAGGGCGGAGAGAAAAGGGAACATACTTGACGCATGGCAAGCCTGCAACACGTTCAGCGCTCGTCTCATATCACCTTTGCTGAGCTTCACTAGCGCGTCGGCCGCTTCAGGCTTGATCTTGATGTGCTCCTCGTCGATAACCTTGTCTACCAGCACCCTGATGTCCCGCTCCTTCAAGGGACTGAACCGAAATCTTGTACACCGAGACAGCAGCGCCGGGCTAAGCTTGTGGGAGTAGTTGGCAATAATGCAGAACCGGGTGTTGACAGTGTACTTCTCCATGATTCGTCTCAGTGCCATCTGGGCTGTGCTCGTCATGGCGTCGGCCTCGTCAAGAATGATCAGCTTGAAACCGGCAAGTCCTGTCTTGGAGGTCGATGCTCCAAGACTAAAGATCTGTTTCGTTGAGGCAAAGGTCTTGATCTGCTCGCGGACCACATCGATACCTCTGTCGTCGGAGGCGTTGAGCTCGAGGACCATCTGGCGCATGTTCTCGGCACCATAGATTCGTCGGGCCAGGGCGAGGATGGTGGATGTTTTTCCGGTGCCGGGTGGACCATAGAGAAGGAGATGTGGAAGGCGGTTCGAGTCGACGAACTTGTTGATGGTAGCGAGGATGTCTTGGTGGCCAGAGACGTCGTCGAGGGAGACTGGGCGATACTTTTCGACCCTGTTTTGATCTTGTCAGAGCTCTGAAACGGGCTGAATAGAGTAGAAGAAGAAACAATTCTCGTACCATGGAAGGCTGTCTTCGGCTTCAACTGGGAGATTGGCGGCACTGCGCTTGCCCTTGGCTGCATTGCTGGAGGAAAAGGTGACGTCTTTGGAGACGGGGAGATCAATGTCCATCTCATCTTCGAAGTCGGACATTTTGAGAGTCTTTTCGGGCGAGACTTTCTTTACAGGTCGTCGTGGTGAAATGTGGCGAGTTGAGAGAGTTGGTCTGGACTGCGACGGTTCAATTGCTAGAGTTGGTGATGTTCAAGGCTGCAGCGCGGGAGAACGCGGTCGACGCGTCTTTCCTTAATTGGCTGCTTGGCGCGAGTCTCCTCAGTAGCTTGGGTGGGGTGTGGCTTAACAAGCCACATAGCTCCAGTTACCCAACTAAATGCCCCCACCTTCCTGAGGCTTAACGCCGCACCGTTGAACACCGTCCCACACGTTTAACGACCGCTCGAGATCTTGTGGTTTTGTGACGTCCCACAGCTATCAATAAGCATCATTTCACATGCTCACGATATCATGACAACTCTGGCTCCTGGTTATACAACAGATTCCACGCTTACGATTCTCGGCTACCAGCCCACCCTCGGATGCCACGGGTTGGCAACTCGCTAAAACCCTGTGCATCTCAAAGTAACTCTGTAGATTCCATGCAGTTTCACCGTCTTTCGCCATTTTTCCCATTTTACGCAACCGCGCGGGCGTGGTACACATGAAGACTCTTGTTCCCATTCGGACTTCGGAATCCTGTCATCCCGCACCGCATATTGAGGTTTCCAGTTTGCGAGGCTCGGGGTTAAGCCAGCCAGTCAGATCCCGGAGCTCACACTGACACATGTTCCCTGGCAGCTCATGATGCGAAGATGATAGAAGATGCTGTGCCACAGTTATATATCGGAGCTAAGTATACCTATGAACTCCGCCGCGGGCGGTGGACTATCATGTCCTGGTGAGGAAAGAGGTGCCGCAAATGTAGGTAAACAAACATTACGAGGCTCGATGGGCATCCAATGTAGAAGGCGAGGCAGGCCTTGAGGAACTTGCAGAGGCTCATTCACCATCTTTCTGGCATGTCAACTTGGGTCTCATCACTGCTATGGTTCCTGTTCCGGCTCGGCAATCATGCCATGCCCGTGTGCGAATCCAACAGGGCTGTATGTGCCCAGCGTGGTCGCCTCCTTGTCGTTGCAATGCTGCGGGATGTACCGCTGATCCCAGAGCGAGCTCGGTCCACGTTACAACACAATTTGTAGCGTTTGTCAGCCCAACGGATCGTGTTGGTTGCAAGATTGCAACGGCGAGCTACCCGGAGGGTCTTTCCTGGCGGCTCTCATTGGTAGCCTTTTTCCGATCACTATTGTTGGAAGTTGATCCCCTCCCTGTTCAGGATGTATATCTGGGGATATGTAGAGGTAACCCGATGGATATAAATCCTCTTTGGTGTCGCCTTCGGGTTCAATCCACTTCTTCCCACCTCGCCATTCACTCCCTGCTCTCAACTCAAACAAGCTACATCTTGCTTGATCAAACCACCAACATGGGAGACGCCCGAGATCTCACCAGCCCCAGCGGCCACCCCCCTCTCACCTCCCCTGAGAAGCCCGTCCTTCTCTTCATGACCCTAAACGCCTCAGGCCATACCGCCGGCGCGGCCCAGATAGCAAAGCACCTCCACTTTAACCGCGGCTACAAAGACATCTACTTCATCACCGGGCCCCGCTTCCAACCCCTCATCGAAAGTACCGGTGCAAAATACATCAAAAACCCCTTCGAGTACGACGTCCCCAAAGTCCAAGAAGGCTCCACCGAAGGCGAGGCCTTTTTCGAAGGAATGAAAGCCGTGTTTGGGGAGTCCATCGTCCCGTCGTATCACGTTCTGAGGAAGACACTCGAGGACATCCGCGTCGCTCATCCTGAGCCACGGAAGATTCTGTTCGTCCACGAGGCGTTGTCTCAGGGTTTGCTGCCGTATCAATACGGCTGCCCCTTACCCAAGGGTTACACCTCCCTCCCCAAGACCATAAACTGGCACACGAGCATCTACACCAGCTCTGACCCCGATTTTCCTCCCTTTGGTCTTGGTCTGAAGTACGACCCCACCCCTGAAAACAAGGCAGTCTGGAAGACCATGCACGCAGGAGGCAAGACAATGTGGAAGCCACTGATTGAGCACTACGATCAAAAACTCCAAGAGCTGGGGTCCACCAAAAGGTTCACCGACCTGCCGCTTGATGTGGCCATGACCGGCGGGGACGTCACCGTCATGGCCACCACCGCCTCGCTCGAATACCCAAACGTGACCAAGGACCCCAAAAAATTCCGTCTTGTCGGTGGGCTGCCCGTCAGGGCGCTGGACAAGAACCTCGTCTACCCCCCTTGGTGGGAGGAACTCACGCTCAACAGCGCCCTTTCCGACTCCGACCCGGCAAAGAAAAAGGTCGTCTTCGTCACCCAGGGTACCGTCCACCGCGCCTACCACGAGCTGATGATCCCGGTCATTCAGGCAATGGCTGACAGGGAGGATGTCTTGGTGGTTGCTACCCTGGGAGAAAAGGGGGAGCCGAATCCCCTACCAGAAGAGGAAACACCCAGGAATGTCAGAATGGTGGATTACTTCCCTTATGAGGCCATCCTTCCCCATGTAGATGTCTTTGTCTCCAACGCTGGTTACGGCGGGTTCATGCACGGGATCATGAACGGGGTGCCGATGGTGCTGGCGGGGTTGATCGCCGACAAGGGGGACGTTTGCCAGCGGGCGGCGAGGGCGGGGGTGGCGGTTAATTTGGGGGTGTCCAACCCGTCGGTGGAGCAAGTCAAGGAGGGTATTGACACGGTGTTGGGGGATGAAAAGTATAGACAGAGAGTGAAGGAGATTGAAGAGGAGAACGTCAAGGCGGATTCCCTGGGGCAGATTGAAAGTATTATTGAGGAGCTGCTGAGCCATGAGTAAACTGAGCAGCAACAGAGAGTATTAGAAAGACAGTTCTTCATTTCCACCATTCCAATAGATTCCAGCTCATATGAGAAAAAATAATCTGCAAAAAGGGGTATCGCAAAGAGAAGTAAAAAAAAGTCCAAAGTCCAACAACCATCATATCATCATGCTCAGTTCCTCAATGGCCAACCCTCCCCATCCCAAGGTCTATTCAAATTCTGTTGCGGCCGAATGATACGCCTCTCCTCGGCGTTGCCGCCTCCCATTCTTGTATTCTTTAAAAGGAAATCTACTTGTGTAATCCGGTGCTCTTTTCGCTTGATACTCGCCGATTGGTGGAGTGGCGGTCCAAGTGGTTGTGGCTGTGTCTGGTCGTAATTTGGAAGTTTGGTTTTGCTCTGGCTTTTCTCCTCGATGTCGTAGAAACCCAGAATGTCATCGACAGTGATGCTATCACCAGTGTCGCCGCTGTGGTCTCTTTTGTGTTGGTCCTTGATATGTGCGTTTGGTGGTCGTGCTATGGCTGCCGCCGTTCTCGAATAGATGTGTGGGTAAGAAAGGGGGTGTTGTTCAAGTTCAGGGCTGGCCAGTGTGGAGTCTACCATTGTATGGGATGAGCCTGTTGAGGAAGAGTCTCGGAGGTGGCCTTGGGTTTCTACTGTGTTATGTGGTGTCAGGCTGGGTGTGGTTTGTTGCTGCTGGGCGAATTCCTGCCGTTGGGGCGATGCCAGCGACTCCAATGTGATATGAGAGAGGTGTAGGTTTCGGGGGTCGGGGGTTTCAAAGCCGTTGTGGGATGGATCCGGAAATGGGTCAGGCCTCTTCTTTTGATCGACCATGGTGAAGCGCGGTAGTTCGGGGTCGCTCTGCTCAGTGTGATGGTGGTTGCCGTAACCGATCGTGCTGATGCCTCGTTGCTTCAGGTAGAGGGGTCGCAGGGTTGGGATGCCCAGGCACACCAAGGCGACAGTGATCTCTGCGCCGGCCCAGATGAAATAAGGGGCAAAGTTTACTGGCCAAATGTCAGCTCCCGATCAGGTTGAACAACCAGGAAAAAGGCCGCCCACTTACAGGTAAAGTCATCGATTTTTAACCGGGATAGCACCACGGTTCTGACAACACCACAAGCACCAGCACTGCGAGTCGTTAGCTCATGTCGGCCAACTTGATTGTATCTTTGCTTACATCACACCCAGGCTCATGCCACTGGCCAAAAGGAACTTTTCCCGACGCGGCATCTTCAAGGACATGATGAAGAGCCAAGGGAAGATGGCGAAGAAGAAATCACAGGCGCTTGACCAACCTGCCTCGGAGTTAGTATGCCGTCATATCCATACTGAGACGGTCCAACATACCTCCCAACCCAACACTCATGGGTTGAATCTGGATATTCCACTCTCCAGGCGTCCTCAGCACATCCCAACTTGCCTTCCTTGGCGTCGTCTGGTTCCACAGCATCACCACCAGTGTTACCGATGTGCCGACAGTAACAACAATCAGAAACCAGAGCGCAAGTTTCTGCCACTTCAGCTGCACAACCCGTAATAAGAAAAATCCCATGCAGAGCTTGGCGAGTGCGTTTCCCGAGATGGCGAAGCTGTTGGCAACATAGGTCCAGAAGATGGCCCTCGATGACTCGTCCGGAGAAAGAGTCCAGAAGCTGCGTCCCAACCCAAAATGAACAGCGACTTGAATACACGCAGCAAACACCAGCATGAATATTCCGGTCCATGCGTACATGTGGTCCTCGATGCCGACAAAGCGAACGATTCGTATGCGGGTGTACAGACGTAGGCCGACGAGTCCAAGAGACAGCGCCGTCATGGCCCACATGGCAATGGCCAGAGTGTGTCCCGCGTGCATCGTAGAGTCGACATTACTGCATCTGAAAGACTTTTGCCAAAAGGAGAAAAGAAGGATTTCTCAGAAGCACCTAACTCGGGGCCTGGCCTGGTTTTGAGATGTTGGTAGGTACTGAAAAACAAAATGACGATCAGATGTGATTAATGCCTCTATACTTAACAGGAGATGACATGACACCCCCAAAATCACAAGAACGATAAAATCCGCTTAATTGACTCGAGTCTGACGAATTGCAGCGGGATGTCATCGATTCGTGGCTGCAAAGAATTGAACCTCCTGGTCCTTCCTTCCGGATTGGTCAACGGATACGGGCAGTTGGCCAATCAGATGCCAGAAATCCACCACTTACAAGCGCCGCCAACTGCCAAGACCCGACCTCTGAGATCTCATGGGAGGAAGCTATTTCTTGACCACAAACGTCGGAAGCGCTATCATGTTGCAACATGGGGGCCCCATCAACTTTTTTTATTTATTCTCCAGTTTAAGTATCGGCAGTGAAATTGAAAATAGGATACACGTACAATCGCGGGGTGGAATGATGTCATATGCTGCAGGTTGAGAACATCTACCCCGAGGTCGGCATCATGCTTGTTGCTTGTTGTGAGTCAAACCCGTTCCTTGATCGCGAAAAGTCAGTGCCTGATTCTCGAACACACTCACCAAAACATTCAACAACCCACCTAGGAAACCTCCATCTCCCCTTGGCATATCTTATCATTTGCCTTACAAACCCCCACCGCCCCCGCCATGCAGCTTGCTCATCAATACAAATATCACACCTCTGCGATCCTCGCCCTATGCTTATCTGTCGCCCCGCAAAGAAGCATAAATATCGCGCCGCCAGTTGGCCGGTGTGATGTCTTCCACACCCCACGGTCATGTCTCTGCCTCTTCCCACAACATGAAACACCGACATGTTGAGTCGAAGGAAGAAAGAAAAGTGCGGTAGCAGCCGAGCGGCAAAGAAGGCACCTAAATTCCTCCCGCCAGCTTCCCGATATTAGGTCTTTGCGGCTGGCTAGGCTGACTACCAGCTTGGCCCACCCAACTACCGGGGGTAATACTCGTCCGATCCGCGTGTGGTCAAGTAGCAGTCTGATCCTGGACCCCAAAAGAGAACTGCCAGAGATGAGTTGAATGTATTCAAAAGGTTCGACCTGGCATACTTCTTAGTATGCGCCCCAATACGCGGCGGACCGTGTCTACGTGCCTAGAAAACACGGCACGTCTCGCTTAATGGGCGTGACTTTCAAGAATCCCTCGGCCACAACAACTCTTCCTTGGATCAACTTCATTCTTGTTCCAATTGCCTTATCTATTTGCCTTATCTATTGTCCCCATATTCTAACAGGGGCCGCCCGCCTAGGTAAGATACCACATGATATCCAATATTCCCACCAATAACTCCCCACCCAACCAGCAACACCCGCGGGCCTTAATAAACATACCTAAACCCATCAGCCCTGATATCCCCCACAGAGGAATCCGACACAGCACCCGCTTCAGCATTCTCTGCCCTCTGCCTTTCAGCCTTTTCAAGCTTTGTGTTCTCCCACTTGTGGAAATACCGTAACACAATCGCCAACAGACCAACAAGCAAACAAATAGCCGAGTTCGCGCTCCCTCCGGGGGTGTATTGCGGTGCCGCCGTTTGAGGGTACATGTACGAGCCGTAGATACTAGCCGTATTGCCCACCATGTTGGCGATGGCCACCGCTGCGCCGCGCTTGACCATGGGACGGGGGAACGAGTTGGCAATCCATGACAGGATGATTTGATCTGTTTACAGTTCGCTTAATTTCTTCAGCCTTCTGGGAGATCAGGCAGTGCTCACAAGCAGAAACGGCCCCCATGGGCATCAGAAACATGGCAAAGAACCTTGCCCCGGTGACTGTCGTACCAGTAGCAATCGCGTTGCCCACCGCTGATACCAGCATCAGACCAAAAATGTGGAGTGATCGATCCTTTGTCCGAGCCGACGTCCAGGTAACGCATACCGAAATCAAAAATGTGGCGAACCAGACAGGGGCCGTCAGCCAAAGCGTTTCGATCTTTCCGTAGCCTAGTGTTCCAACAATGCTGGGGAAGAAATACTGGAATGTCTGCGACAGTAAGCTGAGATGCTGCAGCAGGACAAACAGATAGAGCCGGTAGTCTAGTAATGCGAGCTTGGTGCCTTGCCAGACCGTCTTGGCCCTTTGGTCGTCGGACTCGTTGATGTCGGCCAGAAGTCTCCATGAAGCGTACTCTCGTTCTTGTGGACTCAACCAGCGCGTCGTGCTTGGGTAGTCGGGCAACACCCACATGGCTATCAGAGCAACCGCGATGGTAATAACACCCTCCTACTCAGCCGTCAGCCATGTTGGAGACACAGTCCGGCGAACACTTACGATAATAAACAACCACCTCCACCCAGCAATCCCCTGAGCACCCTCCATCTTTCCCAAAACAGCTGCTCCTATCAGCCCCCCAAACATGTTCGCCAACGCATTCCCTGAGTAAAAGTACGACATCCTCCTCGTCAATTCAGCCCTCGTATACCAACTGCTCATCAAGAACACGGCCCCCGGGAAAAACGGCGCCTCGACAAAACCCAGCAAAATCCTCACCACCACCAACTGCGCAAAGCTCTTGGTCGCACCGCTGCAGGCAGAGACGGCCCCCCAGAGGCACATAGCCCCCGTCAGGTAAATGCTCGGCCTGACTCTTGTTATGAGGAGGTTCGACGGCAGCTGGAAGACGAGGTAGGAGACGAAGAAGATGGACGTGGCGAAGTTGAAGTCGGTGCCTGACATGCCGAGGTCTGCCTCCAAGGTTCCCTGCCGGGCTTGGGCGAGGTTGGCGCGGTCGAGGAAGTTGAGGAGGTACATGAGGATTAGGCAGGGGAGGAGGCGGAGGTCGATTTTGCGGACGAGGGTTCGTTCGAAGGAGGCGTGCCATTCTGGGGATTGAGAGCGGAAGTGTTGGATGTCTTCGTTGGGTGGCGGTGGTTTCTCGGGGTGGCTGGGGGGTTTGCTTGGGGATTCTGCATGGCCGACATGATGATGGTTAAGGGGTGATGATTTGGTGTCCATTTTCTAGGTAGTTCCAAAAGTTGGGATGACGGCAACAGTGACAGACATAGGACCAAAGGATGTGCGGAGACCCCGAGTTCATGAATCCCAGGTTATATCCGGTGACTGGGTGAGGGTTCTTGCCTTGTGTATTTGTACCAGACATGCTCAAGATTGGAAGGCACGATCTTATGCATGAGACAATCCCGCACAGATAATCTTTGTTCCCGGATGCCACCGCATATCTGCATATCTGCACCATCTTCCGCTCTTTCAGCTCGCCGTTACTGGTTGTCGCCGTCACCGTCACCTCGTGTGTGATGATGCCAGTGATGCTGATCGCTTCTTCTCCTCACACCTCCTCCCTCTCCCCTCTCCCCCACTTGACCAATCGCCATCCCTTCTCAGCGCCATTACCCCAGATTTCCAGGATTCCATTCCGTGGAATTGCTCCACCAAACCGCCCCCCATTCTGCAGAGCTAGCCAAAAGCTTGGTCATCGCCTTACTCCGCTTCCCCGGATCTTGTCGATTGTCGCTCGACATCCATTCCCTGCTTTGGGGCATTCGAGAAAACTGCCGAAGTCAATTCCCTGCCTCTGGCGAGCACCGCATCAAGTACCACACCACGCACATCACGCACACCACCCGCCGAACAAGCAAGCCTACGGCCGGATGCCGGCTCGTCCTCCCCTCCCCCTCGCCCGCTACCCACCACGTAATATCGGCATATGCTTCCATTGGAACGAATTCCCCCGCCATCGAGAATAGCATCCGTGCTTCGAAAACCAGAATGCTGAATGGTGCGGTTAGAGAGTGCCATCAAGTTCCAGTCCCATTTCAACAACCTTTTCCACCTTTGTTCCCCAACCACGGCTGATGCCCAGCCCTGAGGCTCCGTGATAAGCTTCTCCAAGGTCTTGGGTGCATCGTGTAGCGCCCCTTTCCAGCAGAGCTTCCCGTGCGCGCCACACGGCCGTTTGTGCTACCTTCTAGACCCAACAGATTGCGGCACGGTGGTTGGCTACTGGGAAAAGGGACAAAGACAATAGTTCACCAAAAGCCAGCATATTGTCACCCAAAGACGTATGTGCGTGCAACCGCACGTTGGGATGGGTATTTGCAGCAACCTCAGTCCCTCGACTCTATGTAGGCCCGGATCGCAACTCTCTGATCTCCGTAGATACACGCATCGAATCCTCTCCACCACCACCACACGCCCTTTTCACGCCGATCAAGTCCAGTAGCGGAAACGTGGGTGTCTGCTGCCCAGTTCCTCGGCCTCCTCCTCGGTCAGACCCTCCAGACGGTGATCGCGCTTTCCAGCGGCCCGAACCCTGTTCTCCCGCGCACAGTACAAGACGCCAAACAGGGCGCAGCATACCGTGACGATTTGGCCAACGAGGTTGATGGTGTGGCCAGTGTGGTACTTGGGACCGTCGTAGTAGATGTAGGTCCAACTGCGCGGCGTGTTAGTATTTGACAGCGACGAAACCACCTAGGATGACTCACGTTGCGACGATACCACCAATGGTTCCAAGCGTGACAACATAGGCGCTGGTAACAGCCCGAACCGAAGGCCCCGCAGAATCTATCCACCAAAGTTAGCTGACGGCTTATGCAGACACCAACGGGTATCCGACTCACTGTTCATCGCCCAACTAAGGAAACCAGGGCCGCCCGGGAAAGCACCGATGGTGACAAAAAACACGGCCATGTAGCGAACGTTGGTGTTCTCGACCCATCGCAGGATGGCGAAGCCAACCACGGCGAGGCAGGCAAACGAACCCAGCCAGACACCACGCTGCCCGGACTTGTCGCTGAGCCACGCCACGGCGATGGCAACCACGCAGGCGCACACGTAGGGAGGCACAGAGTAGAGCTGAGCTTGGGTGTTGGTCCAGCCGAGGTCGTTGAGGATGGTGGGCAGGAACACCGAGAGACCCTGGACGGTGATGTTGATGAGGAAGAAGGCCAGGGCGCAGGTGTAGTTGTGGATGCAGAAAACAGCAGCCTTGACATCGGCCCAGGTGACCTTCCTGGCGGGATCAGACCTGTGCTCACGCAACAAACGCTCAGCGGCGATCTTTCGTTCGCGTTCGTTGAGGAAGTAGGCGGTCGACGGATCAGTAGGCATCCAAATGGGCGCCAAAAGACCAATGATGACGGTGATGAGACCCTCAAAGAAGAAGATGTTGCGCCACGTGTGGATCTCGGCGCCCGCGGCTCCCCACGAGGGGATCTGGGACAAGGCGGCGGCCAGGAGACCACCAAAAGCACCGGCGATGGAAGCAGCCGAGACGTAAATACCGATGCGGAACAGGAGCTCGTTGCGCTTGTAGAAGCAGCTCAGGAAGAAGGCCATACCAGGCATGGCACCACCCTCAAAGACACCCAGGAACGAACGGGCGACCATGAGACCAGCGAAATTCTTGACGAAGGCGGTGCACAACGAGACGAGGCCGAAGCCGCAGACGAGAAGTGGGAGGTAGAAACGCGCTCCAATGGCCTTGAGGAGGATGTTGCTGGGCACCTCGACGAGCAGGTAGATGATGTAGAAGATGGAGAGGGCCCAGTTGAACTTGACGCCTTCCACCATGTCGAGGTCCCTGGCCAATCCTTGGATACGCGCATTGCCGATGTTGATGCGGTCGAGGAAGCACAGCATGTAGAGGAGCGTCACCAGAGGCACCGTGTGCCAGTCGATCTTGCGGCGGACGATGGCCTCCTCCTCCTCAGTGTAGTCGAACTCGAGCTCCTCGGAAGAGGTGCCATCCTTGGAGGTTGCCGTGCGCTCCTGCAACGACTGCTGGGCTGCGAGGACGTGTTAGTTTTCTCATCATTTGGGTCGCTGAGCTCTCTTGGTGAGCGGCTCTCAGCGCGATTCTGAGAGCGACTTGATGAAACAAACCGGGCAACTCACTGACTTCCTTTTCCACGTCGACCATGGTGATGGGGGTTTTTATTTTATTTTTACCGACCGCAACGGGGCACGTTTGGCACCAGGAAGAATGTTACCAAGGACCGGAGTAAACAGTGCGGGTTGGCGGGTTGGTGGGTTGGTGGGTTGGTGGTCGAGGTAGTCGATGAACGGGGAGAACACAACAACAGACAAACCCTTCACACTACCGACGAGGGGGGGCAGGCTGCAGGTGGAGGGTACTTATAAGGGTATCCGTTTGCCTCAGGCCGTGGGCCAGCTGGTTGGGAACGTCGCAGCGCCGTGTGTCTGGGGGATTGGTGTGTGATCCAGACCAGGGACGCCAGCAGCAAGCACGTAGTAGACGTAGTACTCGACTACTACCCTCACTAAAGGTTTGCTATGTACATCCATGATGCTGGCATCGGCTGAGTATAACCGGTTCGGGTACGGTCTTGGTAGTGAAGCTGTTAACGACAGCTTACAAGGGTACCCCAGAGGGACGATGGAGTTGTCTTCTTAGCTAGCGCAGACTGGGGAAGAGAAACTTCACACGATCCTAGCTGCTGGGCTAGAGGGGGAAGGGGGGGGAAGGCTAAAACGGTACCGATGCCGCCTTGGTGCAGATTGGCAGCAACGACAAGACCATCTGCATTTTTCATGGTTTCGGCAGATAGATTTGGGACCGCCTTTTTTAAAGTGAATCTGGGGAGGGTGGACCGGAAGCATCAGGGCATCAGGGGGCATCAGGGCCAAACTGGGGGGGGTGCCACGGGGCGCCAAGATATGCCGAGACCTTAGTCAATCGGAGCAAGAACGCGGGGGAGGCAAAGCGGACGAGCCCCGACTGGATGGGGCATGGAGATGCTTGCTTGCAATGCTTGTGGTTTGCGGAAACGGTTCGCCGTTGAACAAGTTCGGTCGAGCAGCCACCCGCTTCTTGGTCCAGATCATTCTGACGAGCATCTTGGATCTGGGACGCAGGCCAAGCACGCCGGCGTCGACGAGAAGCTTGAAAATAACAAGACAGACCACAAACAACGCCTTGTCCCTCGGTCTTCCTCAACGGCAATTGATAATTGGACTCTTTCAAGGTGGCGATCAGCAGCTTGCTACGGAGTATTGACGCGGGGTTGGGGCATGATGGATTGGGATTGGCGAGCTGCCATCCATTGCGGGACCACCAACCACATCCCCATCAGTGAGGAAGAAAGCGGTTCCCTGTTCCGGTCCCTGTGACTGTAACAAATCCCCTAGTGTTAAGCCCTGTTGAACGACGCTACACTAAACGAAACGGGAAACGTTTTTGTTTCTTTACCAATTCGTGCCTGGTAATTGGAAGGATTCGCGGGCTTCACCTGATATGGATAAGAAATGCCATGTGTCATTGTCAGGTCAGTCAGGTTCGGGGTTTTTTTTTGGAGTCGAACAATTTCTTGTTGGTTGGAGAAAAATGGACATGGCAACAGCAGAACACAATCGGCGACTTTTTTTTTCTTTCTTTCGGGCCTTTTGGGGAACTGGTTACACACTATCTCCAACGACATATGCAACTTTATTCTGCCGTCAATACTTTCACTTAAAAATGATTGTGTGTTGGGTGTGAGATAAACCAATCACCCCAGGGAAGGGGACCTTTGGTACACCCAGGGGGATTCGGGATTGGGGGAGAGGGGAGGGGGGAAAGCAAAAGGAGTGGTCACTTGATAGGGTTACAATCAGCCTGTTGGGGGAAGCGAATACTTTTGCCATATTGGCTGACACTTTTCCACTTTCCCCTCACCTCACACAACACACTTCAACTTACCGCTTCCCCATTCCGTTCCTCCCGCGATGGTTGCAGTAACATCCTTGTTCTGCACTATCAAACCACGCGATTGTGCACCATTGCGGATGACAGCGAAGAGCTTTTACCACGGATATTCCCAATGCAGCGGGTGTAATTGAGCAGTGGGTGAAGATGAGGTGTAAAAAGATAGGTATTGGTGAAATTGGGGGAGATTTTTTTGGAGTTTGTCCATCTGGATGTCCATCTGGATCTCTTTCTTGAAGTGGTCCAAAATGGCAAGGTGACATTGCATTCTTTCTTCCCCCGACGACCGATACTTTACTTCCGCGCCAGTGATGAGCAGAGTTACTGACGAATAGCATGCGCGCTAGTAGAGAAAGGTAAGGGTATGGTAAGGTATGTACTCCTACCGTGAACAGGGGGATGGCGTGGCGGGCGTGGCACACCCACACGTACACAGACACACACACACACACACACACACACACACACACACACACACGGGAGGAGGGGGGATCTTGGCCGCCCAACCCTTTCCAAGCTTTGGACTGGGCAACCGTGCACATACGGCTTCGGCAACGGGTGACGGTACATGAGGTGGCCCGATGGGTTTGTGTCTGACAGGTTGGTTGATACCTTCGTCATCGTGGGCGAGATGTCATCTACCGTACCGTCGTCGTGGGTACCTTTACCAGGATCAACCGATTCTCCAACTTCTTGCCCTTGATGCCTCCACTTTCTTCCACTTGATCATTCACAGAGAGGGGGATCTAGGGGAGGTGAGGTGAGGTGAGGTGAGGTGGTAGCATTGCCAATGTGCCGGGACTGCTGGCTGGCTGGCTGGCTGGCTGGATGACGGGTTCCAGAACGTGGAGAAGATTGGGTAGGTGGATTGAGCCAGCTCCAACACTACCAACGTGCCTGCTTATATTGTGGATAAATTACCCGAGTGGGCGGGTTGGTTGGTTTTTGCTGGTTGGGGGAGCGGTAGTGCATATATACTCGGTGATAGGGGGGTCAAAATGGGTATAAAAATCGCGGTTGACCGTCTCGGACTTGGGGTTCAAGGGTTCGGGATTCGGGACGTGTGTTCTCGCTGGATGTTGTGTTACAACCAAGACGCTTTGTGTTGCACGAGCTTTTGAGACAGATGGCAATCAAGATTCTAAGATGCAATGCTAGATCGGAGTATGGGGGCAATAAGTTTTCACATGAGTCGGGGAGTGCCCCTGAATGGTATGTGGTGACTGAGGTGGGATAACATCCGATTTGACTATATGGTGCATGCAAATGGTGTTGTTGGTCTGACATCCTGCTTTTTGTTGGGTACTCTGATATCGCCATGATGACTGTTGGTCTGACTGCATTATGAACCCCCTGATGGGGGATTTTTGGATGAGGGTTGAAAAGTCTAATCAGCCCGGATTTAGGAGTATCGTCCCGTAGATGGATGCACTTACATGATGGACACAAATCGATGTTGATATGAATCCAAACCTAATCGGCACGATGCAAGAGGTGGGCAAAAAGGTGGGCACAAAAAGTGGGCGTTGACTCCATGAATTCATTGCCACGGTATGTTAGACTTTGTAATGGTCTTTTAGCCATAGCTGCAGTCCGAACCTTATACTCTCAAGTCATGTTTCGTATAGAGTATGACTTCTCACACCCTTTCAGTTTCATCTAGAGCCCTCTCCACCAAAAGACCGCATGCAATTATAGCTTTGGGTGGATAATAGCAAGAAAAGGTCATTGTTTATTCATCTGTTCTGATGTTAATGATTATGACAAATACCCTAGGTTCTGCGTTGAGCCACAATAAGGTTCTATGTCTCTTCGAAGTGGCTGGCATAATGACTTGGCCTTGACTTTCACTCTATCTAATCACAGTCTTTCCTACCTGACTCTACCATACATCCCCATCAGGTCCCTTTGAATGATTATGTCGTTGTGAGTAGGAGATGACTGGCAGTACACATGATCTGAACGGAAAGGGGATTAAGAGTCTCGTTTCATATCGAAGACTAGTTCTGCACACAATGGAATCTTGTCAGTGGATCGAAGCTGGTTTATATAAATCCTGCTGGGTTGAAAAATCGTGTTTATATTCGATATGCGTGCTTCTTTACTCGAGACATGTTTCTTCCTATCATTAACAACAATAGGTATTGCTTCTACTGTGGCAGCATCATCAACTTCCCGGGTGTTACCCAGCCTCGGTGACTGGCCAACGTGAATGAATACAGCCAAAGCACGTTCATTACATAGACACATGTCTGTCAAGAGGTAAACATATCATAAACACCAGAGTATGTGACAGGTATAGAAAAGAGCTAACCGTCAAATCCGTTAACCACCAGGACGCCTGGCTTTATGTGTTTATTTCCTCAAAGTCACCCCCTGAAGTGACTTCGCATACTCAAGGGGGTGGGAAAAACGCCATCAAGGTGCCTGACCTTCTCGGCAATCTTTATTGTACGCCCGACCAAAGGAGACTATCAGACGACACTTGTAGCGAACTTCCTGCCATTTCCTTCTTATCGAGTCCTCTATCTGACGTCCCCGTCGTCTCCCACCGGAGCAACTCCCCAAGACCTTATCGGTAGAGTCCTATTGCAAGCGACCTAAACAAAAACAATAGCAGAGCCCCACAGGAGCTCACTTTCTGGCCTGCAGAAAAAGACCTGACATTCGGCTCTTCTCTTCAGACGAATTCTCTCTTCGTCAGCCGAATTTCATCTCACCACTTCTCTGACCAGCATGACCCGGAACTTCTCACAAACTTCATCTCACCATCGTCTGATTTTCTTCTCGCGATCTGTTACCAAGATGGAGTCACATGTATCTGAAGGACCCATCATGAGCATCCGTCGTGACACAGGTCGTCCGGCTTGTTTCCGCCTTGTTGTTGGTGGCCCCAAGGAGTCCTGGCTGAAGTTTGACTGCTTCGATTCTGTAAGTATAACTGCTCTCTCCTCTCTCAAACCTTTCCTCCCCCACCCACCAAACCCCTCCACCAAGAGCCCGCAACTAACACGTTCCTCCTCTCCAAAAGTCGGAATGGGAGCTCACCTGTCCCGGCGTCAAGGCCTGGATCAGCACCCTTCAGGCCAAGCGTGACGTGCCGTTCCTCCCTTTCGACCTCCCGGAGTTCCCTTTCTTCGTCTTCGGCCCGACCAAGACCATCCAGCAAATCAGCAACATCGGCCCTGGTGCCATTGAACGTAAGTTGGATCACGCCTCCCTTCCTCTCAGACCAAACCCCTGACCTCCTGCGACAGATGAATACAAGGCCCTCGCCCAGCAATGCAGATCCTCGGACCCTATCGAGAAACTCGCTGCCTCCAACCGCCTCCAGGACCTGGGAACTATCATCAACTGGTTACTTGTCTTCTTGGTCCGCCCTTGCGCTTCCCCGCCCCCTGATATCAGGTCGTTCTTTGACCACAAGCTTGAAACCGGCGACCCAGTCGCGGACAGCGAAGCCAGCAAAGTCATCCAGGCGATGGAGCGCAGTCCGCAAATGAACATCCAGTCATTGGAAAGGTTCATCTGCTCGGCTCACCCCTTGCACGTCGCCTTCAAGGTCCTTGCCGCGGTCATTATCAGGTGTCATCAAGTTCGGCCCCTGCCTCGTCGGGTTCAGCCTGGCACGACGCAGTTCCTCGAGCATCTCGCTGAGATTGCGACCTCGCCATCTCCAACAATCATGGAGGAGTCGCTCCCTATGGGCAGGCATCCATACACCCAGGTGTTCATCCCCCATGCGGCGGGTGTGAGGAGTAATCACCCTGGTCTACACCCAGCCGGCATCATGATTGCACTCAACCTCTATCAATTCAGCAGGCTCAAGGAGTTGGGCACAACAAACGATGTGCGGGGGTGGAGGCACCCTGTGTATGAGCCTCGACTCACCAAGCTTCGGAATGATCTTATCCGGTACTTTTTGACCTCGGGGAGAAAGGTGCTGTTTGACGAGCTAGTGAGGGTTCAGTGGAGGGTTGACAAGTGGTTTGACCACATCGACAGTCCGAAGCGTCCTATGCCGGGCAGTGACGCCAGGACGATGGACACCTATCGGCTTCTGCGTTCGGGGAAGAGTCACCAGGACCCAGCTAAACGGTTGGAGTTGCTGTTAACGAATGTCCCTGCTGAACCATCGCCGGTGCCAGCTGAGGTTGAAGAGGAGGAGTCAAGCCCCAGCAGGACTGAAGATGAAGCCTCGTCCTCTGATGAGATGCCAGACCTTAACGAGACCCAGCGGACAGCCCCTTCCTCCCAAAAAGAGCCACGCCCCACCACCGTTGAAGACGAGCCATCCTGCTCCCATGAAGATTATGGCGAGGACGAAGAGGACGCCTACGAGGACGCCTACGAGGACGACGAGGACGCCTACGAGGACGAGCTGGTCCTTGATATAACATTCGGCATGCCAATCTCAGACGCCCACCAGGACTTCCTCCCCCCTCGGGTGTCAAACATGATCACATGCATGAAGGCGGCAAAGAGCCTGCTCCAGGGCAAAGCAGTCATGAAAAGCATGAAACGGGAGACTCTCGAGGCTCGCCGCGACGAGCTGCAAGCCCAGGCGTGCAAGTTGGCGCTTGTGGAGGGCTCGCCGGTCTACGAAACGCTGGCCAGCGTCCCGTCGGCAGGCGGCTCGTCCCGCGAGCAGGTGCCGACTAGGCTAGCCGAGCTCGGCATGCTGGAGCTCAGCCTGCTGCCGCCCGGGATTGCAAGACTGTCCGCCGAGCAGAAGGTAGAGCACTTTAAGAGTCTCTGCCACCGACAGGAATTGGAATTAGCCGATATTGTCAAGAAGAAAAAGGCTGGCCTCGAGGCAAGAGCTCTTCCCCAACCGCCCCAGCCCTCCACATCCCGCCAGGCACAGTTGATGCCGCCGCCTCTGTTGCCCTCCCGCCTCCCAGATGCCACCAATGCTGAGATCCTCCGGGCTGTTGGAGAACAAGCCGTCCAACATGGAGAACAGCTGAAGGCTGAGCCGAGAGAAGCCAACAATGAGCTTCTCAGGATACGAATGGCCGAGCTGGAGCCGGGGCGTTCAAGACTGGAAGACGAAGAACTCGAGCGGGCAAGACAAAAGGCCAAAACGATCGAGGTTGAATTAGACGCAGCCCAGCAGCAAGAGAGGAAGAGGCAAAGAAAGAACTTGGCCAAGAAAGAGAGACGTCAGGCAAGAAAGCAACTGGAGAAGCAGGCTCTTCAAGTTGAGCCACAGCCAGCTGAGACGCGAAAGCCTGAGGAGGGGGAACCATCATCGTCCCAGCTTGCATTGATATCGTCGCACTTGCAAGCGGAAGAGGAAAATTTGTCAGAGGCCGTAACAATCCTGGCGCTGTCCGAGCCTGAGCAGCAAGATGGTGAGCAGGCGGTGGCCACACCGTCTGAGCTTGCCCAAACTCAAGAAGTCTCGCTTCCAGAGTCAGAATCGAAGGAAGATGGGGAGGGGGCGGCAGGGCCCCCTAAAAGAAACCTTACCGGATGGGACCGCCGAAGGTTGAAAAAGAGGGAGAGAAAGGATAGAGAGGCCGAGGAGAAACGACGGAGGGAGGAAGAGAAAGCCCGGCAACGCGAGGCGGCCAAGGCGAAAGCCGAAGCCAAAATGGCCAAGCGACTTGCCGAGGACAAGAAACGCTGGGACGAAGAAAAGAGACAGAGGGAAGAGGAGGAACGTCTCCGGATCGAGAGGGAGGCAGAGCAGTTGGCGCGAGCGACGGAAGAGTCGCTGCGTCAAGCCAAAGAGGACGAGACCCTTCGCAAGGCAGAAGAGGTTCGGAAGGTGAAGGAGCTGGCAAAGGCCCAGTCCGAGGTCAAACCCAAGACCCGGCGTGCCGATGTCAAGTCTCTGGAAACCTGGAGAGCCAAGTCGGTTCCTGCAGAATCCGCAGGACCGGCAACTTCTGTCTTGCCTGTCCCATCGTCGTCGCCATCGTCTGCCGGCCCTGTTCCCGCCCTGCCGCCCTCGCCCGTCCGAGCTCCGGTGCCTGTGGTCTCGCCCGCTCACCCTGCTGTTGCTGTGTCCCCGCGCGTGCTCGTGGCTCCGTCTCCGCGTTCGCCCGTGCTTTCGCCCGCTCGGAAGCCCCTGCTTCGGCTTGGGGACGTGACTCTTCCAGAGGAGGACTTCGCCAAGACAGGAGAGTCGTTGCTGTTTTCGTCGCACCGGCCTGTGATATCCATACCACAGCGGACAACAACTCCTCTGGCGATGAACGTCCCTTCGTCCCCTGTGGTGTTGGCGCCAGTCACACCACCAGTCCCGGAGCCCACGCCGCCACCCTCACCACCACCCGCACCCGCACCCGCACCCGCACCCGCACCAGCCCCGGCGCCGGTGATAGACGACGACCCGTTTATCACCAGTGGAGCAGCAGTCGCCGGAAGCTCAGCTTAGAAGGCTGAGCAGGCATTCAGGCAAGCAGCCGAAGCACGTACCCGTATTGATGGCAGCAGTGCTCACTCTCAGCTCCGAAGTTCTCCTCCCAGAGTGGCTCAGGAAATCGTCGACGATGCAGTTCACCGCAGTGTTGAGAGGGCGCGCCTTGTCCACACCCTTGCACTCAGTGGTTGGGAACGTGATGTAGCTCGCCGGGAAGAGGCTGTCGGGCAGCGGGAATATGCGGTCTGGGATCAGGAACAGGAGCTTTGGCGCGAACAAAAGAAGCTGAAGCAACAGCGGGAAGCATTCCGTCAACAACAGAGAGCGCTCGATCTCCGTGAGGTTGCCATACGTGGCCGCGAAAATAACCTTGACGCGCTGTTTCATGCCCGGGAACTCCGTCTAGAGGCTCGTGAGGCCGAGGTGGTACGACGCGAAAAGGCAGCAAACGAGCGGGACACGGGGGTATATCACCGCATCAGACAGGTTGGTTTGCGAGAAGAGGAGGTGTACCGGCGAGAGATGGCTGTCTATGAGCTGGAGCAGCATGGCTCTTCATCTTCACCGGATATCACTCCTTTGCCAGAGAGCAACTCCTCTTCACTGGAGATCAACTCCTCGTCATTGGAGATCAGCTCTTCGCCCATTCGTGGTATCTTCACTTCTTCGGCCGACACCACATGGTCCACAGAGCCGACTGAGAATCAGACAAGTGTAGACATGGAGGATCCGGAAAGCAGATATAACTGCAGATTTCACGGTAGTGGCCGTTCAAGGTCAAGTGAGCCTGTTGAACGGAGAAATGAGGCAGTCCATGGAAGTGGCAATGTCCGTGAAGCACCTTCCTTCAGGAGACGATGAGTACGCCAAAGAAGGGTCTTCGATTTGTTGAGGGCAAAGCAGAGAGAGGAGGTGGGGTTGATGGTATTGGGAGTGATAAGGGAGGAAGTAACGGAGAAGGGGGCAGGCGTAGGACGAGCAACGATAGAGACAAATGTAGAGTGGGTATGATTAATGTTGTATATGTTGTTGATACTTGCTGTTGGTGGACTGTGTGAGTGTGTGACTGAAGTCAAGGTGGGGGGGGGGGGATCAGGGATTGCCAGCCCCGCGTGGGTGTGTGCACGGCGTGTCCATCACAGGCGGCTCCACTCTGTGTGAGGGCCTAGACTACCCCACTTGGAAGCATTGGCAGAAACTGGGCGCGCAGAATTGTGAATTGCCTGCAATTGCCTGGCGAGCTAGCTCATCATGGTCAGTCATGGCGAAACATGAACCTTCCTGAGGTAGTTCAAGAAGCTAACACAAGATCACAGAAGACGATCCAAATCTCGTGCCGCCTACAACACTCCCTCGGACCTACCTCCGAGCACAGGTGGAGAAACATCTCCGGTGTCGAGTTATAATTACCTGCCATCATCAAAACGGCTCAAACGGGAGTTACGGATATCCAACCTAATTATAACCTTAATCATGGCTGTTACATGCCGCCGACGACGGTATGCAGCAAGTCCATCCAACCACTTTCCGATAGATGAGTCCTCACTCTTCTTGTTCTTCCCTCGTCTTCTTGTGTGGCAATATACTGTGTTGCTGAGGTAGCATCCGCATCGAAAGAGGTCACCTGCACCTGCATATGCATCTCTAGAAGAACGTTGAGCTCGGTTGAACAAGAAGATCCCCTCGTCTTATCTGTGATATCATCTTGTCTTTTTCCCCGCCTCAATTTCCACGGTGAGATTTTAACACCAAGATCGTCACTCTATCTCGCAAACACTGCCCGTCTCCTCCTTCCCGCCCGCCCGGACACCACGCCGGCGCCGAGTGGTTCAAGAGTGCGGCCCGCAAACACGAAAAGGTGAGTTTCCACACGGCTAGCTCCCCCGGCGTTTTCCTTTCCCCATCCCGGCTAGATTAGCCCGTCGTGATACCCCCGTCGCCGAACCTTGGTGCCACTGGTCGCTCAGCACCCGCAAGTGGACCTCTCTCGCGATGGCTTGAAAAGAAAGGGGCCCTGCCCTTGTTTGTTTTGCCAGAGGGCGGGCGCTCTCTTTCTCGCTCATTGCTGACGAGACTACTCCTCCCCACTACACTCAAAACATCTCAACCCTTGTTGACATCATTTTAACTCTTTTTTTTTTCTTAATAGAACTCCAAGAAGTAATATCTTTGACCTTCTTCCCGGCTTCCAATTCACGGCTGGCACCACCTACTTCTGTTTTGCTTTTTTCTCGGGCACGGCAAACGAGACGGCGGGGAAAACGACATCTTCAACGACAGACGAACCAAGACCCCCTAATAAACCCAATTCAGGCTCAAAACTAAAATAATTTGTAATACATCACGCACCAACATGTGCCGCAAAGTAGTCTTCGCCGGCATGTGCTCCCACTGCAACGGCGGCCCCTTCGAATGGACCCTCCTCTCCCGCGAGCTCCCCTGCCTCGATGCGAAAAACAGCGGCCTCTTTGGCGGCTGCCCGACCGGCGTCGAGAGGGACGAGAAGCAACACGAGCAAGAATGCGCCGCCTGCGAGGCGCTGCTGGGCGCGGACGAGGGCTACGGGCCCGGCATGGAGGACGAAGAGACACTCGGGTTTGTGGGTTACTACACCGGCGACTTTGGCGCCATCCCCCCCCCCACCACCACCACCACCGCCAGCAATCCCACCGGTAGTGGTGATGGCCATCCCAGTCACATCACGCATCATCATCATCATCACGTCAAGAAGGGGAGCGGGGAGTACCACGACTGGAACGTGGTGGCTGTTGGTGCTGCTGCTGCTGCTGCTGCGGATCATGACTATCATCACAAGAAAGCATACAGTGCTGACAAGAGTGTTGCTGGTGGGCAGGCGTCAGGGATGAGGCGATCGTCAGAGAGGAGGGGGAGCGGGGGGGATGAGTCGAGGAGGAAGAAGAAGCAGCGCAAGACTTGAGAGGGCGACAAAGAAAAGGGAGGGAAAATAAATACGAGAAACGATCGAGCCGCGGAAACAAGCGTTGCGGGGAACCCGGCAGCCGGAGGGAGATATTCCACGCCACCACGATTTACAGACATACTCGTATCACGCTGCGATATCACCACCAAGATATAGGCCGAGATTACGGGCACAAACTACCAAACACCGTGCCAGTCCTACGATAGCCCTGCGGGAAACGAGTCGAAACAAGCGCATAGGAACGACGAGGACTGTCAACAGGAAATGTGCAGGCCGACAAAGCTACCTGGTTTTGGCTTCGGATACGATGCGGAGTTTTGTGGATGTCCAAACGGTGGCCAGGAGAATCGAAGCATGGCGCATGGAGTACGGACGGATGAGGAAAAGTTAACACGATACCCCGGGCACGGATTTGAGCGTGGAAGCACAGGACAGCAAAGTATATTTGAGCGAGCATTGCTGGAGCATATTTATCTGAGAACTTGAGAGCATACCAAAAATACAACCATCTAAACACACCTCTCTCCAGACCCATATCTTCTCCGTCAAGATATGTACCACATATTGGAGACTGCTTCCTGAACAAAGGCCTCGGCTAGTGCTGATTAAGCCTTGCCTCTTTGAACCCTAATTCTACCCATTCAACAACAACAACAACAACAACAACACCCCCCCCCATCTAGTCTACCAGACGCCATCTCTCCTCCATCTACTCCAACCTCCCCTCCCACAACCCCCTAACAACCCCCCAATACCTCTCCTGATTCCCCTCCCCCCTCCCATGCGCCACATGCCCCGTCCCCCTAAACTTTTCCAACCTCACGACCGCAAACCCGTTCCTGCTTGCCTCCTCGGCATGGCTCTCCACATCCCTCCAATGCACCAGCTCATCCCCCTCGCTGTAGATATACCCCCTCCTCACCTCCCTCCCCCCCAGCTTCCCCCAGTCATTGTGCCCCCTGTTCAAATACGCCAACGGTCCCGTCTTGTTCCTCCCAATAAAAACATGCCAGAACCACCCCCACGCACAGAAGAGGTGGAGCATCGGCGCGACTAACCAGTACACCACCCCCTTTGACCCAGCAGAGAAGGCTTTGAACGCAGACAAGTACCTGTACTGGCCGGGACAAGAGTCGTAGATGATGACATATCTGGGCAGGGCCTCGGGGGTTAGGGCCTGGCGGAGGTGGTGCAGCATTAAACTGCCGCCGTTGGACCAGAGGTGGATCAGCACTTCTGGCTTGGTCTTGTCACCTGGGGTTGGTGACCCGACAAAAAGGGATTTAACAAAGGGCACCACGGGAGCGACGTCGTTCGGCGCCGAGGTTTTGGAGAAGAAGTGGCGTGGTTCGGAACGTAGCAGGACGATGGAGGAGGAGGGGTAGAGGGACTGATAGGGGAGGAGGTATTTGGCTATATGGACGTCACGGGCACCCATCCAGGTGGCTAGGAGAAGGAGTTTTGGGTCGTTGTTCTGGGAGGTGCTGTTGGTAGATGTGGGAGGGGTGTAAACGTAGGCTGAGGGTGAGACTTTGGTCATGAAGTCGAGGGGGTTGTTGGGTTTGGTGAGAGGGGTGGGGGTGTTGGAGGCCATTGTCGCGATGGGGTGTGTTGAAGACTACCTAGACTTGGGAAATACTGGAAAATAAAAATCCGACGTGAGAAGGTGAGGCGCCTGATATAAAAACAAAAGCCAAAAGTGGTTGGGGCGTCGACAAAAAGTCCTGGCCGCGGCACCCCTGTCTCTCAACACATTGCCAAGGCGTCATCCCGCACTCACTTTGAAAGGCGCCCCACCAGCAAACTGGTGGGGCCGGCGTCAAAAGATTCCATTTTCGGACTTATTATATGCTCTCTCACAAGACGAGACGAACAACAGGTGGCTGTGTTAATTTACCTGTGGCTAGCTACTATCTCATCCGCCATATGCAGCTCATAGACCAACGGCTTACAAATTGGAAAACTTGTTGAGAAAACAGTATGAAGGAAACAGCCCCGAACCGTTGGATCACATATCACGGAGCCGAGGCATTTCCCTTTTGAGATATCCTCAGCCTCAAGACGACATCTCGGTGAGCCAGCCGCAAAGAGCTCTGCCACCAAGATGGGTCTGATACATACACAGCATGTCACAGTCATGGCTACAAACCGCTTCGCACAGTTCAATATACACTAGCTAATCAGGTATCAATTCCTCCCTCCCGTTATCCTCACTTGCCCTACCCATTCCCCGTTTTTATTGTCGCCTCACCGAAAGGCTTCCCCGAGGCCTGCTAATATACACCCAGACCCATTAGATAGTTCAGATCGGTCAAACGCATATCCCGTAGGTAGTATCGCTATGCAGTCACGATATGCATGTCGAGCGAAGAACAAGAGATGCTCTTGTGAACCGGTAGAAATGACGCATAACCGCTGCAAACAAGCATCAAGACGAAAACCGCATGAATGTTGCCAGGAGATGCAAGCTGCTGAAAAGAAAAAGAGACGAGATAAGAAAAGGCGCTTCGGGGAAAACCGCCCAGAATAAAATATATCCGCTGTTTGCGGATGCAGAAAGAGGCGTGCTTGGCTGGAGCTCACCCATATCCATGGATTCAATGTGGCGGGAACGGATCCAATACCATACCGAGCCTCCTGGGTTGTGTGTGGCCAAAGAAGAGATCAATGTCTGGCTGTGTGAGGCTCCATACAGACCTGACACCTGCGCTGTCAAAGCAGCCCTCGGCCACCTGCTGTCGCATAGCATCATTGCATCGACAAGCGAACAGCAACAGACGTGCGCCGAAAGGCCAGGTGAAGCAGGACTATCCTGTGATGGTCAAGTTGTCTCAGTCATCATCAATGACAATGCATCAGATGGCATCCGGGCAACAAGGCGCAATGCAGGGCGAGAGAAACAGCACGGCCGTCAACATCATGTCCAAACCGCGGAGGGAGACTCCGAAGTGAGTCCTGGCCCACCGTGGTACGCGGCCAAAGATATCGAATAAGAAATGTCCGTGGCAGGCGGCCGGAAGCCTGCGAAAAAAGCGCGCTGGAATGAAATGTTCGTACTCGTACAGTCATCAGAAAACAACAGTCCGGTAGGGGGCTGAATGCATGAGCTTGTTTCATGCCTTGGTATCATGAATATGTGAGTGCCGCAAAGAAAGAGAGTTCATGGTGCAGGGTCAAGACGGCAGCAATGCAGCAGCGAAAATGTCATGACGTGTCAGTCGGATGAGCGGGCCTTTTCATCAACAATCGCATCAAAGAATCTCAGATCATGGCGCAATCAGGAGGAGCCGGCGCCAGGAGGCTGGGGAGCCCCGGTCTGGCCACCGAGTTGAGCACCATATTGGGACTGCCACCAGAGCGCGACATAAGCATCATAACCGCCATCTGGGAAGCCATGTCAGTCAAGGTACAGCGCTGGTTGTATGGGGACAAGAACACTTACAAGCAGCATAGGGATCAGCTTCGCCTCCCGCGCCGGCAGCAGGAGCTGCACTGCTAGCGGGCATGGACTGGGGAGCGTTCTGTTGGTTAGATGCGTGGCCATAGTTCGGGTTGTCATAGTCACGGTGATGACCACGGGCACCACCACCGTCACGATGACCACCACGACCACCTCCACCGGACTTGTTCTGCTGTGGTCTGTGTTAGCAAGACAGGCCCAAAGACCACGGGGAAGATTCTGTTACTTACAGCAGCTTCAACCTTCTCACGGATGGCAACCTTGGCACGCTCGATGCTATCGCGGCTGCCGACTAGCCCAATCTCGCGTTCCGTCTCGCCACTTCCAGAGGACTGGGACACATTGATCTTGCAGCCCGTGGTGTTCTGCATCTCCCGGATGGTCTCGCCGCCTTTGCCAATGATCATACCAACGGCATCCGAGGGCACATAGATGGAATCATTGATTTTGTCTTGGCCACCGCCGCCATAGCCACCGTCGTTCCGAGGAGCGCGCGCGTTACCGCCAGTGGCCGTATTGCGGCTGTCACTGTCCACAATTTCTAGGATGAGCTCCTTGGCATTCTTGGTGGCAGCTGGAGTGCCGATGAGGTTGACGGGACGAAGTCCGTTCACACTCTTGTTCTCCGAGACGATGTTGATGTGGCAGCCACTGCGTTCCTGAAGATCACGAATCGTCTCACCGCCACGACCGATAATAAGGCCCACGGTTCTATCAGGGACCATAATCACAAGCGTATCTTCACCTTCTTTCGGGATGGGGGGAGCGTTGCGATCGGGACGGGGAGCATCACGGCCACCTCTGTCTCCGCCAAGATGGCCACCACCGCCGCCAGCAGGGGGTCCGCTGCGCATGCCGCTGTCCGCAATGATGCGATTGATCATGGCTTTGGCCTCTTCGCGTTGGGCGCGGGCGCCAGTGATTCTGCATACGCGATACGGCTCGGCCTCGTTCTCGGCGTTGATGAACTGGACGCGGCAACGGCTCTCACTCTCGACACGTCGAAGGTTCTCGCCCTGGCGGCCAATAATGAGCCCTACCAAGCTCTTCTCCACTTGCATCGTTTCGACATTGTCTCCGCTGCCTCGAAGGGGAGACCGATCTCTGTCACGACCGCCACCACCATGGTGACCACGGGGGGAGAAACCCTGACGGCGGGGGGAAAAGGAGCGGTCGCGCCCATAGTCGCGACTCGGGGCGCCGTAGTCCCGGCGCTCGTCTCGGTAAGGGTTGCTGTCACGAAAACCTTCACGGCCTCGGGGACTTCTGGACCGGGATCTCTGTTGGTATCCGCGAGAGTCGGAACCTCGATCACCGGGATACCCAGCATTGTGTCGGTCATAAGGGGTCAAGCCAGCCTGGGTGGCAGAAGCTTTAGCTCGCTCGATGGCCTCCTGGAACGATAGAGCCCCTGTAGAGTCGGGTCTGATTGAGCTCAAATCGATATTGCCGCTCGAAGTAGGCTGAGGGTAAGAGTAGGCCGCAGGAGGTGGGGGCTGGTAAGCAGGCGGTGCGACTTGAGGGGGATATGGGTTATGCGCCGGAGGAGCACCATAAGGCGCCTGGGGCAGAGAGGGAGGAGGGCCAGGCTGGCCAGGCTGGGCGACAGGAGGAGTCGCATTGGCAGGTCTCTGGGAATCTGCGAGTAATTGACATTAGATCTCAACTGCCACCACCACCACCACCACCACCACCACCACCACAAGTGAAGCGCGCGCTCAGAAGATGATCTTACCCTGGAGCAGCTGAAGGATGGAGCTGAGGTCAGCGGTGGGATTAGCCATCTTGACGAATTATCGCGACGACTTGAGGGTCGAAAATAGGGAGAGACCGAGAGATTGATTGGGTATAGCACTTTGCAATGATGATACTGAGAGATGAATTGGTATCGATGCGGGCAAAGACAACGCAAAGCGCAGCGGCAAAAGCGAGGTTGGTCTAGTGTCGCAAGCGATGGCGACAGAGACGGGATAAGGAAAAGCAACGCTGAGGCGAGTCGCAGTCTCTCCAAGAGATGCCGCACGACGGAAGGATGCAGCAGCAGCTGGTTGAGCCTCAGTTGCGTGGGATTCAAGGTCGAGATGCCGAAGACTGTTGAGATGGCGGAAGCCAGAGGGAGAGGCAGAGAACAAAGGGCTGGCGTCACAATGATTGCGATTGGTGGTTTGTGGCTGCAGGAAAGTCTCTGGGCCAGCCACTTGTAGCAAGAGTTTTCAGAGGCGCCACATCTTTCAAGCCTGGTTGTTTTGTGGGTATACTGACTTGTGGCTTGCCATTCACCTACGCACAGACGTGATCGGACCAACCGATAGAGTCGATAAGGCAATCAGGCCGATAACGATAACATTGATAAGACCAAGTGAATGCCTGAAGTGTAAGGTTCAACAGCGTGGAGGGGGACGATGGCCTACAGGAGCATAAAATTGTGTAGATATCCATGATAAGATGGACTAGCCATAGTCAAGACTTTGTATGTGGACAGAGTCATTCAAACTAAACGTACAATGGCTGTTTAGGCTCCATTGACACATTCACCAGCATGAACTGTCGAGAAAGAACCCAGACAGGCAGGCAGTTGGAGTTGACCACCTCAGACCCATTGGCGTTGATTCAAAAGACAGCCGCAGAACAGACTCACTGCTATAGAACAGGAGATCTGTGTGTACAGTCTCTGTGACAGGAAGCCAAGGGAGAAACAGTGCACAGCTTACGGTTTGAGCAACACAAACCACCTTGGACCGTTCTTGACAACGGGACCTTGCGCATCTTGTAACACTGAACTGAAATCTACTGCTCAGTCACGACCTCTCCAACTCTCTGGGGGCCCTTGGGTAAAGACTAGGGACGCCCTTTTTATCCTTCACATGGAAATCAATATAACTTCACTCACAATCCTGAGTTATATCAACGTGCCAGCTACCAGATATGCCATTTCCATTTCATGGGCACCCATTCTTGCCTTCGTAGTGGAACTAGAAGGCCAATGCAACGTTTCAAGATCGCCCTCTTGCCGTTCCTATCCGCTTCTACTTCCTGCCGTTCCTGCTTTTCACCTGGACTTTCAACCTCTCATGTTCCCACTCGGTGCCGCCTGATGCCCATGTCGACTCCATGTCCCGAGTCCTCCAGGCAACCTTGTGCAATCCTCGGGGCCTTGATTCTGGAAGCCAATTCGGGCCCGGTACCTTGCCTTCACAATCAGGAGTACAAGACAATTTCCGTTGGGGACACAGGACAAGAGGGTAGCCTGTTTTCCTACTTCTTTCCGATGTTCCCTCAGTCTCTTCGTTCTTTTCTCCTATTCATTCATTCTTTTCAGCAGAAGTCCGTCCTCTCATTAGCTTCGTCCTCTTAACCACAGTCGAAACACCATGATGATCTCTGCTTGGTGGTGGGCTCTTGCCTGCTACATCTCTGCCGTAGAAGGCCGGGTAACCAGTCATCTTTACCGGCAGCTCAACAGCAATGCTCCCCCGGGCATCACATACACGCTGCCCAAAGGCTCCAATGCTCTGATTTCTGTCAAGAGCACCACCTCTTCATCAAAGCCATACATCCAGAAGCTTGAGCCAATCCGGAGCGGTTCTCTCACCAACAAACGATCTGTGGCCGCCCTCTTGGGCACCCATCAACGCAGTGTCGGAGGTGTTGGCTACAGCAATGTTACGACAACAAATGCTTATGGAACACAATACGCCACCGAATCCTTTTGGGATGGTATCAAGGTCAAGCTCCTCCTCGACACTGGCAGCTCCGACACATGGGCCGTGGCCAAAAGCTTTCAATGCATCGACTATGCCGGCGGGTTTATTCCCCAGGATGCTTGCAGCTTCGGACCCTCTGCTGTCGAAAAGTTCCAGTATGGTCGGACTGAGCCTGTCTCCCACATGTACATCCAATACGGTGACGGCGAGACTGTGTCGGGGCCCATGGGATTCTCGGATATCAGTGTCGGCAACCTCACTGTTAACAGGCAACAGGTTTGTCTGGCGAATAGCACATACTGGCTCGGCAACAATGTTACCAGTGGGCTGCTGGGTATGGCGTTTCCTTCCTTGACCAATGCCTACCTCGGTGATGGCGACGATCACGAGATGGGGAGTGCCATTCAATACTCGCCGTTCTTTACTTCGTTGGTAGAACAGGGAAAGATTGATCCCATTTTCAGTCTCACGATCGACCGCAACTCTTCGTCCGGGATTTTGGCTCTGGGGGGTATCGCGCCTGCCACTGGGCTGGATTTCACCAGGGAGGTGTCTATGGACATGATCATTGTGAGTCGTCGGCTTTGGCATGCAATGAGTGAGCAAGATCTGACTGCTGGGGTTTGCAGACAAACCTCATCGGAGTTCCGGCAGCATCCTACTCATATTCCTTCTACACAATCATTCCTGACGGCTGGTACTATGACCACACCACCAGCACCAAGAAGATCCCGTACATTGTTGACAGTGGGACCACATTGTGCTATCTCCCTCCCAGTAAGCGTTTGCTCGGCCGTCATTGCGGTATCGTCTGAATCTAATATGCCATTACAGATCTTGCCGAAGCCATCAATTCCGCCTACTCCCCTCCGGCCGTCTACATGTGGATGTACGGTGCTTATTTCACCGACTGCAACGCAGTTTCGCCCCTGGTCGCCGTCATTCTCAACGGCATCAAGTACTGGATCAATCCGCAAGATATGATTTATCGGAACATGGTTGACCCCATCTCTGGCCTGTGCATGACGGGAATCGCCAGTGGTGGTGCCGGGCCATATATCCTGGGTGATGTGTTTATGCAGAACGCCCTCTCCATTTTTGATATTGGACAGGCCAAAATGAGGTTTATCCCGAGAGATAAGTACTGATCGGTTGAGATTTGAGTGCTGTATTTTGCAGACAGAGCAGGCAGTTGGGGAGATTTAGGGGACATGGTGATGGACAAATGTACAACATCTCGCTGAGGGTTTTGGGCTGGCAGGTCGAACGTAATGAATGTCACAGTGCCATCTGTGTTGACCTTGATTTTATCATGCAGATTCTTTCTTGCAAAGAACAAGACATGTCCTCCAAAGCAACTTTATTTGACCCCCGAAGTCGTCGTCACCAGCCGTCGTCCCAGCTGCTACCATCTCTCCAGATCAAACCCGCCAGTCCCATGACCTCCCAACAGTCAGAATTGTTTACATCCATCCACCAATGACCCACCTTCTCTGCAAGTGTACCTACCTACAAGTACCTTTTCCCAATTCTTTACCCCCCCCCTTTCTTCCATACCTACCTACCCCCAGACCATCAACCACCAATCCAACCTCAAGCAATGTCAACCCCCCAACAACGACCACCCCCCACCCCACCCAAAGCCATCATCTTCCGAAACTGAGGCTTCAAACTCTTCTACAGCTTCCCAGTAACCATCCACTTCCTCTACATAACCCTCGACTTCTGCCCCGACGTGGGGCCCCATCCCTACCGGTACTGGCCCCGGCACTCCTCCACCGAGCTCTTGACGTTCTTCACGAGGGCAGACCCCATCCTCAACGATGTCGACTTTTTGGTCGCGCAGCTGAGGTGGAACCTGATCGAGTTTGACGAGCGGAATCTGCCCGCTGATCGGGAGCATAGGGCGGGGAGGTTGAGGGAGATATTGAGGGACGCGGTGCTGGATGGGAAGGTGGGTTGTTTCTTTCGATGCTTAGCTAAAAGGGGTGGGTGGTGGCTGACGAGACGAAAAAGGCTAGGGAGGATATCCATCCAACTGTTGAGGATATCATAAGTGATATTGAAAGGGAGCATGCCGAGGAGATGGAGAGGTGGAAGTGGGAGTATGATGGCTGTAGGGCAGAGGTGCTCAGGTGGCAGGCGGAGACGGGGAGAAGGTTGGCGGTGCTGGGGCGAGAAAAGTAAAGAGAGCAAGCAGGTTTGATCCTCGCAGCAGTTGAATTCTCTACAGCAGGTCAACCAGAATCATCAAGGACAAAAGAAAATCAAACCACCATTCAATCCTCCTGGCCAACTTATTTGTTCAAGATCATGACCTCCAAATTCCCAAAACATCTAGTAATACAAGTAACGTTCGTCCATCCGTCCAACGCTACAGTCTGAGAAGAACCAAAACAGACAGGGAGGGAGAGTGTGCTCATATGCACATGATTACATATCATTTCGCTGTGTAGAAGAACGTTTCATTTACACCTTTGCCCCAACCAACCAACCAACCAACCAAACCAAGCGTCACAACCCCCTTTTACCTCTCTCTATAGTGAGTGAGAATGAAAAGCCTTGTCCTAGCAGTTCCGCTAGTCCATTTTGAACCGCCCTCCTATGACTCTGGGTAAAGTGATCGCTATGTGGGTTTGAAACCATGTCGTGGTTTTATCTTTCCGACCCTAGGGGAATCCTGCCCAAAAAGAAGTTTGATGATACCTCCGCTATGAACACCAGAAGAAAAAAAAGAAAAATTATGTAGTCAAGAAATATGCGGGAACATGACCCAAGAAGAATGCATCTCCAAAACAAGACAATCATACGCCACCCTCCGGCTTGGGATCCTCGTGCTTAGCGGTGCTGCCCTTGCCACGCCACGTGCTGACGGCCTTGACTTCAGCCTTGTAGATTTGTACCTCGGTGCCGTAGGCCCGCGGCGTGAGCTTCATGAGCGTGTGAAGCGGTACTGGTACCCAGGGGCTTTCTTCTTGTGTCTTTTGCATAAAGTAGGCATAGATGCAACGAATGACGGCTTGGTGAGAAATGATGAGAATGTCCTCGCTGCGCTCCAGTTCCATGATGATGGGCTCGAGGCGGATCACTACATCCCGGTAGCTCTCACCGCCGCGGTAGCGGTAGTTGTACTTGTCTTCGTCGCGAGCCTGGAAATCTTCAGGGTACATGTCGGCGATCTCCTGGTACGTCATGCCGTCGCAGACACCAGCGTCGAGCTCGTCGAGCGCCTTCCATTGTAATTGGTTGTAGTGTTTTGGCAAGTGACGGGCCGTCGCAATGGTGCGTTTCAGGGTCGATGTCCAGACCGTCAACGGCCGGTCGCTCTGCATGTGTGTGTTAGTTGAGTCAGGTCATATTCTTGGGGAACGGCACATAAAACTGCGTCGCTGCGGCGGAAAAACAGGTGCGAGTCCCCGCCTTGGCGCACGCGATTTCGGGTCCGACTTACACCTACAGATTCGAGAACCAGCTCGGGGAGCTTGAGCGCATATTCTTCACCGCGGTGAGACAAATCGGCATCACCACCGATGCGGCCCTCCAGGTTGAGCATAGACTCGCCGTGCTGCCAATAGAGTTAGTTTTCGGGCCTTGCAACCGTTCGAGTCAGATGAAGACTTACCCGAGAGAGCCAGACTGATCTGGGCCGGATGTGAAGGTTCATAAGATAATACACTATACGACTTTGAAGGTAATCCTGGATGCGGTTGATGATGACCTGTCGTCCCACGTTCATGATCTTGAGGTAGGTCAGATGATCCTCGTCCCCGTCGGCGTTGATGGTCTTGTACACCTTTTCGTAGTTGCGGATGCGGTTTCGGAAGTCGAGCGCGGCTTGCTCTGGGTCCTGGCCCTGGTAGTCCGGACTAGTAGTCTTGACATCCCGAATGTTGGCCATGATGAGCTCCTCTTCGTCACATTTGGACTCGACAAATATGACGTCGACACCTTCTTGGTTGATTCGGTCGAGCACCCATTTCCGGCGCTCCTTGGTGCTGTTTGTCGCATCGAGAATACCAACCACTCCACCGCTCTTGAACCACTTCATCATGTCTGCCACGGCAGCCTCGGCCGCAGCCCGTCGCTTGCGCTCGCCTTCGGCATTGTTGGTGTCGAAGAAGTCAGCTGAGGGATGGGGGGCGTCGTTGCGCCGGTAATTGCCCACATTGAAGGTCGCCGCGGGGATCGAGAGCCACTTGAGGTATCGCTGAGCTACGAGGCTGTCAGTTTTTGGTCTTTTGCACAGGAATCAAGAAAACAACGCACCTTTTTGGGCAATATAACTTTTCCCGCGAGCTGGAAGCCCAACCATCACCACGCAGATGCGGGTTTCCTCGGGCCGAATCCCGACGCCGTTAGTCCTTGGAGCCATTTTTGCTGCTGCTTGTGCAGTATTTGTGTGATGGAATGGAAAATGGCACCGGTAATCGCGGAGACATGTATCGGCCTAAATTGATGTGTCCCAGCTGCGTTCTTATAGAAGGGGTGGGTGGTCGCGTGAGGCTAGGTCGTCGGGCGTCTTGGCTAAAAGCACGGAAGACTGGAAATCGAAGGCCGTCTGCCGTAGAAAAGGTACCTGACGGATGGACTGATTGTGACTCTTCCGCGTGCGTGCGTTTTGTGTGTGTGTGTGTGTGTGTGTGTGTGTGTGCGTGTGTGTGGTAGATTGGTAGATAGCGAAGCCGAGGGCTCTCCGATCTCGACGTCACCCTGGGCCGATAAAGAATGCGACGGGGCGGGATGTGTTCAACGGCTGCCGGTCAAGGGCCAAAATAACACCTCGGTGGGCTGGTGGGAGGTGGGCAGGTTGTGTCGGGTTCGAGCGGATGGATGGCTAAAAGGCTACGAGAGAGAGAGAAAATGAAAGCTCGGGCAGCAGATGGAGGGGAGCACGATTCAATTTGTTGCAGAATTGGACCAAAGAAAAGGATGCTGTCACATCGGAATTCCCAGGGCACAAGGCTTGGGGCTTTGGGAAGCGCAGGGGCGTGGGCAGGGGGCGCGCTTCCGGCTAACAGTTCCAGGCCCTTTTAGGGAGGGAAAGGCCAAGCACGGGACCCCGCCGGATGGGCCCGACCTGGCAGATGGATGCTGGTCCACAGCGACTACAGCAGGTGTCCGGGCAGCAGCAGGTGGGCTGAGGATGTTTCGTTTTTTCAATTACAGACCGCTCTATGGCTGGACCCTAGCTGAAGGTGGCCAGTGGCCATTAAGTGACGTGATACCTCAAGGTATCCTCCTGGTAGATATCCGTAGCAAGCCGGTTGTCCGAGAGAGAGCACCTGGAACCTGGAAGCTCTCACTGGACGGTTGTCTCTACTTTACGGATAGGTAGGCATGTTTCAATCAATGCTGTCTCTCTCTCTTCAAAATTCGACATCTGCTGTGCACCCTTGTGTCCCGTTTCCGCCGGCTGAAGTCGGAATGGCTCCAGGGATGTCGACGAAGATCCGCTCGCAGTTACCGTTGTCTCCGCTGCGTTTCCGGGACTCAAGGCATTTGAAGATGTCTAAAGTTTCACCCCGCCAAATGCCAAGCTGCGCCAAAACGCCGCCAGCTGACCAGCCAGTAGCATGCATCCCCCTTCCGTAAGAACGTGGACAGAAGAATTGGCTTTCTCTCTGTTCGACAGTCTCGTGATGGGTTCGAAAACTTCGCTGTGAATAATGGCGTGGACACAACCAACGGGTGGTGGGGCATGTACTCTGGAAAGGCCAACTCGGGAAAGCCGGTTATTATGTCAGCCCAATCCAGAAATAAGGTGAAAACTTCTCTTTTTGCTCGGCTGAAGAGAAAAAAATAGGCCTTCGTCTCGTGACCATCGACATTGGCAATGGAGAAAAAAATAGCTGATCATCAGGCTCGGCGCCGCACCCCTCCATACACCGCCGTGTTGGTGTGGGGGTTTGTTTGGCTGAAGCTCAGCTGTGGGGTTGCTGGTTGTTTCCCAGCATTAATACACTGTAAAAAAAAAGTAGAATGAAAACAGTGCGTTGGCAGTGATGCCATCACGAGTTCGACCGGTCATCTGATCCTTTCCCCTGAATTGATTGGAGACAGAGTGACAATTGTTGTGCCTTGCAGGTTGCATTTATTGGCCTCGGTGAGATCAAGATAAGCTACCTAATCGATAACACTTATCGCTGCCCCTCCATTAACCGTCCATCAAGGTAACAGAGCTATCATCATCAATGAGAGGCATGTCGCATCCTCACAACCACGGGCTTCCTCTCAACCAACATGAAAGTCTTTAGGCTCTCCCACTCGAGCCTTTTCCCGTCGACCGCTTCAAAATCAAACGCCCTCAGCAGCTTGGTTGTGATCAACCGCATCTCGGCCCAAGCCAGGTGAATCCCGAGACAGATTCTCGGTCCCATGCTGAACGGTTGGAATGCCTCTCTCTTGTCTGTAAAGAATTCCGACTCCGGCTTGGAGGCATCAGGTAACCATCTCTCGGGCAAGAACTCATCAGCCCTGCGCCAGTAATTGGGATCCCGTTGCATAGCATACGCCTGGATCGACACCAACGTCTGACCCGGCAGTGTCACTCCCGCAACCACCCCACCCGCATCTGGCACCCGTCTCGGCAAGATCCAAGGTATAGGCGTGCACAACCTCAACGCCTCGGTTAGCACTGCATTCAGCCACTTCAGCTCCCGTAGCGAGTCCAGCGTGATCCCCTTCCCATCGTCGCCGAGCCCTCTGACTTCGTCCGTTACTTTCCTCAAATACTGCGGGTTCTGGACCAGATAATTCATCATACCCGTCAACGCCGTCGCAGTAGTCTCGCTGCCAGCAATCACAAGCGCCATAAACGACCCGTTGATATCATCTAGCGACATCTCGTTCTTGGTGTTTCCTCGCAGAATGGGGCTCATAATATCCTCCCTCTCCACCTCATAATTCATCCTCCTGGCCACCCTCTCCACCACCTGCCCCCAGTGATCCCGTTGCATCTTCCTGAGCGATGGAGGTATGAGCTTGAACAAAGCAGACTCCAGCCAGGGGTAGAACCTCGCCGCAGCAACCTTGGTTGCCATTGCGGGCGTGTGGAAGAGAATGGCCACCCAGGGGTGATATTTGCTGTTCTCCAGGCAGTGGAAGCTCTCACCAAAAGCAAGATCGCCAAAGATGTCAAAAGTCACAAAGTTGAACCAGGGGCTTATATCTACCTCCGCCTTGGCCACACCTTTGTTGTCCTTTTCGCCTGGGGATGGGGAGTCGATCATTTCGGAAAGACGCTCGACAAGCAAGTTGACGTAGCGTTGGATGATTGGTTCCTGAGACCGCAGAGCGCGGGTGGTGAAGCCCGGGGTCAAGGCCTTTCTCATGCGGGCGTGCGTCTCGTGGTTGAGAGCTGTGAGCAAGCCCTCGGTGTGGACACGCTGCGCAGTCCACCAAGTCGGATCTTTGGGAAACGGCGGCCTTCCGTGATGGGATTGCAGTATGTCGTTCCAGGCAGATGGGTGCGTGAATGTCAACTCATTGGGTGCGATTCTCAAGATTGGGCCGTATTTGCGGTGGAGCTTCTGGATATCATGGACGAAGGTCCCGCGAAGGAGAGCCCAGATGTAGGGCAGGCGAGTGGCGGACCATGATTTGGGACCGGGGATGTCTTTGAGGGGGTGGAAGTAGAGGTTGTAGATGGCGCGAAGGAGGAAGTAACCAACCAAAGAAAGGAGGACGGCGCCAGCCATGGTTGGCCAGGTGGATTTGAGTAATGCAGCTTCCATTGTGACGCTGGAGTGTAGTGGACGAAAGAAAGGTGGGAATCAGGGGATTCTGAAGGCATATAGACCACCACTCGACCTACCTCGAAGGATCTAGTCTAGACACTTCCGGACAGCAGCCCGCGCTTTCCCCATCCATCCAAACATGGAGTATTGCATATGCGCTTTTTGATACGATACACACAAAATCAGGATGGACTCATCACCTGCCGGCCGGTGGAGGAAGCCATATATTGAACCATCTGTCCTATCAAATCCCATGGCAGTCACACACCAAGGTGGGGATATGCGGATGTCGACGTCTGTGCAAGCCACAGTTGAGGGTGAAATCCCCTCATTTGCATCGATCAGGGTAACACAAGTCGCCGAGGCGGTCTCGGTGATAAAAGGAATGCCCAATGGAAGGAATGGAACTTTTTCAGATGCTGGTTCAGTGGCGCTAAATAGGGCACAGGAACATCGTCTGAATAGGCAGTCGTCATGACTCCGTGATTTCAAGTATTTCCTGGGAATCATCTGTAAACTACTTACCTTAGGTATCTAGGTAGTCCGTTGATACAACTATTTGGACCTAGGTGTTTCTCCCGTCACTGATTAGAATCAATGTCTGATCAGGAAAAGACTGACCACTTCTCTTGCTTCCCGACATGGGCTCTCAAGTTCATCATTTGTCCCTGGCCGCCTTATCTTGCTACTGACTCCAGCAGGAGGATCGGATTGAAGCTTAACCCCATCTGAATAGGCCATGGGATCAAGGCGAACACCACATGATCTCTCAGCTGTCACCCGCGCAGGTATATAGATAAGGCTTTTCATTTTCCGAGCTCAATGCATAGTCCGAGTCCCTGTTAGAAGTTTGAAATGTCCGTTTTGATTCCTCTTGGAGTCTTGTCATGACAGACTGTCTGGGTTTGTTTGATTTTCAAAGGTGTATTGGGTTAGAGGGTGAGGTATTGGCGCTTCATCGAAGAGGAATATATGAAATCATACCTAGTCTGAGGGGTAGGGTAGAACAGGTAGATAGTGTTCGGAAATTCTATTGGAGACACCCGGAGCATGACACAACTATTTCAGCCTACATGCTCAACACAAATTTCTTCCTCATTGTCTAACGTGCTACCAAAGCTACAGAGGTACCTCATATACCGGAAATGACTGACCAACACCACCATATAGAGATCTAAATAGCACAAAACCTTGAAAAAAATATTCAAACGTCTCACCCAAAGGCAGCACGGGACCCCCTAAATCACAATCTTACACGATCCCGAGTCCACCGCCAACTCAGCAAACATCATAAAAAGGCAACCCAGCCCCAGCATAAGTAAACCCGGCATCCCACTGAGGGGCATCCTCGCCCACAATCGATCCCGTCTGCCCGCCCTCGACACACAGCGCATCAACAATATCGAGCTGATCGGCGATAAAGTTGGTGTCTGTCGTCAGGGTGGTGCACAAGCTGCAGAAGAAGGCCTGGCAGGTGCCAAAAGAGAAGACAAGACACGAGCTGGCCGAGACGATGAGCAGGTCGTTGGAGCTGGAGACTTGGTCGACGATTACGTCGCAGTCTTGGGGTCGGGGGGCGGGGTTCTGAGGGGGATGTTAGTACAGAGTGTGTTGCACGGGCAGGGGGGGTGAGGGAGCATACGGCATTGTAGCATTCAAAGAAGTCACTGGCAGAAACTTGACGGGTCTCCACCTGGTCCTCCCTGCGGCGGAGGGTGGCAGGAGTGAGTGAGTCGGTTGACAGCTTAACGTTGGCTGTGGCTACGCTTGTCTTGTAGCCGGCGGGAGCGCTGGAGGGGACTTTGGCAGCACGAGGAGGGGGAGCGGCGCCGTTGAATTTGCGAAGGGTGCCTGCATGTGCCCGTCTTTCGAGAACAGGAGTCTCGAGAGCGAGGGCGACGGCCAGGAAGAGAGTGGTGAGGAAAGAGACCTTCATGTTGTATGAGATGAAGTGACACAAGAGAGATGATGTGATACTGAAATCAAAGACGAGGTTGGAGGATGCTTCCGTTGAAAGTTTGGATCTGAGAGAGCCGCTGTCGATCAAGTCCCAGAGGAACGGAAAACCTGGGACTCTTTATAGTTACCAGTTTCCAGACTTGAAGCCAACCTCAAAGAACAACACCTGCCTTTCCTGGTCCCATCACCCAACAGATTGGGCAGACTACGACGCCGATATTGCCGTCGACCGCCTTCTGCAGAACATAATGACGCCGATATTGCCCCCTGATAAGTTCGAGGAAGGTAGGAACCCTGGGATATGAATTGGTATCCAGAAACAGACCATGCTCACTTTCTGCGCATCCTTTCCCCACAAAGACCATGACATGCAGCTACTTGCCGTGCTGCCAACCATCTCCCAAAAGTGTCACTCGTGACGCCGACGATGCTACATGGCTCGGGTTGGGCCGTGTCTGTCTGACTGTCTGAGCCCCCCCGTACGACTGTACAACGCCGCTCAGACGCACGAATGAGGGACAGGTTCTGCCAGCCAGCATGGAGACCTTTTGTTTTGGACGCCCCCAGAGAACCCCCCAGGTCGAAGTGATCGTATTCCCACCTACCCCTTCGGTCCGCAAGCTAGTCTGTAAAGGTTGGCCGAGAAGGGGGGTTGAGTGGGTTGGCAAAGCAGGAATTTTCAGCTTGCAGAGCCATCAGTCATCAGCCCCTGACAGCCACGGCAGGCTTGGTGACGTCTACCCCCGTGTTTCTTGCGGCTTCTCCGGTAGCTTTCTCCGTCTGTGGCGTCTGGTTGGGTTGAATTCTTCGTGCTCCATGCCGTCGGTCCATGATGCCAAACCCAGAGGTTGCCGACTTTTGCCCGCATTGGAGGCATGTGTAAGTATAGGTTGGGGAGCTAAGGTTGGCTGGTATGGATGTATGTGGATAGGTAGCGTAGTAGAGACCCAGTGTTCCAGTCAGACCATAGCAGCCAGACTACTGGCAATGTGTATGTAACCCCAAGATATCTGCTGTTTATTTTTAACAGTGGATAAATTGAAAATGATACGTAAAGAGCGAGCAAGTTGTAAAGACAAAGCAGACGTCGTGAACCCCAGACGGCCGAGTCTGGATCCGAAGAGCGAAACCCGGAACGAGGTCATAGACAAGACCACACTTGAGATACAAAGACCGATAGTCCCCGAAGTAAATGCTGCCCTGCGTTGACGAGGTGAGTTAGGCTGGCCACTTGGCGAGGTGAGAAAGACGGCATGAAATTGACTGGCACTCCAAGACGAGAGCTTGGATCCAAATCCCAGCACCCAAAGGACCCCTTCAGGGCACCAGTGCCTCTCTGTGCCTCGCTGGGTAATATAAGAAAAGCAACCTCGCGCTGCAGGAGAAGAGGTTGAGGAAGCTGGTAACGAGACAATCATTACTTGTTCTGAGAGGCATCGGTAGTAGCCTGGACAAGCGACGCAAGCGATATTGGGGGAGTTCCCCCGTTCCCGGTCGGCGGGCGTCCCCAGTTTCTGTCAGTCAGTTTCTGTCAGTGTCTCTGCTTCTCTGCTCCTTTGACGTTGTGTTCGGGCATTTTCCGTAGCCGAAGAAGTCGATCATTTGCCGGATCGAAGTCATTGGAAGACTCAACCCCACACACGGCACCCAGATTAAGGTTGCAGTGACGTGCTGACATAAGGGCATCACTTGTGGACAAAATAACTGGCACTGCAAAAAACACTGAACTGTTCCTCGAAGGATGGCTGATAGGCCTTGAAAATTCTTCATAGACCTTAAGTGATGGTTGAGAGACATTTAAAGATAGTCAAGATGCCTATTTTGTATATAAAAAGGTGTAAATTGAATCATTGTAGGTTTTACTGACTTGCAGTGCCAGTTATTTTGTTTACTGTATGGCATCCCAGGAAAGCCTGAGCGCACGGTCCAGCGCGGCACCCGACCCCGCCGGCTACCGGTGAAATGATTGACCGAGCCATCCCATGTGAGCGGGAGACGCAGCTGAGGCGGGGCTTGTGCTGAGTGGCACGTGCCACAGCCCAGGTCAATGTGCAGGGATTGGGCCTGGGCCAGCCCGCTATCAGTTGACGAGATAAGCTCAAAGGCAGAAAAAAAATCGGCCAGCAACAATTGAACGGAACCCTGTGAGCGACCAGCTGTTGATTGCGATTACCTGCATCACCAATCGTCAACCCGCAAACACCGCAACCATGGCCTCCGATCCCACCAGCAAGAAGCGCAAGCTCAAGTCCGAGAAGACTTCGGTCATCAAGAAGGTCAAGAAAGCCAAGAGAGACCCGACCCCCGAGGAAAGCGAAGATGCTGAGATCGAGGATGCCCCCGTTGCGCCCGAGTCTGTTGCAGACGAGGAAGTCGAGGCTGCTTCCACCAAAGACGACTCCGAGGACGAGGACGATGACCAGAATGGCAGCACCGACCTGGCACCCCCCAAGGCCGATGCACCCCTGATTGCCCCCGGGCTCGACACCAACGCGACCGACTTCGCCCAGCTCAACCTCTCCGAAAGGACGATGAAGGCGATCGAGGAGATGGGTTTCACAAAGATGACCGAGATTCAGAGACGGGGCATCCCGCCACTTCTCGCCGGCAAGGATGTTCTGGGAGCGGCCAAGACAGGTTCCGGAAAGACTCTTGCTTTCTTGATTCCCGCCATTGAGATGCTGCACTCGTTGCGCTTCAAGCCAAGAAACGGAACTGGTGTCATTGTGGTGACCCCCACTCGCGAGCTGGCCCTGCAGATCTTTGGTGTCGCGCGCGAGTTGATGAAGCACCACTCTCAGACCTGTACGTCCACTAACAAAGACCGAGATTTTTTCTTGTGGGAGGAGACTAACCAAATCTCCAGATGGTGTGTGTATTGGTGGCGCAAACCGCAGGGCTGAGGCCGACAAGCTCGGAAAGGGTGTCAATCTGCTCATTGCTACCCCCGGTAGACTGCTCGATCATCTCCAGAACACCCCCTTCGTCTTCAAGAACCTCAAGTCCCTGATTATCGACGAGGCCGACCGTATTCTCGAGATTGGTTTCGAGGATGAAATGCGCCAGATTGTCAAGATTCTCCCCAAGGATGAGCGCCAGACTATGCTCTTCTCCGCCACACAAACAACCAAGGTCGAGGATCTTGCCAGGATATCTCTCCGGCCCGGACCCCTCTACATCAACGTTGACGAGGAGAAGCAGTACAGCACAGTGGAGGGCGTCGACCAAGGCTACGTCATTGTCGATGCCGACAAGCGTTTCCTCCTCTTGTTCTCTTTCCTCAAGAAGATGTCCAAGAAGAAGGTTATCGTTTTCTTCTCGTCTTGCAACTCGGTCAAGTACTACAGCGAACTTTTGCAGTACATTGACCTGCCGGTCCTTGATCTCCACGGCAAGCAGAAGCAGCAGAAGCGCACCAACACCTTCTTTGAGTTCTGCAACGCCACACAGGGTACCCTGATCTGCACGGACGTTGCTGCTCGTGGTCTCGATATCCCCGCTGTTGACTGGATCGTCCAGTTCGACCCTCCTGATGATCCTCGCGACTACATTCACCGTGTCGGCCGTACAGCCCGTGGCAACAACACCAAGGGTCGGTCGCTCCTCTTCTTGCAGCCCTGCGAGCTTGGTTTCTTGGCCCATCTCAAGGCTGCCAAGGTCCCCGTCGTCGAGTACGATTTCCCCAAGAATAAGATCCTCAACGTGCAGTCTCAGCTGGAGAAGCTCATTGGCAGCAACTACTACCTCAACCAGAGCGCCAAGGACGGTTACCGGTCGTATCTCCATGCTTATGCCTCGCACAGTCTGCGCAGTGTATTTGACATCCACAAGTTGGATCTCGTCAAGGTGGCCAAGGTAAGTTCTTGTCGTGACATTTTCGCGCCCTTTGGGTCATAAGCTGACAAATATTGAACAGAGCTTCGGTTTTGCTACGCCACCAAGGGTTGACATTACTCTCTCAGCCAGCATGAGCAGGGATAAGAAGCCACAAGGGAGAAGGCCGTACGGCAGCCAACCTAAGCAGGAGCGGAGGTAATGGATGAAGGAAAGGGGGCGGATTGGTGTTGCTGCATTGTCTCGTGTCTTGTCTATGGCGTTGGGTGTCAAAAGAAGGGTCTACCACATACCAATTGAGCACATTTTTATTTTATTTACATTACAGTTTCTTATTGCGTTTGGTGTTGACCGTTGTCAAGACGGCGCCGGGGGAGGTGAGCCAAGATGAGGAGATCTCGGTGACGTCTCGGTATCTGCGAGGCTCTAGCGAATTGCGTGATCTTTGGTCACCGCAGCGCGAGAGTTTTGCCGGGGAGGAGGAGGGTGTTGCAATTAGAATACCGTACACGGCAGGAGAATGGAAGGTTACGCATGGGCGGGGGGACAAGGCAGAAAAGGGGTTTGAGGGGACCGAGTTGTTGGGGTAAAAGGGGCAGAGAGATAAGCGGCCAGGGACGGGAGGCAACACAACTTCAAGCCATGCATCAGGGGGGATAAGGAGGTTGCGTGGTGAGCTTTTGCGCCCTGCCGGATAATTCGGTCCTGGATCTGAAGGGGATGTTCGGTGTTTCGGTAGTTGAACTATGGCCGTTTCTTTTTGATGTCCTGGCAGCGTGCATGGTAACTATAAAGACGGGGTTGTTGCCCGTTTGTTTTCAAGTTGGGATATCATCCTCTCTCAGCACCAGCTTAACCTGTGAACAACAATTATCAACATCAACATCACCAGATAAAATGGTCTCCCTACACCCCCTCCTCGACAACGGCATCACCCCCGGCTCGGACTCGTTCCCCGGCGGCACCCTCAAATGCCTCTGCCCCTCCTTCCCCGTCGAGATCACCCTCACCACCAACGTCGCTCACAACCACGCCTGCGGCTGCTCCAAATGCTGGAAGCCCGCCGGCGCCCTCTTCTCCATCGTCGGCGTCGTGCCCCGCGACGAGCTCTCCGTCACCGCCAACGGGGACAAACTAGCCATTGTGGACGAGTCGGCCGTCATTCAGCGGTACGCCTGCAAGGAATGCGGGACTCATCTGTACAGGAGGATTGAGAAGGAGCATCCGTTCTACGGACTGGACTTTGTGCATGCCGAGTTGAGCGAGGAGGAGGGGTGGCAGGAGCCGCAGTTTGCGGCTTTTGTGAGCAGTGTTATTGAGCAGGGGTTTGATCCGGCCAAGATTGGGGAGGTGAGAGCCAGGTTTAGGGAGTTGGGGTTGGAGACGTATGATAGTTTGAGTCCGCCGTTGATGGATGCCATTGCTGCTTGGACGGGGAGGAAGATATGGGAAGTATGACCTGCACAGCTGGCTTGACTGTGAGAGGAGGAAAGGGGGGGGGGGGGGGGGGCAACCGGGGGGGTGTAGTCTGTAGATTATGAACGGGGCGGTGGTGTTGTGGTAGAGAGGAAAAGATATGACGTTTGAAACCAAGCTTTGCTTTTTTGTCTTCCACAGCGGGCAGGGCCACTGTCGAGCTTATCTTGCGTGTCTTTGGCTTTCGTTTTCGTTTTTCCTTTTTCGTTTTTCTTTTTCCTTTTCCTTTTCTTCTTCCTTTTCTTTTCCTTACATTATGACATGTCCACTGCCCGATTCAAAACTTGTAAAGATGTAAAGTGCCATTTAACGCCTATAAAAATCATGGTCTACCGTGTGTACTAGTACTAAATGCAAAAAAGACGGGGGTCGAGGTCGGAGTGTTAGAGGAAGCGAAGAAAATCAAAGACGCTTGCCAGTCTGCGAGACGCTCTTCACATCCCAAAAGTCCTTGTGCAAGAACCTCGCAGTGGCCTTCCCAAGGGCCGCAGCCTCAGAAATCGGATTGCCGTTCTTGTCCTTCTTCATGTTCTTCTCCACATCATCCGTCAACGCATCCTTCTGTTGGTTGATCTGCAGTTCCGTATCTGTCTTGGGGATAGAAGGGGCGATGAAGGCGAACTTGTCGTTGCCTTTGGAGACATTGATGTGAGGTCCCTTGTTTTCATCCCAGTCCACACGAATGGTCCCCTTGGCAACCGTTCTTCTATTCTTGTCAACGATGTCGACATAGACACCGGCATACCGTTTCCGAGGCTTCTTGTTCTCTGGCTGCCCGGCCATTGCGTCACGACGACGAGCTTGAGCGTCGAACTTTGACTCCTGGACATTTGCACTGTTAGTGTCAAGAATCCAAGACTAGCAAGGTGAAAGCGGGCTCACAATCAGGCTGGTTGCGACAAGAGTGTTGACTCCATTGTCCGTCAACTTATTGATGGCATCCTTCTTGGCGTTGGCAGACTTGATGATTGTCTCAGGCATGGTGGAAGTTGGGGGTGGAAGTTTGGGGACCGAAGATGAGTGGTAAGCAATTAAAGACTTTTTGGTTGGTTGTTATGGCGATTGATGAAGTTGTTTTGATGACGTAGAAATTTATCACAGCAATATCGAGTAGAGGCAGCCCTTATATAGGTATCTATCCCCCAGCTAAGGTACTATTCCTGGGTCTCTCACATGCCTCAGTCCATCACTGTGCCACTATTCAGACTTTGTCCAAGGCGGCGGCGAAATTCTCCCTCGCGGCCATCAACAGGGCACAAGACCGTCACTGCAGCCAGACTTGTAACGACCACTCCTCAAGTTTCCTTCGGAGTTTTCAGCTGCGACCTGCTTGTGAGGCGTGGTATGGCTGGCCACTCGGGGAGTATTGAGCAATTCCCTCCCCTTTTTGGTTGATGGTCCAATTACGAGTTTCCAGCTGCGGCGTAGCAGCCTACCACATCTTGCTTGGAACTATCCAGTATGTGGTAAGAGGTGTGAGCCAAGGATATTCCTGCATAAGCGAATGAAAAATGACAATAGCCCCCTCGGTGTTTGTTTCGTCTATTTCAGTGTCAAACAATGAGACGGCCGACTGGGCTCGCTTTAGAAGTGTACCCAAAGTAGCCTGTGCCTTTCACCGAGGAGGTCTTAGTTACCTGGGTATTCAGGTTTTGCGGACAGGTTCAAGGCTCCGGTTTGTGATCCACCTCGAAAGGCCTAAAGTCTCCAACCGCCTGCTGCATCCTTACCATCCTCACATTCTCCTTTCCCAGCCACCACCCTCTCAGATCAGCCAGTCCCTCCTCGACCTCTGTGTACGCCATGGGGGATGTCCCTGTTGTGAAGACGACTCTCCCATTCCACTTCCTGTCCTCCTTCTTCCCAGCAAACAGATCAGAATCCTTCTCCTTTCCGTACACTTCCACCTTCCGTTTTTGTGTCGCTGTGGCCGAAAAGACAAGTGCAAGGGCAATCTCATCGGCAGTTTTGACGGGAAGCTTCTCCAGCTGAACACCCGGTGTCAAAGGAGGCAACGGTGTCGTTGATGGCATCGCATCTGAAGTAGACGGAAACGTAGGGCCAACAGCAACCCCATTGATAGCTACCCCGTCTTGAATAGCAACCGTCCTCAGCGAGCGTATCATTCCTAGGATCTTCACCTCTTCTTTTCAGCGTTATTTCATTCCCTCGGGAAGGCAAACTCACAGCAGAACCTGCACACCCATCCATCACGCCCTCCCCAGGCATCCCCACAGGAGGCAGCACATGACAAGACATGTAACCCCCAGCACCACCCGGTACACAAATGACCACACTCCCCCCTTTCCCCTTCTCATCCCCCAGCCTCCCAACACCCGACCGCGCCATAACCGCCCAACAAACTTTCACAAAGTCCCCCACAGTCCTCACCTCCCTCGCCCAGTCCATCCCCACCCCGTTTTCGCCTTCCCGATCATCATCACCTTCACCCCCAACCTCGAAGAGAATCCTCTCTGGCCCTGGTACATAAAACGCGTAGTCAACTTCTCCGCATCCTTTTACCGCAGCTTTTAGCTCCTTCCAATTCCTGACGTCAACTCTCAGAAAAGCCAGGCAAGAAGGTATGCCTGGATCTGGTGTGAGTAAAGAGTCGTTGTGTTCTGGGTCGAGGATGATGACTTTTGAGCAGCCTTTTTCGGCCAGCAAGAGAGCAGTGGAGAGGGTTATTTCGGAGGAGCCGCCTGTTATGAGGGCTGTTCTTCCCGTGAGGGGGGGGATGAGGGAGGGGGTTATGGGAAGGGTGGTCATGCTGAGGTTTTGTCGAGTGGTTCAACATGACTGATGAAAAAGAAGAGAGGTCCCAGGCAGTCGGTATGGAATAATCAAACGTGTTAAATACTTTGGCAATGATGCTGAGCCGTCGGAGTCGGGAGACGTTGGTGGCTGGAGCGTCAGTGGCCTTCCGATGTGTGCGGGAAGACAACCCGGGTTTATGGTTCCGAATCATCTTCAAGACTCTCAAAGATGTCAGACTGCAAGACGTTCACCATTCCCGGCTTATTTGAGATATGGGGATACGAAGTCAGGGGTCAGGGGGTGGTAAAAGTCATTCATAAAGCCTGCGGTGGAACCAACATGCATCATCCAATCGGAACCATCCTCATCGGGTATGGTGTAGCGGTAACATCGTTGACTCTCACTTCTCAGAAGTGTCTGCTCTCTCAACAGCCCCGGGTTCGACTCCCGGTATCCGAGTCCCAACATTCTTTTTTCCCACTCTGAATTCGACTTCAACCAAGTTCTTGAACCCAATGTCGAACCAGGGCACATATCCCAAGGTTGTGTAGTGTAGTGGTTATCACTCTGGATTTTGACTTGAGCCTTCCCTTCGGTCACTGCCTTCCAGTAACCCCGGTTCGAACCCGGGCACGACCTCAATTCTTTGCACTACCATCTTCCAGATGGTAGGTATAGTTTTTGGACTCTATCTTCTTGGCTAGAAGCTTGAGCGCTTTTCTTTCTTTACTTTTGCCCCGGCGTTCATTCATCTTGCAGATTCCTGAAGCGGGACAGTTGGGACAGTTGGGCACCAATTCACCTCGCGATGGACTCACTCGCCGAAGAGATAGGCAAGCCGCCATACTGGATCACAGCCTTGACTAGTGTTCACCAACATGGGCTTGATCTTCTGCAGCAGATTCAGTCCGGTGCCGCAGTTGACATCCCCACGGCTACCCAAACAATCGACAAGCTCGAGGCGTTGGCTTCCACATGTTTCAACGCGTACGACAATGAATTCATTCTCTTTGGAACCGGCTCAGACGCGAGTCTTGGTAGTCTTATGACAACCATTTGGGAGCTGAAGCGCGCCGTGTTTTCTCAGCGGACGACGCCTCGGTCAGAAGTTTCCAATGTGTGTCTGTTTTGCGCTTGGGCTTTGAGGCGGGTTGGGAATGGAATTGTTGGTATGTGAGAGTGAGTGCCTTGACACCTAAGTTGACTGTTCTCTGACAAGAATCTAGGAAAGTATTCTTGGAGTTCGTGGCAGGGGTCGCAATGGATTGCTAACAGTTACCTCTGTGCCATTGACAACTGGCCTGACTTTCCCCGCCTTGAAGCGTCGGCTCGGGGGGGCTGTGATTTGTGTCGTTATCTGAAGGACGGGATAGAGAAAAAGGGGGTGGATTTGAATCCACTTCGTCCTAGATCGGAAAACACTAAAGTTGGGGTCTGGATTGAGTTCCGTTATGTGCCCCGAAAGGCAACCGGGAACGACGTTCGACCAGAGCTGACACATGCTCTTGAATATGGCTCGGTGTTTCTGTCAACTACCTCCCCATGGTATTCGACGCCTGTCTGGCAGTTTATGGTTGAATCTGGGAATAGTAAGTCAAGCATCACATCTACCAGATTTATCTCTTCGTCTAACTGCCTCCTCTGTTCAAGAGCAAGTCGCAGACGAGTTACAAATCTTCTCCCCACCACAGCAGGAGCCATGGTCAGCCCCCAACATCAGCTTCACCCGATCCATCCTCAACGCAGCACAACCAGCAACCACGAAATTCAAACCAACCCGCCTCCTCTCCCTGCCCCCATCCCCCAACTCGGCCATCAAACTCACCACCACCACCCACCTCCCCCATCCCGTCCAATACGCTGCCCTAAGCTACTGTTGGGGGCCCCCTTCAGACGCGATCCAGCAGACAACCCTCACAACCTCCTCCCTCCCCTCCCGTATGACCAGCATTCCCCTTTCCGATCTCTCCCCTGTCATGCTTGACGCAGTAAAGGTCTGCCGCTCCCTTGGCATCCCTTACCTCTGGATCGACGCTTTATGTATCATCCAGGACAGCAAGACAGACTGGGAGTTTGAGTCACAACAAATGGCGCGGATCTATGAACACTCTTACCTTACCATCTGCGCCGCGGGTTCGTCATCCTGTCTGGAGGGGTTCCTGTCCAAGCGAGCTGTCTACCCTGAATATAGGTACACATCCCCTGCCAAGGGCATAGTTAACGGGGTGTTTACACTCCGATCGGTGCCCAGCAACAGCGATGGGACGCTGGCAGCAAAGGCATCCTCCCCACCGCTAGAGCAGGATCTATCCGTCACGAGCTGGAGCGAAAGGGGGTGGGTATTCCAGGAACGGGCCATGTCCACCAGCAAATTATTCTTCGGCAAGTCGATGCTCCACGTCCAAACCAACTCTCTTGTCCTCTCCGAAAACGGCCACCAGTCTGAAGTAAAAGCCAACAACAACCACGACGACCGCAACACATCACCCAACACCACCCCCCTTTCCCTCCTCCCCCACCTCCTCCACGGCGACAAGACCAACAACCGCTACGACCTCTGGCTATCCGTCGTGTTGAAATTCGTGCACTTGAAATGGACAATAGAAGAGGACCTCCTCCCCGGTTTGTCCGGTCCGGCCTCCAGATTCAACGACATCATGCCCCCCAACGACGCCTACCTCGCGGGACACTGGCGGTCCGACCTCCACGCCAGCCTCCTCTGGGTCGCCGGCCGCCGTGGTCACCATCCCCGTCCCAACACCCTCCCATCGCTGCTGCAATCCCTCCAAAAAGGCAACCCCCTCCACTGCCCCAGCTGGTCCTGGCCAGGCCGCAGGGACGACATCTTCCGCTTCGTGCACGGCCTACCCGACGGGAGGAAATGTCGTGTCCGAACCCACCTGCGGCCGGAGTTCAGCCTAATCAAATCAAACGTGCAAGCGGAGGGGGTGGTGAACCCCTTTGGGAGACTGAGCCCGAAGGTCAACTCGCTCGTCGTTTCCGGGAAGGTCATTCCCATGTCAAACATCCTCTCCCCTGACAAACCCAAATGGGAGTTCACCACCGAGAGCGCGGAGTGGCGGTGCGCAAACGCCGAAAGGGGGTACCTCATCATGGTGTCGCATGACTGGGATGATGATGCTGCTGGTGGATCTAACCCAGCGGTGACGACAGAGGAGGAGTTGTCAAAGATCAAGCTGCTTCTGCTGTCGAGTTGCTGCTCGTTGTCCGAGCTGCCTGCTGGCAGCATCAAACCAGGTGCAGAAGCAACGACCAAAATTCTCTTCCCAACAGAACACAGCAAGACATTTCTCGACGACCCGGACTTTCAGTCGGGAGGGGGGGGGACTTGCTCGTTTTGTCAAGACCAGAAACACAAGAGAGATGTCTGGGGTCTGTTGCTCTATCCAGCTGACTCGCAAGGGAGGTACTACAGGGTGGGCATCTTTTACTCTCGTGCTCAGCACGGTGGCTCGGAAGTGTTCAACGAGGCAGAAACGTGCGAGGTTGAACTCATGTAGACAGAAAGGACATCGCACAAAAGAGAGCCGAGCACGGGGAGAGAACATCACATGGAGACCAAGAACAAGTAACGGGCAAAATGCCAATGTATTTCCTCCACGACCCACCCAAACGGTGGCCTGGGACACCCGGCATTCGAGATCAACTCCGCTCCATCTATGTAACAGATACGTCCCTCTGCTTGATATTGTTTTTTAAAATCCAAGTCCAAAAAAACTGCATTCACCCCCACCAAGTGAAGGAGCAAGCAAAAAAAGCAAGCTTAGAAGCGCAAGTCCCAGCCAATGACAGGTCCAATCTTGGGCAGCTCATCAGCAACGCTCTGCACGTCCTTGTCGCCACGACCGCTCAGGCAAATGACAACGTCCTCGCCCTTCTTCATGGTCTTGGCGAGCTCAATGGCGCCCCAGATACCGTGGGAAGACTCAAGGGCGGGAATGATACCCTCCAGCTGACTCATCAGACGGAAACCAATAAAGGCCTGGGCATCAGTGCAAGCAATGAACTTGGCACGGTCGGTATCCTTCCAGTTGGACAACTCGGGGCCGACGCCGGGGTAGTCGAGACCGGCGGAGACGGAGTGGGTCTCGTCGATCTGGCCGTGCTCGTTCTGGAGGATGTAGGTCCGGACGCCGTGGAGAACACCCTTGGAGCCAGCAGTGAGAGTAGCACTGTGGCGAAGGGTATCGACACCGTCACCACCAGCCTCCACGCCCAACATCTTGACGCTCCTGTCCTCGGCGAAGGGGTAGAACATGCCGACGGCATTGGAGCCGCCACCGACGCAAGCAACGACGGCATCGGGGAGCTTGCCACGCTTCTCGAGCATCTGCTGCTTGGTCTCTCTGCCAATGACGGACTGGAAGGTGCGGACAATGGTGGGGAAGGGGTGGGGACCGATGGCAGATCCAATGATGTAATGGGTGTCCTCGAGGTTGACGACCCAAGAGCGGAGAGCCTCGTTGACGGCGTCGCGGAGGGTGCGACTGCCAGCCTCGACGGCAACGACCTTGGCGCCGAGAAGCTTCATGCGGAACACATTAAGAGCCTGGCGGCGAACATCCTCAGCGCCCATGAAAACGGTGCACTCCATGCCGAACTTAGCACAGACGGTAGCTGTGGCTACACCGTGCTGGCCGGCACCGGTCTCGGCAATAATCTTGGTCTTGCCCAATCTCCTGGCGAGAAGGAGCTGACCGAGGGCATTGTTGATCTTGTGGGAACCGGTGTGGTTGAGATCCTCTCTCTTAAGCCAGATGTTCGCACCACCAGCGTGTTCCGTCAGGCGCTCAGCCAGATGGAGGTGACCGGGGCGGCCCATCCAGGGGTAGTGAGAGCGGTACTCCTCCCAGAAAGCCGGGTCATCTTTGATCTTGTTGAAGCCGTCCTCAAGCTCGGAAAGGCAGTCCATCAGGGACTCCGGGACGTACTGGCCACCAAACTCGCCGAAACGCTTGGGGAGATCAGAGTTGATCATGTCGAGCTGGGCAACAAGGTCATCCGTCTCCTTGATGACAGCATCCACGGACACATCTCCAGTCTCCTGAGCACCGTTGATGGCCTCGAGAATGCCAACCTCGCGGGTGGCCTCCTCCTCGGGGGAGGTGGTGCGACCGCAAAGGTAACCGCAGTACTCCTGGACAGCCTTGTTGATCTCGTTCTCGGCGGCGTTCATAATGGTAGTAACAATCTGACTGCCGACGACAACACCATCTGCAAGCTGAGACACGGACTGGAAGTGATCGCGAGTGCTGACACCGAAACCGACGGCCGCGGGCTTGTCGCCACTGTACTTCTTCACACGGGCGAGGAGCTCCGGCAAGTGAGCGTTCAGGGTGCCACTAGCACCGGTGACGCCCTGGCGAGAGACGACGTAGATGAAGGAGTCGGCGAGCTGGCAGAGGATACGCATGCGGGCATCCGAGGTGGCGGGAGCAATGAGGGGGACGTAGGAGAGACCGCCGCGGGTGCAGAGTCTGCGGAAGGAGACGGCCTCCTCGGGGGGCAGATCGACAATGATGAAGCCATTGACACCGGCTTCCTTGCAGTCCTTGAGGAGACGCTCCTCGCCGTAGCTGAGGAGGGGGTTGTAGTAGCCCATGAGGAGAATGGGAGCCTTGAGGCCACGCTTGCGGGCCACGCGGACCATGTCGAGGACGCCCTCGGTGGTCACGCCATGCTGGAGAGCGATCTGTGTGTTTTCTCGTCAGTGGCTTGTTCACCGCTCGTCGAGAAATATGCTGGGCAAGGTAAGCTTACGGTGTTGGCAGTCTGGATGGTAGGGCCATCGGCAATTGGGTCAGAGAACGGAACGCCGAGCTCAATAACATCTGTTGGAGACAAGTTAACGGTTTTGTGTCTTTCAGTGGCAGCACAAAAAGGAAGAATATTTGCATACCGGCGCCGCCCTTCTCCATAGCCAGAAGGACATCGGGAGTGGCTGCGGGGTTGGGGAAACCGGCCGTGACATAGGTGACAAGGGCAGACTGTGGTTGCGAATAGAACAGGTCAGCAATTGGCTCTCTCTTGTTTGTTCTTGAACAGCCGTTCCCCGTTCTTCCCTGTTCCCCGGATTCCGGAATTCAGGCCGTTGGGATATCCAAAATAAAAAAATAAAAAATAAAAATGGCGGGGTTGTTGAGTGGTGGGAAAGTTACTGACCCTGTTCTGCGCCTTGCAGCGAGCAAACGTCTGCTTGAGGCCTTCCATATTGAATGAATGCGCGTGCTGGCAATCGAGAGACCAATTGGGTGGGAAGGAGAAGGAAGGTCGGGATTCAGCAGCAGAAATATGTCAACAAGTTTCTCCCCGGGTTCTGCTTCTGTCTTTGTTTGGAGTTGTGGTTGAAAGGGGAGGCGAGTCATAACCTCATATCAGCGGCACCCCCCCTGTAAAGTGGCAGAAAATTAGCGGAGCCCTTCTGGGGGTTGAGTCACCGCCCCTCCTCCAGTGCCCCTCTCAACCGCAGTGCGTGCTGCAGTCTCGCCCCCGTCACCGAACAGGGAATTTTTCTGCCGGCTCGCCACGACCTGGGCCTTCCCCGATTGCGGAGGCCATGTCCCGCGATGCCTGAAGAGGCCACGGCGCCGGTCATCACGACCCGAGGTGCCGGAGATCGTGGATACTTGCGGACAAGCCCGTCATCAAAAAGACAACACAATGGGTTTATTCAAGTCCACTTTGGGATCTCACAAAGAAAAAGGCATTTTGATTGCACAGATCCAACTCAAACTGGGCTTCATATATATATGAAGTATCTCATATCCTACCCGTTGGAGTCCCAGCAATCAGGGGATCTCACATAAATCGCAACAACAACAAGTAAATGCATGCCGGATGTCTTTTTTGATGATCTGGGTCTGTCTGCCAATCTACCGAGGTATATATATTGGAACGCCTCGCTATCCAAACGCCTTACCAACCATGCAAGCAACAAAAGAAACCAAGAGTGAAACGAAAAGAAAAAAAAGAAAAAAAAAATATTAAATGACCGAGTACATCGGCGGTGGTTGTCCCAGCCCAGCTCCAGAGGACGAGCTCTCCTCATAACTGCCCCAATTGATATCCTTCTTCTCCCGCCGTCCCTATCGGCCAGAGTACCCGGAATCCTCAACGGTAGGGTAACTGCTCTTTCTCGCATGCGTATTCCACTTCTCCGACTCGACCTTCCCCCTCTTGACGCTCCCGGCATAAACCACCTCTTGTCGGTAGTCATGATACGCACTCGGCTCTTCCTGCTCGTCTGCCTTGACATCTCGTTGGTGTCGTCTGTTGGCGGCTGTGTCGCCAGGAGCAAAACTGTTAGGTCTGCTCCCAAACTTCACGCCCCATCTGTCACCGCCCAGACCGCGTGTCTTGTCGTTCTGCGTCATCCTGACCAGCGCGTAGACCACACCCCCAAGAACAATGATGACATAAACCAGAAGAAGTGCCAGCGAGATGAGCGCCTCTTGAACGATGCCGCTCTGCAGCTTGCTCACGACCTTGGCCACCGCGTCCGTAATCTCATCCGTCGTGACACTAGCAGGCGTAGCCAGGAAGCTGGTCAGCTCACCGTCGCCATTGACGCTGTCGTTGGCTCCGGCACTGAACATATCATTGCGGAAGAGCGGCAGCGTCACCTTGGCGTGGTCATGCACCCACGTCAGCCCCTTCTCAACCGTGTCAATCTTTCGCAAAATGACACAGCCAACGATGTCCCTGGCCACGTTGAACAGAACGGTGTCTTTGAAGACGGCCTCGACCGCCTTGCTGATCTCGTCTTCAAAGGTGTTGAGAGTGTTGTTGACGGCCTTCGTGGCGTTGGTGACGTAACCGAGGACGTCGTTGTTGATGTCGTTCTGCAGGCCCAGGATCACTCCGTTCGCACCATCCGACCAGTCCGTCGAGACAGCCTGTAATGTGCCAACAACATCTTCGGCAAAGTTGCCGACTTGAGTAGCGAGCTCCGGAGCCTTATTCTGGACAGCCCTCAGCATCAAGTACTGGCAGAAGCAGCTAAAGAACCCAGCCATGGCCAAGGCAAGAACGAACAGCGCCGGCAGCGAAGTGGCATAGGCCACCGTCCACCGCGCCAGAAGGTGGTTCCTGCCAGTCATCCTGAACCGCTTCCCAAGCCAGATTCCCGCACCAGCAGTCATCGGCCGGCCAGCAATATAGACCACATCCATCGGGTCGTAGCCATGCTCGGTAAACACTCTGGCCCTCTCCTTCTCCTTTCTCCAGCGGCGAATCTCAATCCAGCCCATGAGGATGATGGCCAGAACGGCCAGAATAGGGATGGCTACCAAGAAGGCAATCTTGGCTTTGGCGATGATCTCGAAGAGCGATTGGAAAAAGTCGTTGAGGAACGAGTTGGACGAGCAGAATGAAAGAGCCTGCTTCTGCGCAACGGGGAAGACGGTCTTGTCGAACTGGTAGTTGCCAAAGCTGGAGTTGAGCTGCTCTCTGACGAACTGGAACGGGATGCCAATGGCGTTCTTGGTGAAATTCTCTACCTGGTCGAAGGTAGGCACCTTCTTGTCGAGCTTGACGATGCTATCAACCATATCCGTCGAGTTGATGTTGATGTCCTTGAGGTCAGCAAGGGGGCGGCTGATGTCAATCTTAGGAATCGAAATGGGGCCGATCAAGTTGCCTGCGAAATTGCCGACTGCATCACCGACGTTCTCGAGAGCTTTCTGTACATCCTCGATAGTCTCTGAAATCTGACCAGTGAGGGTGCCAATGGCATCGTTCATGAACTTTGTTGCCGCCTCGATGCCCTTAGCGCCAACCTCGAGGGCACCGTGGATAAGAGCTGCAATGAGACAGGCCCATGTGCCAACGTACATGTTGATGACAAAGTAAACCAGGTTCTCGACCCCAGTGAGGATCAACATCAGGATCTGAACCATGGCAGAAACAGCCTTCTCAATTCCTTCCGCCGCCATCGAGTTGACACCCACAGACAAGTAATGAGGCATGGACGCCATGGCACTCCCGACATCTTCGACCTTGGTGCATGCTGAGAGAGCTTTGACTTTGGCATCGCCGATATTGTCGTTGAGGCTGCCGGTGAGGAGGAGGACGCGGACGAGGACGAGGATGAGGAGAACGGTCCATCGGTTGAACCAGAGCTGAGAGAGCCTGGCGCGGAGGCCGAGGTAAGGAGTGACGGTGGGATCGGTGTGGGCGTGTGGTTGAAGCTTGGGAGCGGCCTGATTTTGCTGACTTCTATCGAGGTCGATCATCTCCCAGGAGTTGGCGTTGAGGCTGGCGGGAACAGGCGGCACCGGGGTTGGCCCTCCGGCCCTGCCCTTCTCGTCGTAGGTCATTTTGTTATAAGGAAACTAGTGAAGGTATCTTGATCCAGCCAAGAATAATGGATTGTTGTGTGTATCGTGTATCTCGTTGCCGTATGTATGTATGTACCTCGATGATATCGTTGATGAGTATGGAAACCGAAATAGGAAACTGAGTAGCAAATAAGAAGTCAAGGAAATGGAAAAAGAAAATGACAGAAGAAAAATGACAGACTCAAGCAAGCCAGGTGAGCATGATTGAGGGTGAACTGCCACGCGAAACAACAGTGGCGATGGACAATGGAGGAAAAGAGACAATGGGACTGTGTCGCGAAACAATGACGAGGGGCAGGTGTTGACAATAAGAGAAAGCGAATGAATAGTGAATACACGGCCCGCACATGACCCAGGGCCCCAGACGATAGAGACAGGGCTGCTCTTTGTCGGTGTCGACAAAGCCATACAAGGTGAATTGCAACGCCATCTTGAAGCGCTCGCCTTAAGCGCCGGGGGCATGTGAGCCAGTCGTTTCTCCGTCCGGGGTCCTCCGGGGCGGCTGCCGAAACCACGTCGTCAAACTGCGAGGCGACCTTACATGACGGTCAGTCTCTGTTGATTGAACAGGATAAAAGTGGCTGAACCCGATCTTGCATTCAACGGTCTTGTCACATCGTGGGAGGAAACTCTGCGAGATCTGGCATCGGCTGTCACCAGGGCACTACCCGTCACGGAACCGGAGGATTTTGAGAGTTGAGTGTCCGCATGATTGACTGCTGGTGTTTGTTGTGTTGTGCATATCCATGTGTCGGCTCTGCGTGCCAGCCCAGTCGTCGCTCATGGCTAGGATGATGATGGAACTTGAAGAAGATGACGATGCGAAACTGGAGGTGAATTATTGGAGTTGCTCAGTTGTGGTTCAAACCGCACATCGAATGCCAAGCCACACCTGCCTGCTGCCCTGAGGCCAGCCACCCGCCTCACTTGCTGCCCGTTATTCTGCCTTCCAGCATATCGTACTTCAATACCTTGAAAGCTGATTCTTCCGATGATTCTCCATTCAACATCTCAACTTACTTACACCATTGAGGTGACTCATCAAGTTGACCTCGCAGAGATCCCTTTATGAGCCGTCACTCTCAGAGTTGTGCCAAGAGTCAAGACCAGACGGACGAGCTTGCCAATTGATTGGTTGACGTTGCTCAGGAACGGCGGCTACCAGCGATCCACTTTGCCGGGGCGGGAGCTGTCAGCCAATCAACCATCCAAGATCCCTAGCTTTAATTCTCAAAATAGCTTTCTTGCCATCTCTTTGTTTTCTAAGACCACGCGACAATAACGCCTGGGGAAATTTGGTTTCGTCGGGGATATTATCTCATTCTGGAGCTACTAGTTTATCTTGGTGGCCGAAGCCAGGACATATCAATGCCATGCGCAACATGAGTGTAGAGAGTCAAAAACAATCTGCAAGGGAACTCGGTAGCAGAGTATTGATTTGATTAGCTGATGAGAGCAGAGCGAGTGACAGTTTCCAGGTAATGCTTTCTTGTCTTTATGCTCACCATAGCTTCGCCATTCTGTTTGGCCTGCTCTTCCAGCCAAGAGAAATCATGTCGATATTCCTAGGGGTAAAGCCGTAAGGCAGCTGGAGCATGTTGAAGAAAAGCTTGAGCAAGATGAACCAAATCGAGACGGACATGTTCAGAAATACACGTAAGATGTATACACATAAATTTACATTGCTTCGCATCTGCTCATCCTCTACACCTTCGCCTTCTTAGGGGCCTTCTTCGGTGCAGGTTTCTCCTTCATGAAGCCCTCATCCTTGGCCGCCTCGACCTCGCCCAGTTCGAGAATCTGCTCACTACCTGTCTCCGCCAATATGGCATCCGTCTCCTTGATATACGCCTCCTTGCCCGCCTCATCCACCACCCTCCCATCCGGAAGCACATGCTGCCCAGTCGACGCTTCCGATCCCGTCACACCCAGCTTCTTCTTGGTATAAAACTGAATCTGCTTCTGCTCCATTTTGTACCTCTTGTTCTCCTCCCTCACCTGCTTCTCCAACACCCCGTCCACCAACCCCAACTGTTTCCTCTCGGCGGCGAACCTCTGCTTGACAGCCCTGGTCTGCATGATTCTCCAGCGTAACCTCCAGCCCCACGGACCCAGCTCCTTGATCCTGTTGGGCTTGATCCCCAAGAGGTACTCATCCAGCCCGCCGACCTTGTCAATGGTCCGGAGGACCCGGGTGGTCAGCCTCGTCTGGACCCAGGTGCGGAGGGAGAGGGAAAAGAGGCGCTTGCGGTGGACGTTGGGGCGCCATGTTCGGCGGGTCTTGATCTCGTTCTTCTCGGAGACGTTGTTGCCGTAGCGGATGGTGGCGTGGCCGTAGAGGCCGGTGTTGGACTGCTTGTAGTAGAGGCGGGGTCCGAGAGGGTAGGGGGGGATATGGGGGGCTTGGCCGGTGGGTGAGGGGATGGGGCCGCCGGAAGGTCTGTTTTGGTTGTAGAGTTGGGAGAGGGTGGTGGAGAAGGAGCGGATGGGGAGGGTGAATGTGCCGGTGGTGGTAGTGGTGGTTGTCGCCGCGCGGAGGCAGGTTCTCGCTGGGAGGAGGGCTGACATTGTGATGTGGTGTGCTGCCCACAGGGGGCAATTTGGCGGTGTGAAAAAGGGAAAAACTATCGCGGTAGCATTGGCTGGGGTCGGGTTGGTGCACGAGGCGCAATTGACGGAGTGGGCGCACAACTCGCAGGCGACTGACGATAGCAGCGACGACGGCGACGGCGACGACGAGGTTGAGCTCCAAAAATTCGAGCAGCCGAAATGCATGGGTTGTGGCAGCCGGTGCCGGTTGCCCATGGTTGGGTGTCCAGGAGCTTGGACCACCCACTCTCAGCACTCACTCACTCTCAGGGACCCTTGTCTCTCACTCATCGCGACTCTCACTCATCGACGACTTACACCTTCTTTCAACCCATCTTTTTCAAAACAAAAAAACAGCCAAAATGATACCCCCTATTGACGATCTGGTTCTGCAGCAAAATCCCGAATTTGCAGCTCTTTACACCACCCTCACAACAGTCATCCTCAATCCCGATGCCTCCACACGAAAAGACCCCAAGGCCAAAAAGCGAGCTGCGGTGAGAAAGGTGCCGCTTACACCTCTTTTTGTCGACCATGTTCACATAGGTACTGACCCCCGAACCAGGAACTCGACACCCACCGGCTCAAAACAGCCAAACATCACCTCCTCATCAACGCCATCTCCACCGCCCACCCAACAACAGAACAACCACCCCCTCCAGCCCAAGAAAAACCATCCCTCCTCCGCCACCGCTCAACCCGCTCCCGCTCCGAATCCCAACCCCTGAAACCATCCGGTCCCCTCCCGCCACCCCTCCCCCTGGCCCAACCAAAACCCCCTCCCCTCCTTCACTCCCTTCTCAACCTTTCCCTCCCAGCCTTCACCCTCACCCAGCTCGAAACCCTCCACCACAAGAAATACTCCCTCCTCCGCTCCCGCCTCTCCCTCGCCGTCTCGGTCAGCAGCCTCCTCGATCAGCAGATCCTCATCCTCTCCAAGCTGATCAGGTCCCTCGAGGCCAAACACGGTCCCATATCTCGATGGCTAGAATACTCGGCCTCGGAAAGGGCCCTTGTCGCGCAGAAGCAAGAGCTCGAGATCAAATCTGTCGGTCGGGCGCTCAAAAAAGAGGTTTACAGTCCAGAAGTGGCCACAGCGTTGGGGAATTACTCTCGACATCTGAGGGATGCCAAGTCGCGGTTAGGAGAGAGAATCAAGGGGCTGGAGGGGGAGCTGGGGGAGTATCACCACCAAGACGCAAGCACGGAAAGGGAAAAGACGAGGAAAATGAGGGAAATGGCGAGGGTGTATGCTGACATGGGGAGGCAGTTGGACGAGGTCAGAAAGGATTTGGAGAGGTTGGATACTGCTTGAGAGGGAGAATCAAATCAAATCAAACCATGCTTCTTTTTGTGTACAAGCCCAATCCCATCCATCGTCTATAGATACGATAAATCTTTGTCTACATGACAAGGCATCTTTTGTCTTCCCTTCACACACACGCGCGCGCAAAAAAACAAACTCCCAACCATCCAAAATGTACTCCGGAAATTTTTCATGTTTTACTTCATTACATTATTTTTACAGGTGTTCAACCGGTAACCTTGAAGATGGCCTCGGCCAGTCTCCCGACGTTGCCGGTGGTGATGCCAGCAACCGAGATTCTGCCGTCGCGGGTGGCGTAGACGCTGTGCTCCTTGGCCAGCGCATCCATCTGCTCGGGCGACAGGCCAGTGTAGGCAAACATGCCAATCTGGCTGGTGATGTGGCTCCAGTCGTGCTTGCTGCCGAGCTTCTCGAGGTTCTCCTTGAGGAGGGCACGCATGGTGATGATGCGATCGGCCATCTCCTTGACCTCGACGAGCCACTGGTCGTAGAGGGCGGGGGTGTTGAGGATCTCGGCGGCGATGCGGGCACCGTGGATGGGGGGGTTGGAGTACATGGGGCGGACGAGGATCTTGATCTGGGAGTCGACGCGCTTCTTCTCCTCGGCGTTCTCGCAGACGATGGAGAAGGCACCGATGCGCTCGCCGTAGAGACCCATGTTCTTGGCGAACGACTGGGAGAGAGCAACGTTGTGACCCTGGGCGACAAAGTGGCGGACGGCAAAGGCATCCTTGTGGATGTCACCCGAGGCAAAGCCCTGGTAGGCCATGTCGAAGAAGGAGTAGTGACCCTTGGCCTTGACGGCCGCCTCGATCTCCTTCCACTGCTCGGGAGTAGGGTCGACACCGGTGGGGTTGTGGGCGCAGGCGTGGAAGAGGAAGATGGAGCCGTTGGGGGCCTTGTTGATGTCGGCGATCATGCCCTCGAAGTCGAGGCCGATGGTCTCCTTGTTGTAGTAGGCGTACTTCTCCACGGCGAGGCCGGAATCCTTGAAGACGGCGGCGTGGTTGGCCCATGAGGGCTGGGGAATGTAGATGGTCTTTGCGCCGGGGAAGAACCTGGCGAGGAAAGCGCCGCCAATGCGGAGGGCGCCAGTACCGGAGATGGACTGGGTGATGGCGACACGGTCGAGGGCCGGGGAGTCCTTGCCATAGGCGAGAACGGCAGCAGCCTTGGTGAACTCGGGGACACCGGTGATGCCAGCGTACTCCTTGTTGAGGCGCGAGGCAATCACCTTCTCCTCAGCCTGACGGACAGAGGGCAGGACATAGGGCTTTCCAGCGTCATCGCGGTAGGCGCCGACACCTTGTGGGGGGGTTGTTAGTCTCGCGCGCGGGATATTCGCTTTTGGGGACGGGAACGGAACGAACCGAGGTTGATCTTCTTGTCGAAAGTGTCGGCCTTGAAAGCTTCCGTGATACCTGGAGACGAGCAACAGACGTCAGTTTTCGGTCTTGGGTCTGTGACGCCTTGCGCAAAGGCAACCGGGAGGAACAAACACACCAAGAATGGCCTGTGAAAAGTCATTGACGGGTCCCGGTGGTTAGCAAAACGTCATACGGCACTGGACACTACCTCATGCGCGCGCGAGGAACCGTCGGGAAGACTGGTAGTAGGGTGACAGGAAACATACATCCTGTTGCAGAAGAACGTTAGCTACTGACAGTTGCGCAAAGGCAACCACGCCGTTGACGCCGTTGACACGGTTGGACAGATCAACCAAAAACATACTGGGGGACCTTGAGGGACATTGGCCCACGTAGAAGCAGCGCGGAGGGTGAACTGGGCGCGGCCAGCAAGGGCGGCCCGGCGCGAAACCACTCTGAGGGAGGAAAGCATCTTGCGTCTCGTCTGTCTCTCTGAGGAGGTGTCAGTGTCGAGGTGAAGGAGAGAGAAACAACACAGAAATGACGGTTGGGAAGGTGTGGATTTTACCTCGCCGGTCTGGCAGTTCTAGAGTCTACCGAGTTTCTTGGGTAGTGAGCTGTGGTTCGATGCGCCTTCGAAATGGGGGGGGGTTCAAGTGGCTTGTGGGTGGGTGGTTCCCCGTCACATCACCTGTTGGAGGTGGGGCAGAAAAGTTTTTGACCAATTGTTGTGCTGGAAACCCGAGCAGCATCCCACGAACGGTGCCGCCACGGAGCAGGATTCCGTCCACCCCCGACCTCGGCCGAGCTACCCCGGCCTCAATGTGACTCTTTCTGGCGGCTGAATGCAATCCAGCTGTCATCTTTTCTCTTTTTGCTCTCCCTTATGGCCATCAATCAGCGAGGCTGCAGCTGAGAGTCAGGACTTGTTTCGGCGTTTAGGGTTCAACCACAGCTTTTGGGGAAATGGAGGGGAATGAGGGGTAGCTGTTGATGTTGCTGGGCCAACCACTCTAACACCGATTTACTAGGGAGGTAGCTGACATGTGAACACCATGAAGGCCTATTCACTGCTTCAGAGGTTGTGAGATGACAAGTTAATCGATGAGATCAGATGAAGTTGCCTTCCACTTCAGTTCTGTGTAATGGCTGATTCGGTGTTTGGGAAATCGTCATCGCGTTTGCCTTCGGTCTCACCTCTCACGGCAACCACATCATCACAATGCAACGCTGGCGTGTGCGAGCCGGAATAGGGGCTCAGGGGTAAGGGTCAGCACACACTCCCTCTACTAATCGGGCTCGATGCATCTACGGGTGCAACCAGCATGGCAATCATGGAAATTCTTGACGCCAGTTGGTAGCAAACACGGGTGTCGCAGTGTCACTGTCATCCCATCCACGTATCTGCTTAAACATCACCCACCAGTATAAGTTGACCCCTGAGCACGCCATCATCTACTATCACCATCATCAAAGACAGTTCAAGACTGCTACATCACCATCACCACCACCACCACCACTACCACCACCACCACCACAATGCATCTCCACCCAACCATCCCGCTTGTCGTCTTCCTGGCTCGGGCCTCGGCCCAGGTTCACAGGATGGAGTTCGCCGACTCCTCCTCCCCCTCCATGCGCTTGCTGGCCGCCGAGTGCCCTGCAACAGCTGAGATGCCCAAGTGCGCCGTATGTTTTCCCTCTATTATACCCTCGGTTTGACACTAACACGAAAACCAGATCAGCTGCATCGACACGGCCGCGTCCTCCAACGGCTGCCCAACCGCCTCCGACCTCACCTGCCAGTGCAACAACTGGGCCGCCATCCAGCAAGCCGCCGCCCCCTGCGTCATCGCCGCCTGCGCGGCAAAAGCCCCCGATGTCCTCTCCATCGCGAGCGAGATCTGCTCCCAGTGCGCCGGCGTCCCGGTCGCCCAGACCATGAACGGGGAGGCGAACTTGCAGTGGGCGGCTGCTCAGCCTACGGGGAAGGCGTCGGTTCGTCGTAGTCAGGAGGGCCAGCTTCGCGATTGGGAGGATCTCTGGGTGGATGAGGAAGGGAAGGGGTGGGTGACCTTGCCGAGGAGGGCTGTCGTTGGTGCCGTGGCCAAGGAGACGGGACGGCCGGTGGTGCCGAGGGAGGTTTTGGAGCAAGACGGAGACAGGAAGATGCTGGCCCGGGCTGACCGCAAGCCGTTGGGACCGATCGACATCAACTCCCTTGACCTTTCAGAAACGGGTCCCGAGCTCCCTGGCTTTGGGTCTGGCAAGTCAACGGACCCTGAGGAGCCTGACTTTGGCACTGACGGCGCCCTCTCTTTCCACTGGGAGGGCCCGGAGCTTCCTGACTTTGAGTCTGACGAGTCCCAGGCCGGCTTTGGGTTTGAAAAGTCTAAGAGTCCCGAGCTGCCCGATTTTGGCGGCGAGCCCACTGAACTTCACCCTTGCTGGCCAGCAGGCTACCGGGGCTCTGGAAGCTTGCGGTCGTGTGATGACTTGCCCGACCACGACGGTGACAACCTTGGCGGAGCTGAGGAGAAGGATTTCGAGCGGACGAGATCCCGCACGTGGAAGAGAAAGACTGATCTTGTTTATGAAAAGGAGCAGGAGAGGTTGAGGCAGTTGAAGGATATGAAGGAGCAGGAGGAGCAGGGTGAGCAGATGAAGTGGACGTGGTAGAACGCAAACAGGAATGCCTTCACTGAGGGAGGTGGGTGCAAGAAGGACTGAAAAGAAGGATTTAGATTGATGATGGTTATGGTATCATTAAATTCATGCTGATCGCTCTACCTCGCACTCCCCGTCTATGTCTTATCTCTGTGTCTGTACCCATTTTCTACCACTCAAAGGGAAGCCTTGGCCTCCGGCTCGTTCTCCAAGACGAATCTGTATCTCGGCGCTCCCTTCTCGAAATCGATAATAGCCTGGTTGGCGTCCTTCATGGGGATGGTAGAAATCCACGGCTTGACACCCTTGGCGAGGGCCAAGTCGAACATCTCCCTGATGTCATCCGGGCTGCCGATCAAACTGCCAGTGATCTTGATGCGCTTGAAGATCAAGGGCTTCTGCTGGAAGGTTGGGAAGCCGTCATCGGGCAGACCGACCTGCACAAAGACACCGTCAAACTTGAGCAGGTTGAAGTAGTCCTGTACCGGCATGTCGGTCTGGCTGACAGTGCAGACGATCAAATCGATGGTGTTGGCGTGGGTCTTGCCCCATCTGGGGTCCTCGGCGGTAGCGATGAACTCGTCAGCGCCCATCTTGAGGGCGTCCTCTTTCTTGGCGTTTGTTCTAGAGATGACAACGACCTTGTCCGCACCGAGAGCCTTGGCCCACATGACACCAAAGTGGCCGAGGCCACCGAGACCGACGATACCGACTGTCTTGCCGGGACCGGCGCCGTGGTGCTTGAGGGGAGCGTAGGTGGTCACACCACCGCACAACATCGGAGCGGCCTCGGCGCTGGAGATGCCCTCGGGAATCTTGACGGCGAAGCGGGCGGGAACGCGGTTGTAGGTGGCGTAACCGCCGTAGGACTTGCCGCCGTTGAGGTAGACGCCGTTGTAGGTACCGACGTGCTTGTTGGGGCAGTAGTTCTCCTGGCCAGACTCGCAGGCCTCGCAAGGCTTGCCCATGCGGCTGCAGCAAGAGTCGGACTGGGCACCGACACCCACGCGGTCGCCCAGAGCGAGGTGCTTGACTTGAGAACCGACTCTGACGACCTTGCCGACGATTTCGTGACCAACGCAGCATGGGTAGAGAGTTGGGCCCTGGTGTTTCACGTTAGCATTCCGTGCTGGCTCGGGAGTCTCGGAAAGATTTGGTGAGGACAACATACCCATCCGGAGCGGAGAGTGTGAAGGTCGCTGCCGCAGATACCGCAGTGAGAGATCTTGATATCGATGTCGGTCTCCTCCCAAGGCTTGGGCTCAAACTCGCCCCATTGCATCTTGCCCTCGGCCGAGCTGGCATCGAGGCCAAGCCATCCTTCAAACTTGTAGTCGGTCATTTTTGATTATTTCGAAAGGGCGGCTGAGTTCAAGTCTGGGAAAAGACTAGGCAAGTAAGGGTATCAAAGATGAGGTAGAGGTAGAGGCGATGATGAAAGAACAGGACCAGACTCAAAACTCAGAGTGAGTGAGGAAACGACGAGATATATACCACCCCTTCCCCCCCCCACC